CCTTATGAAGCTTATCTTGCCCCTGCAACCCATCCACCACTCAAAACTCACAGCGATTTTCCTAAAACTACAACGTGGACATGTTTCTACTTCACTCAGAATACTTCAGTGGGTCAACACTTTCAAGGTCGGCTCAAACTTTCTTCTCAAGACCATTTAAACTCTGGCCTCTGCTCCCCTCTCCTCACTGTACCCCAGTCTGCCCCACTGTCCCACGCTGCTGCCTTCTGACCTTGCCATGCGGCGACACGCCTGTGACCAGCTCTGCAACAGTCTTGTCCAACCCAGATCAGGGATCACTGCAACAGCAAGCTCTTTGGATGGGTCAGGCTCAGTGAGGGGCCCCTCTCTGGTTAACCTGTGCACCCACCAACCGGCACCACCCACACGGTATAGTGATAATTTGTCTGTCTCCACAATTACATTGTCAACATCTTAACACAGGAAGTGTTTCTCTTGCCCCAACACCCAGCCCAAGGCTCCGCGTGCTGTAAACCATGGCTGACCATTTTAATAAAGGAACATTTAAATAAAAGGAATGTAAGTCTAAAACAGATTACAGAATCGCAGAACCTTAGAGTTGAAAGGAGACTGATACCCTCTAATGTCTTCATTTGCAGATGAATGCAGGGACCCTGAAGGAACAGCCTGGACGTGTCCTGTCCCTCTGTCCCCCAACCCCAGCCTCTGGGGCTTTGACCACACCCAGCACGGGCTCTGGCTGACCAAGACCCAACTCCAGGCTGACTGCAGGCTCCGTCCGCCCAAGGGCTGCAGCAGGCTTCATCCCTGTGTTCTCCGCCTTTACGGGAAGAAGCCCCCAGCTCCTACCCCACCCCAATGGCGATCTTGGCTCCTGTGCCCATTTTCCTGGAATGGAGGTTTCAAGGAGACCCCTACACACACGCTTCCAATCTCTGTGGTACGCCCCTCTCATTGTTTTCACCCCCATCCTTATCCGCACTCATTTGCTGATTTATCAGGTGCCCATGTGTCACTCTGCTGCGAGCACTGGGATTCCTGCCCTCCAGAAGCTAGAGAGATCTTCCTGGGAGACTGTCGGGACAGTGCCCCGGCTCACCACCCGGTTCCTCCCGCTCTCGCCCGCACCCTCCTGCTCTCAGCCCCGGCCTGCAGCCCCTCCCACGCACGGCCCGGGCCCTCATCCCCCTGGGCTGTGTGGGGGTGGAGAAAGTTCGGGCCGGAGCATGGGGGACTCAGGGGACCCCGAGGCCGCCTCCAGCCCGGGGCTGGGTGGAGGTGGCGCGGGAGGAGCGGGCCGGGCACCCGGCCCCACAGCACGGTCTGTCCCTCCGCACGCCCCTCCCCGCCCGGATTCAGAGGGACTTGGACGGAGGGGACAGGATAAATACCTTTGACTTTGAGGTTAAGGTTAACGGGATCTGCCACCCGGGGAGACTTGGGCACTGGGCTCCCGGGCCCCGCCAGACTCGGGGCAGGAGGGACAGGAGCAGGCTTGTGATTGGCTGGAGGGCCTGGCCATCCCCAGGGCCGCCCCACCGCCTGATTGGCTGCGCCGCTCAGATGACCAGCCGGGCCCTACCGAAGAAGCCCTCGGGGCGGCCCCTTTGTTCTCCAGAGCCAATAGCCGGGGGAGGCGGGCTGACCTCGCCTCCCGCGGGGCCTCGCGAGGCTCAGCGTGCAGTGAGTGCGTTGGCCGCTGGGCTCCGGACCGGGGTCCTGGGCTTCGAGGGTAGGAGGGGAGGGAACGAGCCCAGGCACACCTCCGCCAGGCTCTCCGGCCCAGCAAACCCGCGCTCTGCAACCCTTCCAGCCGTCCCACGCATGCTGGTGCCAGGATCCGAGGGCAGAAGCAGGAATCCCGCTCCGATGCTCACTCGAGTGTGCATGTGATGTGATGGTGGTGTTCGGCACTAGGGCACACCAGGTGTTCGAGATGTGCGTGTCACGTGTGACAGGAGAGACATCGCCCTGTGTCCCCCGCGCGGCCCTGCACGCCGTGGGCGCGTGGCAAGTGATCCCAGGAGCTCCCTGAGATTTAGACATCATTCAAACCAACCCATGCCTTCTCATGGGGGAAACAGCGACCTGGATGGAGGTTGCGTTCCTATATCGCGTGTCCCTGCTGATTTAGAGGCACGGTCCAGATGGCCAAGGATGGTGTTCTCTTCCCAGAAACCTTCAGGAAGAATTTTCTCTTCTAACTGACCTTGATTGGAGGGAAGAGTTCCTTTGTGTCAACAAAATTCCTCACACTACCACCGCAAAGGGAGCCTGCTACGTCAGCTCCCACTGGCAGCATGCTCTCTGCAGCTGCCTAGAAACCACCCTTGGGACAGGAGAAGCTGAGCTCTCCGAGAGGCTGTGTACAAACCTTACTGTTCAGCCGGTGGAGCCCATCCTAATTAATGTCTGCAGCTGCCTAGGAAGCATTTGCCACGGGCCCAGCTGCTGTTTAGCCTCTTCACACAATAGAAATCGGTGACCGAGATTCCAGCAGTTTGACCACACACATGGTGTGCACTTCTGACAAAAGTTCCTTGCGGTCTCTGGGCTTTGACTTGTTCGTCTGCAAGAGTTGCATACACAGCTTACTGGGTTTCAGCGGGACGCTAATTGGTTCTCTTGTCTAGGAAGCTTTTGTAAAAAAAAGCACCCTACACAGAAGCCAGGCACCCCCTACGCCATCAGCTCTTTAAAGTCTCACTCATCTTGTTATTTTTCTAGAGCACCTAGCAAAAAAGTTGGTGGGTTCCTGTTCCAGCCCCAGATCTGCCACTGGCTTCAAGTGGGAAAGTCGCTGTCACTCTCTGGTCCTGTTCCTTCCTCTACAGAGTGAAAGGCTTCCTCCGGATTGCCATTTCACGGCCAAGGTTATCTCAAGGGCAGGAAGAATGAAGCCTTGCTGGGATCCTATTTCCATAAAGTAAAAAAGGAGGCTATGTATATATACCTGCAAATGCACAGAAAACATTTCTGAAACGACAACACCCTCTGATTCCCTACACTTTGGAGTAAAGAGAAACATACGCAGGGGGGAGAGGGAGAAATGAAGGACTTCCACATTAACAAATACATCCAAGCCCTGACCGGTGTGGCTCGGTTGGGCATCATTCAACAAGGCGGAGGGTCGCTGGTCGGGGCACAGGCCTGGGTTGTGGGTTTGGTCCCCAGTCAGGGAGCTTATGAGAGGCAACCAATCAATGTTTCTCTCTCACATCAATGGTTCTCTCTCTTTCTCCCTCTCTTCCCCCCTCTCAAAAAAAGTTTATCTGCATTTTTCATCCTCACCCAAGGATAGGGTTTTTACTGATTTTTAGACAGAGGAAGGGAGAGAGAAAAAACCATCAATGTGAGAGAGAAACATTGATCGGCTGCATCCTGCACACACTCCAACCAGGTGTCGAACCCGTAACTTAGGTGCGTTCCCTGACCAGAGACAGAACCTGCAGCCTTCTGGCATACAGGATGATGCTCCAACTGAGCCACCCGGCCAGGGTGGCCTGCATGGTTTAATTTCGACAACATTATTTAATACTTCTGTAATTGTAGGAAAAAAAAAATAAAAGCCTAGGGCTCTTCAGAACAGAGGGGCAGCTCCTGTGAGCAGGGCACCGGCCCATCCGACCCCGGCAGTTCCTCCTTCCAGTCTGCTGGCAGCAGGAGCCGTGCTGAGCCAGGGCTGGGACCCCCTAGGTCCCCTGCAGGACTCAGAAACCATGAGCTACTTCGCTCTTCTGCGGCTTTCTCCGACCCTCGGCCCTCTCCCCACCATCTCCACCCAAAAGCAGCGGGCAGCATAGCACCACAGGACACTCCACACCCGCCTTCCCCACACACCCGGCGCATCCCTCAAAGGTGGTTTTTCAAATAGGACCCGGGTCAGGTTCCCCCTCCCTCACCCTGTTCTCCAACACCCACCCCCAATAGTAACCCTAGATGCCTGAGGATCTGTCCCCTGCTTCCTGACCATCACCCCAACATCTACCTACTTTCCTGACGCCCCCCAGCCCCAATAAAGCACTGCCCCCTTCTCCTGAAGCCCCCAGCTGGCTCCCTTAGGCACGTTTAACCGAAGCTTTCTTGACACAAGGCCCCCGGGCTCTGAAAGCAAATGTGCCGCCAGCGGCACAGGCTCTTACGTGGCCCATGACCCCATAAGCCAATGTGAAGCTTTGAAGCTACCTGCTTCCTTCCTGCACTCTCGGAGCCCCCATGCGCCCTCATCCCTCTCTCGACTCATTATTTATGCACTCACACATGTCCACCCCAGGCTTAGGCCTCCCAAGGGGAAGGACTGGGGCTTATCTTCACAATCCCCCAGTTTCTACCCCAGCATAAAACCCAGGAGGCACTGAATACTTATCTTCACAGAAAGCAGCAGGGCTCTCCACAGCCATGGTCAAAAAGCACCGGTTCCAGGAGTCAGACAGACCTCGGGCAACGACCAGTCATGTGACCGGGAGCCAGCGCATTCACCTGTAGAAGAAGAGTGCCTACCGCGCGAGGGTTGTGCACGAGGATTCAGGAAAATTTCTTTGCAAGGTGCCACTCAAACAATTGGTGGCTTATTCCTGGGCACCAGACCATGAGAGCTGTGGGTGACCTCTTCAGAAACCACTCAGGCTGGCAAGAAAAGGGCCTGTGGACACCTGTCAAAATTAGGCCCCCATTAGCAGGAGACCACAGTGCCGGAGGCGTCCAGGCGGAGGCGAGGGGGCTGCACAGCAGCCCAGGCAGGCGGGCACCGAGAGACAGAATCAAATCAGAACTTTTCCCCCGGACTTGATGGCACAGAAGGCTGAACCCCTGGAGAACCTGCCCCACTGGCTGGTCTCCAGGCCTTCCCTGGGGAAGGGCTGGAAGCAGGGACAGAGGGGCTCCAGTCGGGGCACCGGGCCTGCTACCAAGTCCCCCGCCCCGCACAGCGCCCCCCCCCCACCTCGGAGAGGACCCTGCTGGTCCTCCCTCCAGCACCGCAGCTCCCCGGGAGAAAGGAATGCGTCTCAGCCACCAGCTCTAAAACCAAATCTTTATTCTCTAGTTTGAAAAGAAGGGTAAGTGGTGGTTCTGTTTAGTCCCAGAAAACAGAACAAGGCCCGACAGGTAGAAATTCTAGGAAAGCAGATTTCACTCATTATAAGGAAGAACCTCTAACGATTAGAATTGTCCTATGGTAGAACCAGGGCCTCAGGAGGCGGGGCCACCCTGTCACCTAGTGTTCAGGCGGAGGCTGGGCATCCAGACACCGGACACCTGGAAAGGGAAACTCACCCCTCCCTTCCCGGGAGCTGACCCTGCCAACACGAGGGGTCTGGGAGGTGTGAAGGAGGGTGGGGGTGTTCAAAGGCCCAGACAGGGGACTGCTGGCAGCCGGGGGATGCTCTAGGTGCAGGCAGGGGGCGGATGAAGCAAGTCTGACAGCCGGGGATCCCCCTCCCGGGGCTGATCTTCAGGGAGGAAGGGGAAGCCACGCAGCAGACAGGTATCTCCGGGTCTGGGTGCCAGCGCAGGGGCCGGGCTGGGACAGCTCGGAGCCGCTCGGCCTCACCCCCAGGGCTGCTGAACTCGGCCAGCAGGTTCCCCCGGGTGTCCCCACCGGTCTGATTCACCTCCCCAGCGCTCTTCACTAAGGACTGTACCACACCTACTTCCAAAACCAAGCTGAAGGAGCTAGCTCATGACGGACAGGGACATTAAGGCGTTACCAGCAGAGAGGGGTCATCTGTCCACTGGTGACCCCTCCCGCGGAGGACAGACACTAAGGGGTGGGTGCAGGTGCTATTGCTACTTCTTCTCCAGGGCACGGGACAGGGAGGACAGAACCTCAGCCACCACCAGCTGGAGGCTGGGTCCGCGCGCTGCACAGCGACTCCCCCTGTTTCTCACGGGGAACGCTCACTCGCGCCTCCCCAGCCCCCGCTTCGCCAGCAGCCAGCAGCAGGGAGGCCCCGGGGCCCCACCTCCCCGCTCTCGAGGAACCATGCCGGTGCTCTCAGACATCATGCTTCTTCTGATGGGCCAGGAGCTTCTCCTCGTCGTCAAAGGTCTGGCCGCAGATTGCGCAGCAGAAGGCGCCGTCCCGGATGTGGCTCTTGCGGTGGGTGATGAGGTTGGACTTCTGGCTGAAGCTCCTGTCGCAGTCGGGGCAGGCGTAGGGGCGCTCGCCGGTGTGGATGCGCCGGTGGGACACCAGGTTGGACTTCTGGCTGAAAGCTTTGCCGCAGTCGGGGCAGACGTAGGGCTTCTCGCCCGTGTGGATGCGCCGGTGGGCGGCCAGGTAGGGCTTGTGGCGGAAAGCCTTGCCACAGTCCGGGCAGACGAAGGGCCGCTCCGGCGCGTGGTCGCGCCGGTGGGCTGCCAGGTGGCTGCCCTGGGAGAAGCGGCGCCCGCACTCCTCGCAGGCGAAGGGCCGCTCCCCCGAGTGGACCCGCGAGTGGGCCACCAGGTGGGTCTTCTTGGCGAAGTTCTTCCCACACTCGGGGCAGGCGAAGGGCCGCTCCCCCGTGTGCTGCCGCTGGTGCGCGCGCAGGAAGCGCTCCAGCCGGAAGCTCCTGCCACAGTCCTCGCAGCTGTAGAGAGATGGGGGGACATCCCCCTGGTTCCGGGGGGCCTCTGGCAGAGGCTCAGCGGAAGGATCCTGTGCAGGTCTCGGTGGGGCATCTGGGGTAGGCTCTGCCAAGGGCTCCGGGGGCCCCGCTGAAAGCTGGGGGCTCCCCGAGCCAGGGGCCCCCTGGGCGGACCCTTCGGATCGCCTGTGGATCTTGCTGTGAGACAGGAGGTTGGGTTTGTGGCGGAAGCGGCGCCCGCACTCGGTGCACGGGTAGGGCTTCTCGCCCGTGTGGATGCGCCGGTGGGAGGTCAGGTAGGGCTTGTTGGTGAAGCGCTTCCCGCACTCGGGGCACTGGTGGGGCCGCTCGCCCGTGTGCACGCGGCGGTGAGCGATCAGGTTGGGTTTGTGCCGGAAGCGCTTGCCGCAGCAGGCGCACTGGAAGGGCCGGTCCACGGCATCGCCCCCCGGCCGGGGCGCGGTCACCGCGGGGCGGCCCCGGGGCCGAGGCCCGAGCGCCTTGGCTGCTGCCTCCTCCAGGGCCTCGGCCACGTGAACCCGCTTGTGCGAAACCAGCTGGTCCCACTGGGCAAAGCTCCTTCCGCAGTTGCCGCATATGAAGGGCCGGGCCTCAGGGGCTGGGGGGTGGCACCTCCGCGCATGCACTCGAAGCTGCTTGCGCCGCCAGAAGCGTCTCTCACACTCGGGGCAAGCAATGGGCCGCTTGGCAGCCGAGTGGGCCCGCAGATGCAGGACCAGGGCCACCCAGCCGCGGAAGCTCTGCCCGCAGAGGTGGCAGGCGAAGCCCCGGTCTGGGGTGGCAGCGGCGTGCACCTGGCAGTGCAGGGCCAGGAAGGGGGCGTGTCGGAAGCGCCGGCTGCATTCTGGGCAGGCGAGGGGCAGCCGGGCCTGGCAGTGCCGGGCGTGAAGCCACAGGGCCACCCAGCCCGGGAAGTGCCTCTGACAGTGGGCACAGCGACGGACCCGACCTGGAGCTTGGCTGCCTGGCGGGGCCACCGAGGTGCCTTGTAGCCTCAGCCCGCCCGGCTCCTTCTCCAGGGTCTGCGGAGACCCCTGGGAGGGCCCGGAAAGGAGCTGGGGCCGGGCCGGGCCCACGGCCAGAGGGCCGCGGCAGCGACGTTCCAGCATCGGTCCTTCCTCTGCTGCGGGCGGAAAAGCACAGTCACGGGAAGGCCCAATCGCCCTGCCCCGGCCCTCCCGCCACCCCCGGCCCGGGGGCACTCACCCCTCTGGACTCCCAGAGCCCTGGAATCTAGGCTACTCTTCTACACTAGCTCAACCTTGGGCTCCTAGACATGCATTTCAAGTGCGTTTGCCATGAGTCTTACTGACCGTGACGCTTCCTGGAGTCCCCCCACCCACGGCCACCATACGTCTGGAGTGGGGCGAGCACTCCGGTGCTGACTGCAGAAACATTCCTGCCTCGCACCGCCACGGAGCTTCCTGCGTTTCCCAAGGGCGGCCCTGCTGCCCTCCCCTGCCCCTGCTGCTTCCTGCCGCCACACCTGAGTTTCGGGGCAACCTGTGAGGCTGGGTGAGCAGACACTGCCCTGACGGACAGAGGAAGCCACCAGGAGGCATAAGAGGTGACAGGACTCTCGGGGGTGGGGGGAGGGGGAGACACAGTAAACCAACAGCAGAACCAGGACTAGGTGGGACTGTTCTTCTCCACTCCCGGGCCAGGGTTCCTCCCTCTGAAACGCCCAGGTTTGTCAGGCCCTCACAGAAACTTCTACAGCCTTCCATCCCTGTTATCTTCTCTCTGGCACCAGCTGCAGCACCGGAGGCTCTCTCGGCCTCGCTGTCCCGTTCTGTCTCTCCAGGTTGAAGCCGGGAGAGCCAGTGCGAACAGCCCTGCTGGGAACAGGAGCAGGGCTGGCTGCTCCTCCCAGAACAAGGCCAGGCCACTGCCTGTCCAGACTGTGCCCACATTCTGCCCACCTGCCCCCCTCCACCCACCCACCCACCCACCCACACACACGATGAGGACATGGCAGGAAGGAAAGTTCTCCTGAATCCAAGGAGCGTACATGGCTGCTGCCCTTGGGGCCCAGGGCTCCGGGGCTGCCTCCCTCGGGGTGAAAGAGATTACTGGGGCAAGAGAGGGGGAGGAAGGAAGAGATTACGTCTCTGTCCCCTGCCTAGTCCTGCCCCAACCCTGCCGGGGGCTGCCCCACATTCTGTAACTCCAAAGCTCCGAGGAGCCCAGATTCCTGCAGGGGAGCCTCCTAAACCCACTAAAGGGGCAGGGGGCAGGGCGGTTAGACTCCTAAGGGACCCTCACTCCCTTCTCGAAAGCTCCAGACACATCTTCCTAAGTTCCCTAGAGTCTGCACTCCTGGAGGCGCACAGACATGACTCACTCCCGACAGCCAGACTGGGTGCCGGGAAGGCTCCAGGATTTGAGAATGGGATCCTTCCCCCCACAGGCGCCTGCCTGCCTTCCCCTGGAGGGAGGCCTGAGCACCAAGGCTGTGGGAACCCAACAAAGAAGGTCAGACTCTACCCTGGAGACTGTGGAGCTGGAGACGAGGCTTTTTCCAGCTCCTGCTGGGGACGCTCCTGGGGATACTTCTGCGGCTGCAGCGCCTGCTCCGGCCCAAACTGTGGTAGCCCCCAGACGTCAGAGAAAACTGCAGGAGTAAAGACACCCCTACCCCCATGGCAGAGCTCAGGCCTCCGGCGGCAGAGAGGCCAGCCTTACCTGCGGGGAGGGGAGAGAAAACACGCGTGAGGCTGTGCGCTCCTCCAGGACAGTCATCTTTGTGTCCTCGCCAGCCGTAACCCCCTCCCCCAACCCGGCCCCACACCCGGCTGGCAGAGTGACCTTAATGGACAGTACGTTAATAAATAAATGCGGCCCCTGCGCCAAGAAAGCACCCATCTGCGTTTGGGGGTCACTTCCTCCACTGGTAAGGTCGCAGCACAAATTCTCCACGCTGATGGCCAAAAGCCGGACTATGGCAGCAACTCTGGAATCCCTGCTGACTCCCCTCCCCCCACCCTCCTCCCGACGGGAATTCCAGGCCCGTTTCCCAGGGGGCTGGGCAGGCGAGCAAGTGTGACCGGGGCTGGATCTGAAGCCCCTCGCGTCCTGGATGGTGAAGGGCCGTGGAGACCCCCCCACAACACCCTTTTGTATTCGCGCCCGTACCCCCGTCCCCGCTCGCAGACGCACTGCTCCGCGCTCCCAGAGGGGGCCCCTTCAGGTCCCGGTGCAGAGCGCACCTCGCGGAGCCTGTGCGCAGGTGCGCGGGCTCGCCCCCCACTTCGGTCGGCATGTGCCCCCCACACAGTGAGCACACGGTCACGCGCCCGGCAGGTAAGGCCGCCCCTGCCACGGGCCCGCGTGGAACCCCGCGCCCTCCCGGGACGAACCTCTCCGGCGGGGTGCGCGGAGGCGCTTCGCGCGTCCATGAGGCCGCAAAGCCGGTGCCGGCAGCCGCGCTCCCCACCCCACCGTGGCGACAGCAGCAGGTTCGAGTTCACCACTGCCAGGCCCGTGCCCAGCCCCCCCGCCGGTTCCCAGCGCCACGTGACTACAGGAGCTGCAGAGGGTCAGTCGTGGGCTCCGGCCGGCAGCCACGGCCGGAGGGCGGGGTGGGCCGGGCAGTGGAGCCGGTGGAGCGGGGTCCCTCACCACCCCTAAAGCCCCCTCGCGGGCCGGGCTGGGGGAAACCGCCGAGAGCCCGACTCCGTTGCCATGGCGACCACAGCCCGGCTCTTCCGGGACAGGCCCGGCTCAAGTTTCCCGACCCTTTGTCCCTTTGGAGGACGCGCGTCCCTGGGCGACCGCGTGGCCAGGCTTGTCACTCGGCCAGACCGAGCCTCTTGGGTTCTCTAAAGGCTCCAGGCTCGCCCGAGCCTTCAGAGAGGACGCTCCTGCCCCCGGACCACCCCGGGCCGCGCCCCCCACTCCCCGGCCACCCTGACCTTGGCCCGGCCAAGGAATCTCAGTGCCTGGGGTTCAAAGACGTGCTGACATTCGTCGTCCGGGGGAGGCGCGCCTGCCTCGGGTCCGGCTTCTGGTTTGTTCAAAAGTGGAGACAGAAAGGCCCCATTGCGTGAACTTTGAAAAGGGGATGCCCTCCATTCCAGGAATTAGCCAAGAGTGGCGTTCCGGCGGCCGTGGCCGCGGGGCGGGGGGCCGCTCTTGCTCCGGGGCCGTTTCGCTGGAAAACGCCCCGCAGCGGGTCGGCCAGTGCGGAGGCAGGTGCGAGCCAGCGCAGGTGACTCACCCGGTAGCAGGTGGCCCTTGGTTCTCCGAACAGAACACTTCCTGGGCTTCCAGGCGAGCCCCGTTTCAGGTGCTTTTATGCTTTCCAGCATAAAAAGGCCATTTTTTAATTACACAAAAACTTTAGAAACACTTCCAAAATCTATTCCACCAGTAGGAAATAGAATATAAAATCTCTCATACTCTCTCTCCTAGAGCGAATTACCTTTAACATTTGGGCAAGTGTCCTCTGATCTTTCTTCCACGCGTGTCAGTGCGTGGGGGACGTACACGGGATGCAATACCTCGAGAAGGCGTGTTCTGCCCCCTTCACTTACCACCGCTGTGAACTTTCCCCCACTTTTTAGATATTCTTTTGTAATGCGATTCTTAACGGCAGCATACATGTACAAATAAATTACATGTCTCTCTTTTTCTGTATCATTATAACGTCACCTTTCCTGTCTCCAGAAACCCTCTATGAAGACGCCCACGTATTGTCTAGCAGCCCCCACCCCGCCCGCCGTTACCTGCAAGAGGGAGAACTCCATCCACCTCTTACAGATAGACGGTCCCAGGCCCCACGCATCCACCCAGCAAATATTTAACTGGTGTCCGCCATCTGCCGCTGTGCCAGGTGCTGGCCGACGACGGGCCAGGCAGAAACGGTCCCCGCTGTTCTTCCAGGATGCCTTATCCCCCTGGTTTCACAACAGCAATATCCCTTCAAAGCTGGTATTTAGTGTGAAATTAAACCAGATGCACCTTGGCAATTTCCGAGTGGACGGCTGTTGAAAAGCAGGAGGAGACTAGGGGGCAGAGACAAGAAAACGTCACCCTCACGGAACTTACTCGGTGGTGAATGCCTGCTGCAGACGGCATCCTGAAGACGGGGCTGGGAGCTCACCGAGCTCCTTCCAAGCGCTTGCGGGGGGGCCGTGCGGGAAGGAGGCAGAGAGCACACGCCACGCTCACAGCGACGGAGGCCACGTCTGCTGGAAGCGGCCTCACACTGGCACAGTCACTTCCATCCCGGGGGGCCCTCTCGGCACCGGGACCTGGGGAGACAGCGGCCGAGGTCCAGCCGGAGCAAGGCCCCGACTGCCCAAGGCTGGCATCTCAGGTGAGAGCAGTCTTGCTAGGTCATGTGGAAACTCTTCAGGAAAAGATCAGCTGCTCCTACTGCTGCAGTTCTAAAAATACCCTTAAAGGCGCAACACACACAGGGCGCCTGGCAAGGACAGATGCTGCAACGGCAGCCCCAGCCCGGGATCAGATGTCACCCCTAACTCCGCAGCCCCGGACACTTGGCTGCTTGCTGCACACCTAGTCCCGGGAGCTGGTTTTTCTAAAAGAAAAAGAACAGAACGCGTCAGAAGGAAACCAGGGAGAGATCTCAGATTTCCTGCACGGGGCGGGCGTCAGAGCTGGGGAGCACCAGGGCTGTGAAGTCCTGCTCAGCACTTCCCGCCTCTCCCGACAGCCACCGCTCCCCGGGCCCGCACAGCCGCTCTGGAGCCCACACTCCCCTGGCTCGCGCAGCCCGGGCTCCGGGCTCCGGAGCCAGACTGACCTCGCCTGCCTCTAGCTCCACGCCATTGGGGTCCAGCTGGACTCTCGGCCCCAGCCACAGCGCCTCCTGCTGTTCTGTCTGCCTAGGCTGCTGCTCCTCCAGACCTTTTCAGGGTCAGGTCGCTCTTTCCCTCTGTTCAGATTGGAACCCAGGCATCCTGTCCTCAGAGCCCGCTTCCCGACGGACCTCTCTGTGCCCCTCTGCCTGTACACTGGGCTACTCATTCCCGTGGCTGCTGTGACAAGTATCCACACGCTTGGTCACGGAAGACAACACACATGTGTTCTTGCAGTTCAGAGGTCAGGCGTCCAGAATCAGTGTCACTGGGCCCGCTCACTCCGGAGCTCTACCGGAGACGGTGTGCCCGCCTTTTCCAGCCCCTAGAGCTGAGTTCCTGGGCGACTTGGCATCCCCCCCACACCTCCCCCTTCAAAGCCAGCAGTGTAGCGTTTCCTTGTCCCTGGCCCCACTGCCTTCTGTCTCTGTCTCTGCTCAGATCTCCCGCTGCCGCCCTCTTACCAGGGTGCCTGTGATTACACCCGGGGCCCCCCGGGGAATCCAGGACACTTGTAAGGGCAGATACAAAGGAAACCTAAGAAAGACGAGTCTTCGCTCTCCCAGGTGCCAAAGTGGGGGGCACCTTCCCCACAGCCACCACCCTTCCCTCAGGAAACCCGTCACTGTGAATTTTTCTCCGTCCCTGTGAGATGCTTGTATACAGAAGCCCCCTGCCAGCGTCACGGCCCAGGACGGCCTGGGAGCCGTCTCTTTGGATGGAAACAGCAAGGGAGGCAGGCCCTGGCCCCCAGCCCCCACGGGAGGTGGGGCCTCCCCTGGGAGCACACCTGGCTCCCAGCCGCAAAACTGCCTCCTGCCGTTTTATGACGAGTGTGTTTTTCCTCTGGATAAAGGCAATTCGCGAGCACAGGTGGCTCCCCGGCTGCCAGGTGGACTCAGGACGAACTCTGTGTGACACGTGGTCCAGGCCTCCGGCCCCAGCACTAGGGACAGCCTATCTCGAGCGCACGTGTGTGATGGCGGCACCTGCAGGGCCGTGTAACAGGTGAACTTCCTTTCTGCCTTTGCCACTCTGGGCGGACTGCCTGTCGGGTGTGTCTCCTCCTGGTGCGAGACTCACTCAGTAACGACCCTGTCCCCTTTCCCTCCTACCTTTGTGGGCGGCTTTCCCGGGCTGGCAGGAGATTTTGTTTTTTTAACTCTATCTCCCCAGTGTAATCTCTCCACCCCAAAATTCTTAGCTGAATCACATCTGCAGTCCCCTTTGCCATATAAGGCAACATTCACAGGTTCTTCAGAGCTCTTTCCACCTCCTTAAAGTCTTTTAGGTATTTATTCACTTAGATGGTTTTTGTCTAGTTACCTACCATGACATAAGTCACACAAAGGCAGAGATTTGTCCTGTTTTTTTTTTAAGATTTAATTTATTTATTTTTAGAGAGGAGAGGGAGGGAGAAAGAGAGGGAGAGAACCATCAATGTGTGGTTGCTTCCCGCATGCCCCCCACTGGGAACCTGGCTGAAACCCAGGCACATGCCCTGACTGGGAATCGAACCAATGACCCTTTGGTTCGCAGGCCAGCGCTCAGTCCCCTGAGCCACACCAGCCAGGGCTGTCCTGTCTTTTTAATCACCACATAGCCAGCCCCTAGAACAGCGTTGGGCCCATGGTAGGTATTCCGTGTTTGTGGACCAAACGAAAGAGGAAACGTGAAGAGCTCCACCCCCTTGGTTAAGCGAATCCGATTAGACCACACCGAGCCGCCTAACTTCAAACTCTCGCCTCGGCCACTGCCTCTTGAGCAGGTGCTGGGAGCCCAGCAGAACTTCTAGTGAAAGGAAATACCACTTTTTCTCACAGAAAAATTCAAGTCAGTACGTGAGTGAGGTAAAGAACAAGCAACTCAACACTTGCGCCTGTAACACTCTCACCGGAGGGCTCCCTCCTCGCTGGCGGCAGCGCCCTGCCCGTCTTCCCTCGCCCGGAACCTGATTCCCCAACACCTGGGAGGCAGGAGCCTTTCGGGAACCCGTGGCCCCTGGGGGGCAGGGGGCGCTCCTCTCCCTGGCCACCACGCTTCCCACCCCGTGGTGATTTGATGGGGGGACCAGACATTGCCAGAAAACGCTGGAATAAATCATCTTAGTGTCTCAGCCAGGAAACAAAGAGCTTGACTTTACCTAGAAACCTACCTTCCTACCCTTTTGGGGTTAAATCCCATCTATTGTCACCATGCAGGGTCTGTCCTACTCCAGGCTGGGATCAGATGCTGCCTTCTTCAGCGTCATTCAGAAGACGCATCTGGATGCCGGGGTGCGTCCTCCGAAAAGCGGAGCGTGATTTGGGAACACCAGGATGCTCGGGACAGGATCTCCGTGGTCTTCGCAGCCCCACAGGAGCAGGCGGGTTGCCGAGTGTTCTGTTTCCCGTGAGCGCGCGCGTTATTGTGTGCGAAAGCCATCTGTGCTTGCTCGCCACCAACCACAACGCTGCCTGTCCCCTTGGCTGGGTCCTACCCCGCCTCCTCCTCGCCAATGCAACCCGCTTGGTGACTTGGAGGAATCGGACTGTACACCTGGCTTCAACTCGATGCCTTCCAACGGGTTCTTTTCTTTTTTTTTTAAATATAATCTTTATTATATTTTTTCCCATTACCATTTAGTCCCCTTGTACTCCTCGCCCCCCAGTGATCACCACCCTGTTATCTATGTCCGTGAGTCCTTTGTCTTTTTTGCTGAATCTCCCCGCCCCCAGCCTCCCCCACCCCGCCCCAACTAGCTGTCATCCTTTCTCCATCTACGAGTCTGTCTCCCTGGCAGGTTCTAAGAACAAACCTGGGCCACGGTTAAATTTGGCACCTTCGCAGTTGGCCAGTGAGGTCTGTGTTCTCAGAACTGGTTTGCCTTCACCGTCTTGAAACAGGAATCCCCTCCTACCAGGATTGAAGGTTCATTTGGGGGATGTTATTAGAAATTCCAACAAGATAGCATGTTGACTACATAGTAACAGTCTATTAAATTACTACATTCAATGAATAATATATTAATACTAAATAAAATTAATTTTTTTAAAAACTTGAAAAGTATTTCATTTCATAGCATCTAAAGTGCCCTCAGTGCTGCCCTGGCCAGTGTGGCTCAGTTGGTTAGAGCATCGTCCTGTAAACCAAAAGGTCATGGGTTCGATTCCCAGTCAGGGTACATGCCACGGCTGTGGGTTCAATCCTTGTCATAGAGTGTGCAAGAGGTAACCAATTGATGTGTTTCTCTCGAGTCGATGCTTTGCTACCTCCCTTCTCCCTGTCTAAAATCAGTAGGTGTGTCCTCATGTGAGAATTAAAAACATAAAAACGATAAACTGCCCTCAGTGTCTTCTACCCGTGGCTGAGATGTCCTCGTTATCCGAGCCCATGCTGGTTCTCAGCTCCACCAAACGTGCATCTGGGATGTAAAACCCTGGCAACAAATTGACATGATTCGCAGGGTCAGATGGAGTTAAAGGAAGTTCCTAGGGTTAAACCAGGAATCAAAAAGTCATAACAGGCAACCACAACTATGTAAGAAAAATAATTCCACAGCCTTGTAATTTGGGGGGGTAAAAAAAAAGGGAACTCTTTAAGTTTCAAGGACCTTACTCCTGCTCACTGTCTCCATCTAGTGGTAGGTCCTCGAGGGAGATTTAGTGAGGTCTACCAGAGACTTTCATCTTGGGTATTTGCCTCCTGGTCACTTTGATTTGGGGAAATATTTTTCACTCACAGAAGAAAGTTTGTAAATGTACTTAATAAGTGTGCATGTTTCTTTGATTTGCTGATTTCCTTGAAAGAGTAATGACAGGTTGTTTTTTAAAAGATTTTATTTATTTTTAGAGGGGAAGGGAGGGAGAGAGAGGGAGAAAGAAACATCAATGTGTGGTTGTCTCTCATGCGCCCCCGAGTGGGGACCTGGCCCAAAACCAGGCATGTGCCCTAGACTGGAAATCGAACCTACGACTCTGGTTCACCTGCCAGCGCTCAACCCCCTGAGCAACAGCTAATTACAAGTTTTAAAACGTTAATGGCATGCTATCATTAAGGTGCATCTGCTATCCAAGTGTCAGTTCCTGCCACACTAAAACATTAAAAATGGCATCCAGATTTCTTCGCTTTTTTGAAGACAAATGATACAATTTATATGTTCACTCTCTCAGTAAGGCCAGGTGGTTGGGGCTTAGTGTTCGTCACTTTAACTTAACCTTGTTCTTCTGCCCGCAAAGCACCTGATTATTGTGTCACGCGGGCAAAGACCTAGCTTTTCAAACAGTCGGGTTGAGGGCAGCGCTCCAGGCGTTGGGAAAGGCTTCGAGTGCGTGCGTACATTCGCCAGGGCTGCCGCTGCAAAGGAGCACACACAGGGTGGCTCCAACAACGGGAATTTATTCTCTGACGGTTCCGGAAACCTGAATTCGAGACGAAGGTGTCAGTGGGGTTGGCTCTCTGAGGCCGCTCTCCCTGGCTCGCCGTGGGTGGAGTTCCCCCTGTGACCGCTCTGTGTCCAGATCCCTTCTTACAAGGCCACCGGTCATGCTGGGTTGGGAACCCTCCCTGGGACCTCATTTTCCCTGAATCGCCTCTTCTGAGTCCATCGCTCCCAAAACAGTCGCATTTGGAGGCACTGGGGGTTCGGCTTCAACATACGAAGCCTTCTTTCTCGGTAGCTCACGGATTCTGGCTAAACCCAGGTGAGCGCCCACATGTGTTCGCCACGTTGTGGCAGTGGCTGAAGTGAACGTCCTGTGCTCACCAGGCGGCAGCTGCGGAACAGGCTGCGCCAACGGACTCGTCAGAGACTCCCGTGTTACAAGTCTCCTTACGAGCGCTTTCCCGACGACGTCAGCGGTTGCAGCTGCTGCTGCACCTGCCGCTCCACCAGGGAGCGGCCCGACCGCAGGAAGTCGGACAGGCGTCGCCGACTGGTGTCGGAGCAGCAGAGGCGCTGCCCGCACGTCCCGCTCCCGGATGCCAGCAGTGAAACTGCGAGGGAGCCGTGGAGCTGCACGGTGACACGCGCAGAAGATGACACTGAAACCACGGGGAGCGGGGCCGAGAAACTGCTGGTCACCAGAAATTCCCTGGCTCCCCCTTCCCGCAGTTCCCTATGCAGACTAGCCAGGATGGAGAGGCGGAGAGGGGCTCTGGGGCGAGAGTGCGCCACGTCCCAGGGGGCCGGCACCTGAGTAAACCACTTCCCTTCGCATCAGCACCTGCCTCTCGGGCACTGGCTTTCGAAGGGGCGGGCAGCCGGACCTGTGTCCGGTTACAACGTGGTTATCCCCACCTCCTTCCAAAACTCCACTAAAACGACAGTGAACAGAATGAGAGGCTTCAGACCACAAGGAGAAAGAAGATGGGAGAGAAGACAACAAACAGAGGATGAGACACACGACGTGTTTTACAAGACCTCGGGAAAGGTGCCATGGTAACGGCAAAGGGCTCCTCCCGGGGCGGGGCTGAGCTGCGGGAGCAAGAGGCGCCCCCTCTGAACCATGAGGAGGCCCTGGACCGGAAGGCACCATCCTCCCTGGAGACAGGGAAGAGGCTGGGGCATCGGGGGAACCTCCCGGCCCTCCGCCATGCTGGAGGCCAGAGGGGCTCTGCCTGGTGGAAGGGCGATAACCCAAATGAAGGCAGGAGGGGACGGTCACGGTCCCCAAGCTCATATGGCTCCCAGCCTCTGACCCCACTTGGCACCCAGACCACAAGCGGCCACTTTCCACATATTTTCCTCGTTTCCTCCTCACGACAAGCCCACAGGTAGGGATCCGGGTCCCACACTGCAGACAAGGAAGGAGGAGTTTGCGGGAGGACGTCAAAGGAGATCCTCCGTGTCTGGTCACTAGGACAGGGCCTGGGAGCAGAGAGGTGGTCACCCTCGTCACGGGCACGCAGATCGCAGAGCTGCTTCGGACTCGCTCAGATGTACAGGAGCTGAACCGACATCCGGACACTCCCCCGGACTCCCCGGGGGCCCTGGGAATTCCACCACACTGTCCCGCCAGGCTCCCAGCACCCGTGAGAGACCACTGACTCCGTGGCCACTGAGGGTGGGACGCGCAGGCTCGGCGCTGGCCTTGCGTGGTGGTGAGAGAGGCTGCGGACGCCAGAGTCGTCTCCAAAGAAGATGCCTCTGTCCCGAGTGTGGCTTCAGGACGCGGGGGGCGGAAGAGTGGAGGAATGACTCCTCCGGGTCTCGTCTGTTTGAGGATGTCTGCGTTTCTGGGAAGAATGTCCAGAAATGAGTGCCTTGGAGATGAGTCACCCCAAGGGGCCTAAGCTAGGGGAGGCCCTACCTGGAGGCAGGGTGGGGGCAGGGCTGTCCCATATCCCAAGGAGAAGAGAGAGCAGAGGCCTGGCCCAGACCTCCCGGAGCTCAGGCTCCTCAGCCTCGCCTCACTCCTTCCCACGCCCCCTGGACACCCTGCTCCCCCACCCTGCCTGGACCAGCAGCCAGGGTCAGGGTCAGGGTCAGGGTCAGGCGTTGGCGGGAGAGTAGGACAGGAAGGGAGGGGGGGGGGCTGCTGCCCGGGAGGCGGATCCTAACAGGGTGGGGAGGAGCCTGGGGCGGCTCTGGGCGCTGGAGGGAGCCCAGGAGGTGGGGGTGGGAGGAGATGGGGCCAACCAAAGGAGGGAGGGCGGCGAGGGGGGCCGGGGACCGGGAAGAGGCTGACAGCCCAGAGAAGTTGCTGCGGGGAGCCAGCAGAGACCCCGAGGCACCAGAGAGGTGAGGAGGGACAGCAGGCTCCAGGCAGCTGGACAAAGGGCAGCGTTGGGGGCGGGGGGGGCGTGGAGAGGAGAGGGGCAGGCAGAGGGAGCCAGCCCAAGGGCCAAACTGGCCGGCTTATCCGTGCGCCCTCGCTTCACGCAGCACGCGAGGGGCCGTGTGGGAGGCCCAGAAAGAACGTCAAGGGAAGGAGGGTCTGCCCGAAGAGGCTAGCCAAGGGTGCGAGGCCCAGGCGAGACCCCCTTTTCTCTGGTGTAGGGGTAGGGCCCATGGCAACAGGCGGCCCCAGCACAGAGAGGGTTAAGCATCCTCCTCGGTCCCCACCCTGCTCTGGCCCCTCCGAGTGTTTACATCCTTCCAGAAATATTCAGCCTCCTTTCTACACCCCAGGCTCTCTCCCCTGCAGTTATGGGGCGGGGGCCGGGGGGCGGCTAGAGTGGACCTGGGAGCCAGCAGACCCTGGGATGGGAGCGAAGCCAAGAGGGTCTCCAGGGGCAGCAGGGCGTGGGGTGGGACAACGGCCAGCAAAGGTGGGGAGGGCAGGAGGGAGGGGGGCGACAGGAGTGCTTCCCTGGCTGCCGGCCAGGGACAAAAGCCAACTCAGCACCTGCCCAGGACAGGGCCGACCCCGACCCCGGGCTGAGCTGGGCCCCAGGAACAGCGGGAGGCAGAGCGGGGAGTGTGGGGGGTGAAGGACAGGGAATACCAGGGGGATTTCCACGAAAGGCCACATCCTGTCCCTCCACCTCTGTCCAGAGCTCTGCTGGGCATGGCCCCCAAGCGCAGGGCCAGGGGATCGGCAGCTGGTATGAGGAGCTGAGGGTCACATGCAGGCTTTGCAGGACCGAGTGACGGAGGTGAAGTCATGTGGCGGCTGCTGACCCTGCTGGCCGTGGGGCTGGGCGCTGTGGGCTTGGGCAGGGCGGAGCTCTCGGCGGCCCAGCAGCAGGGCCTGCAGGTGGCCCTGGAGGAATTCCACAAGCACCCGCGCGTGCAGTGGGCCTTCCAGAAGACCAGTGTGGACAGCGCCACCGACACGGTGAGCAGCGAGACCCGTGGAAGGGAGGGGGTCAGGGCCGCACCCCAAGAGGCCAGCGCATTCCCGGGGAGCAGGTGCAAGAGGTCTCGGGCTCTGTGCGCACGCAGCCCTCGGGAGAAGGGCCACCCCCCGGGCCACCAACGCAGTCCGTGCTGCTTCACTGTGGGGAGGAGGGACAGGTCACACCCAGGAATCGCTCTGCCTGCCCAACTGGCTGCTGCCCTTCCTCTGTCTTTCTGTCTTGTAGCCCTACCCGGCGGGGACCTTCGTGAGGCTGGAATTTAAGCTCCAGCAGACGAGCTGCTGGAAGAAGGACTGGAAGAAGCCCGGGTGCAAGGTCAAGCCCATCGGGGTGAGCGGAGAGGCATGGCTGGGCGCTTGGGGCATGATGGGGCGCTTGCTCGGGTGCAGTGACGTGTACCTGGGTTTTGCTGGAGACGCCCCTGTGGAGCCCACAGGGGTGACAGTGTGGGTGGCCTGAGCCTGGCCCGGCGGGAGGAAGAGGTGGGCCACTGGGACGGAGTTCACCTTGGTCCAGGTTCCTCCCCAGGGCGTCAGGGCACTGGCGGAGGCCCTGGTGTGGGTGGGGCTGGCCCCAGGCCTGCTGAATTCCACTCTCTGTGAGTCTCCAAGTGGAGATGGCCCAACCTAGGCTGATCCCTAACAGGGTCTGACTGTAGTCCGACACCTTGGGGGCGACCCCCAGCCCCAGGGGGGAGATGCCGGGCCGGGGGGCAGGCCTCGGGGTTCTAGCCCCGGCACTGCACAGCCCCAGCGCTGTGGCTTCTCAGGCTCTCCGAGGGCCTCAGTTCCAGCAGCTGTTCAAGGGGGCATGGGCTACACCCGTGGTCTTCCAGCCTTCTGCGCCCAATCCTTGCGCTCAAAGCCAGCCTTGAGAGAAAATGCAAATAAATGCACTAGCAGACAGCAGGGTGGGTCTGGGGGAAGTCGGGGGGACCCCCGTCTGAGGAGGCCTCCTGCCTGCACACTCACATGCACACTCGCATGCACACTCGCATGCACACTCGCTGAAGTTCTGAAAACTGCAGCGCGGTTTCACTAACTCCCCAGCCCGAGGGCGGGCTGCGCCGGACACCAGCTGGCCGGCAGGACCCTCGCCCCTTTCCTCTAGGGCCTGCAGGGGACAAGACTCCGCTGCAGGCAGCCTGCGGTCCCCGGCCTCCACCCTCCCGAGGCCACAGGCCTCCCCTCACCCCTCTCTTCTCCTGGCCCCGTGCCCCTCTCCCCAGAGGAAGCGGACATGCCTGGCCTGCGTCAAGCTGGACCACGAGTTTAAAGTCCTGGGCCGCATGGTCCACTGCCCCATGGAGACGCAGGTTCAGCGGGTGAGAGCGGGCAGAGGACGCAGCGGAGAGGCTGGGAAGTGGCCGGGGGGACGAACAGAACCTGGGCCTGTGGGGGAGGCCGAGGGGCAGGAGCCTAGGCAGAGGAGGGGAAGGACAAGGAGCGGAGGGGGGAGAGCGGGGAAGAGCGGGGAGAAAGGTGAGGAGGGGGAAGGGGGAGAAGGGGCTGAGCGGCCTGGCGCCGGCAGGAGCCCAAGGAGCACCAGGAGGCCCAGTGCAGCAGGGTGGAGCACATCGGCGAGGACCCCCACAGCTTCTACTTCCCGGGGCAGTTTGCCTTCCTCAAGGCCTCTCCCCCCAGCTGAGGCCCCGACCGGTAGGTGGCTGGGGGGCGGGAGGACAGTGGCACTGGGGCAGCCCTGGGCGGGGTCCGGGAGGAAGACACGGCCGGTGCTGGACTGCCGGAGTGAGGGCAGGGACCTGGGAGCCCGGGAGAAAGCTGGGACCAGAACCAGAACAGCCCCCTCACACCCAAACCTTGTCTTTGTCCTCTCCTCCAGCGCTTCACCCTGCTTTCTGGACGGCGGTGGGAGGTAGCGAGCGAAAGCCAGCCCTGCCTCCCTGCGTGCGCCTGGGGAGGGCGACCCCTGACCCCTGACCTGAGCTAATAAACTGCTCTCAGAACCATGCTCTCTCCTCCCCTCCGCTGACTGGTGGGGCCACGAGGGAGGGAAGGCTGGGGAACTCCTGCAGGAGATGGCAAAGCTCCGGGGCAGCAGGACACCCAGGATGGGGACAGGGGCCCTTGCGCGTGCTCCTCCTTCCTGCAGGAGGGACCAGAGGTGGCGGGGACCCCGTCTTGCCTTCAGAGCTCATGCCCATATGAAATGACAGACGATGATGCAAATTAAGGCAGAAACCTTTATTAGGCATTAGCATGGGTGAAGGTGGGCAAGGAAGGCTCCAGGGAGATACAGGCCTGGAGGCCGGGCAGACGGTTGTTTGGGCAGGCAGGCCGGGGCCGGGGGGGGGGGGGGACCAGCCCCCATGCTCCATGCACCACCGCTCACGTCCCCTTCTGGGACCACTGGGACGGGAAGCAGGCCGCCCCTGCTTCTGCCACCTTTACCCTGGGGAAGCAGCAGCTCTCTCCCACTAAGTCTCAGGCCCGAGCGCCAGGAGTGGCAGGCGAAGGCCTGGGGCCCCGTGGCCAGGCCCACGGCGCAGGCGGCAGGGCAGCCTCACACGGCGCCACTGCTCGAGGAGGCCCCGCGCCTGCCCGGGGAGGCGCCGGGGAGGCGCGTCCCTGCAGAACACAGCAGAACCGTCTTGAGGCAGGAGTGGGAGGGAGGGGCCGCCCTTAGGGAAAGGGGTAAGTGGCTGGCCCAGTGCGCAGGGACAGTGACCAGCGTGACGTGGCCGTGAAGATGAGCGCAGGGAAGGAGGGGAGATGTGGGCAGCGAGGCCACACTGAGCCGGCCCCACGCCATGCGCCAGGCGGTCCCAGGCCACGGGCACGCTCAGAAGACAAAGGACGAGGCCGTGCCCGCAGAGCCGAGCGCCTGCTGGGCCTGGGACAGGCTGTCCTCGGCCTGGCGGTCCAGGGCACGGCACTCCCGCAGGGTGTCCTGGAACTGCCGGCAGGCCTCCTCCAGGATGGAGCTGCTGCGGGGCGGCTGGGACTCCCAGTACCCCGGCCGCACCCAGGGCTGGGCCTCGGCGGGGCCGGGGCCGGGGCCGGGGCCGGGGCCGGGGCCGGGGCCGGGCGGCAGAGAGCGGTCCAGGTCCCGGCACAGCTGGTAGAACTCACTGCCGCGCCCGGTCACACGCTCGCCGTCGACGACCTTCAGGCCCGGCAGCAGCTCTCGGACCACGGCCGGGTAGGAGGGGCTGGCACAGAGCGGGTTGCTGAGCCGGGCCAGAGGGTCCCGGAGCCGAAGGCACTCGAGGCCCCGCAGCCCGGCCAGACACTGCAGCTGGCTAGGCGTGGCCAGCAGGTTGCCAGAGGCATTGAGGCTCTGCAGGTTCTCGCAGGCAGCCAGCGGCTCCAGCCCCGTCAGCTGGTTGTCGGCGACGTTGAGGACGGCCAGCTGGCTCAAGGAGGCCAGGGGGCCCAGATGGGTGAGCGCGTTGCCCGACAGGTCCAGCCACTCGAGGCCCAGGCACTCGCCCAGGCAGCCCAGGTCCGCCAGCCCCAAGCCGCGCAGCCTCAGCAGCAGGATGGACTCCAGGGCAAACTCCCCTGAGCAAGACTTGAGCAGCTGGGGCGTGACGCGTGGGGGCCCGGCGGCCTCTCCGGGCTTCTCGCCCTGGGGCTCCATGAGACAAGGGCGGTCCAGGTGGCCTGGGCCTCGACAGTCTGTCACAGGGACACGGGCGCCACTGGGGTCAGCCGGCCGTCCGACCCAGAAAAGGCACTAGCAGCCCTGACCTCGCGCCAGTGCCAGTGCCCGTGTCCGCCGCCCCTGCGCAGGGGCCAGCAGCTCCCTAGGAGAGACGGTGGAACAGTAAGCAGGCCTCTCCTACACACCTCTGCGACCCTGAAGCAGGCAACGGCACGAAGTGCCACCCAGCCCCCACCACCAGGGCCAGAAACCCCCGTGGCCCAGCAAGACCTGAGGACCCCAGGCCCAGCTGCGGGAGCACAACAGACCCCCCGAGGGAGGTGCGCAGGGCCCAGCCCCCACCCGAGGACCCACCTCCTCAGCTCCGTGCCCTGCTGGTCAGCGTCCTGGCCCCGTGTTCCCAATCCTCCCATTTTCCAGCTCTGCCCTGGGGCAGAAACCCACACTCTTCTTTTTTCCATAACCACTCAGGATCTCTCCTTATTAGTTTTGAGGATTTTTTTTACCCATTTAAATATATTTCTGGGTAGGTAACGGGTCCCCACACCCCCCCACCCCCCTCACCAGGAGCCTCGCATATGTAGCTGCCACAAACAGGGACCCCTGGGCCTGGCTTCACTCCCTCAAAAATGTTGACACAATTTAAAAAATGTTCCAGTAAAATTCAAAATGGTTCCCAGGTCATGCGAGCCTTTGTAACCTCTGGTCCTTAGAGGACCAGCCTTCGGTCCCAGACGAGGAACCTGAGGCTGGAGGCAGGAGAGGACAGGGAAGCCTGAGGTTCAGAGGCAGCACCTCGGGCCGGCCGACTCCCCTCCCCAGCCCTGTCCCAACTAGGTCTGTCCCCTGCTGTCAACACAACAGCACCCACCACTGTTCCAGCTGCAAACATGACCTCATTTCCAGAGAAAGCACAGGGGCTGGAGAGGTGGGGGCCGCCCTCAGGGAGGGGCTCCAGAAAGGTAGGGGAGGGCCTTTCAAGTCCCCGGCGGCTGTGGGGCTGCAGGAGCGCAGGCATCAGTGCAGACAAGCGGGAGGGAGGCAGCCTAGGGGAGGGACACTGCCACCCACAGAGGGGTCAAGGATCCAGCAGAGAGGAAAACCAGAAGGGACCTCTGTTCCCAGTGGCAGCTTCCCAACTCTGCAGGCTCTGGCCGGGCTCAGGCCAGGCGGGGTGACGCTGCAAAGAACTATGGGACCGTTCACTCCTGTGGACAAAAGCTGGGACTCCAGAGTGTCCACGGTCCCGAGTCTGCATTTCTGTGACCAAGGCCACTCTGTATTCCTCCCTCTCCAAGGAGACCAGGCTGACACCCCCATCTCTAAGAACTGGGTCCCTTCATTTCTCTCTAGCCCCCTTCTGGCCTGCAACACTCCAGCAAGTTCTCATTTTGACCTCATTTCTTTCCAAAAGGGACTGGAGGCACCTGCTAAGAAGTCTGGTTCGCGCACTGCAAACGGGGCATGCTGGGGTTGGTGAGCAGGAGTGAGGCCACCGCCCGTGCATCTGGTGAAAACTGCCCTGGCCCAGAGGGTGGGCACCTAGGGGCACTAGACACCTGCCAAGAAGGCACTAGCAAGACAAGGACCCCTATAAGCGTGGAGCGACGTGAAGGGGGGGACCTAGCACAACATGTGGGGACATGGGGCTCCCATCTCAAACACTTGGGACACAGGTGGGACAGCCTGGGGGGCAGAGACCTCCGGTTTAAGGTGGCCATGGGGCATCAGGCACAGGAGACGGCTGATGCTCTAGGCTGAAGGGACCCAGGCATGATCTGCGGAGGTGCCTGGTGCGAGTGTGTGGCCCAGCAGGCCAGCCTCTCAGGGGACAAAGGCCCCCTCCATGACTTGGAGGCCTCCCTGCGGGAACATGCACATCCTCCCCGCTGCCCCTATCTGAGCGGCGCACAGTGGAGAGGCCAAGGGTAGGAGTCAGGAGAAAAGCAGCCTTCGTGAGGCAGAACACGGACAAGGCTGAGCAGCCAGAGGGAGGGAGACCGTGACTTTCAAGACCGAGACTGCGTTCCAACGCCCCGCCGGGCTCAGGGGTAACCTCGGGGGGAGCGAGGGCCGCAGGGGCCCACGAGGGTGAGGGCACGACGTCCCAAGGAACTGGGGGGCTGCTTAGATGGACGTGCTGGCTGCGCAGGGCGGGAAAGGTTGAGGGCGCAGGCAGAGCAGAGCGGAGAGGTGGGGAGAACGGTGCGCTGCCGCCCGCCCGGAGAGAGAGCTGGGAGGAATGCATGCTGTCGCCTGGGGGAGCGGCAGAGCGGAAATAGCACGCTCAGGCCGAGACCGGCCTTGCGAGCTCCCAGGCCCCGCGCCCCCCGCCGACAGTTACACGAATGCTGACCTCTGCCGTTCCAGGCCCATGTCACCGCAGACCCGCACCCCTCGCCCAGGCAGGTTGGGCGGGGCTGAGGGCGCCCGGGCCCACCTGCCCGTGCAAGCCCAGCTGCCGTAAGGCACAGGCCGGTGGCGGGCTCCACGAGAGAGGGCAATGGCCCGTTCTCACCCACAGGCCAGCGCTTCTCTGAGTCGCGGGAGCCATCCTCGTCCTGCTGTGCGAATGAGCCAGGAGGCTCTAGGCCCGACGCATCCGTCTGCCCCAAGGGTCCTGGTCACACAGATGAGACCACGGCTCGGACACCCTCGACACTCGGGGCTGGGCAGGGCCCACCTGCCCTGTGCCGTCAGCACTTGCTGTGTCGGCCCATCTACGTGGGAAATGGGCCAGGAAACGATGCCCAGGAGTCAGCCCGGACAGGGCTCAGTGCAGGGCAGGGACGGTTCGGCCCCCAACAGCCGCAGTGGACAGCCACCTGGCCGCGTCAGTGGACTGGGGGCCTTTCTTCCGCCCCATGCGCTCCAGGCCCCAGCCTAGAGCAGGGCTCTTCAGTCCTGGGCCACTGGCACTCGGGGCCGGGTGAGCCTCTGCTGCGGGGGCTGTGCTGTGCGTCGCAGGGGGTTGAGCAGCATCCATTTCTGCCCACAAGCTGTGACGACCAGCAAGTCTCCAGACATTGCGTATGTCCTCTGGGGACAAAAGTGCCCCCCCCAACTGAGAACCATTGCTGTCCCCACGCTTCCGCCTGCTATGCTTCTGTCTCAGCCTCCTTCACCCCCCCACACTGCTCCCACCCCACTGCCCCTCCATTCCAGCCTCCCCCTCCCCGAGACCACCACAGCCAGGTCACTGACGCCAGACAGCACAGGACAGCACGTCTCTGGAGAGCAGCCTCGGGTAACCAACGCACATCACACTCCTGCCCGCCACCCGACCCAGAATCACAACTTGGGAGGACCCAGGGTCTTACGACACTCGCAAGTGGTTCTCATTACAGGCTGAGCCACACACACATTTAAGGAAGGAAGCCTGGGTCCGAGGCCATGCCCCGACCTTACTACCCAAACGCCCTTGACTGACTCAGGATTGTGAGAGGAGTACAGGCACAGTCCCAGCTGCTCACCCAGACAGACCTCACCTCTGATCACAGGGGAGCCTGTGAGCACACACCCCCGCCCCCCCCCCACAACAGCTGGCGGGGAGGACACGGGGCCTAAGCATTTTGGGGCCAGACTCTCTAATTCGAGTCATGTTACTGCAACCATTCCATATGATCTTTACAAAGCTTTACTTAAGGAGATGCAGTCACTACACTGTTAAATGAGAACACAGCCCAGGTCAGGTGGCTTGGCTGTTTGGGGCCCTGCCCCACACACCAGGAGGCTGTGGGTTCCTTCCCAGTCAGAGCACACACCTAGGCTGCGGGTTCTACCCCAAGCCAGAGCATGCAAAGGAGGCAACTGATCAAGGTTTCTCTCTAACGTCCATGTTTCTCTCCCCCCTCCCCCCCTCTAAAAGCAGTAAAAACACATCCTAAGAATTAAAAAAAGAAGAAAATTCAGCACACTAACTTGTCCAGCAGGTATAATCTCAAGATAAAGGAAGTATGTCAATGTATTCACAGAAACTGAATGAAAGGATTATGGTTATTCCTGTTTCCTGACGTTCTCATTAACTTCCAAATGTCCTGCAGTGAATCAGTCTTAGTGACACATGACTGACAACCCCTCCAGGAGATGTGGTGGGGACAGGCCTCCAGGTTCACCCCAACAGCCAAAGTGCAAGTCAGGCCTTGAGGGGCTGACCCAGCCTCCACCTACTTTCTCCCTCAGAGCCGCCTGTCACGGTGACCCAGCCCCTCAGGAGAGCCAGATTCAGGTCCTGTGGGTGCAAAGGCCTTCTCCCACCTGGAGTCACCAGCCCTGGACCCCGTGCGCTCTGTGCTACAGGAACTCTGGTGATCAGTTACCAGTCAGTCTGAGACGCAGCCTTTCTTGCTTCCAGATGGGGATCTGCCCTTTGAAAGCAGCCGGGGAGGAGGGGAGGTGTGGGTGATGCAGGTGGAACGCATCCTCAGCCACCGAGAGCCTGGGGGAGTGTGGGAGCTCTTTCCAAGACTGCTATTGCCGTGGAAAGGAAGGAACCCCAAGCCTCCAGCAGCCTGGAAACAAACTAGAGACAAGAACGGTCCGAAGACCACGTATCTCAGCGTCACTCTCCCTCGCTAGCTGGGCAGTCCTATCAATCCAGAGTTCTCCGGCCACCCCGGGACCGGGACCCACAGAGAACCACAGACCCTAAGGAGACTGACGTGTACCCAGGTACACGTGCACACACATCCTCTTGAAATGGCTCCTCTAGCTTAGGGTTTCTCTTTCCACAGTGAAAACAATTTCAGAAAGGGCTTTCACAGCTCACCCAAGTTGCAGGTGGCTGAGTATACACCCCACCGAGTGTACGTGCCGGCAGCCATGCCTCCTCCTGTCCCCGTCCCAGGAGAAAGCAGACCTCTAAGGGCACCTTGACGCACATGGACAGGCTGCATGTAGGGCCCTTAATTAATGCCCACCAACATTTCAGAAGAGTGTTACTGCTTATAAAACTTTATGGTACAACTCACGGTCACTTAGGGGCAAAATAAACCTTTTCTATGCAAGCAGTGCTGGAGATAAATTAAGGCCAGGCAGCCCAGTTTTTAGGAGCATTGTCCCATGACGCCAAGGTGACAGGTTCGGTGCCCAGTTACTACACATGCAAGAAGCAACCAATGAATGCATGAATAAGTAGAACAACAAATCAATGTTTCTCTCTCTAAAACCAATTAAAAAAAACATTCAAAAACATTTTAAAAAAATAAAGCAATGGGTAGATGGAAAATGCCACCTCCCTGAAAAAAAGTAAGGCAGTCTGTAAGAGTTGAGAAACTGTCCCCATTCTTCCCCAAAAGGTCTAAGATTCTGGCCGCCGCCTGTCTGATACCCCAGGTGCAACACTCTGCTCTCTCCTGTCACCTACGGCAAAGTTCCTCCAGGAAGACTGTGAGGGCATCAGACCCGAGGGCCAGGCTCCCTGGTCTGCCCCCCCTCGGCCATGCCTCCACCGGGGCGTGTGAGGGGGGAGGAGGTGTAGTTGGGGAAATTTTCCAGGTTGGTCTTCAAGAAGAGGAGATGCTCAACTGTTTCCACTGGGAGAGGGGAGCTGTTCTCCACGATGGTGGGGCTATCCAGGGAGGCCAAGACACTCCCAGAAGAGGCACTGGTAGCGGGACAGGACAGATAGATGGTGGCCAGTCTTGCCAGGGCTGGCCAGACTGCCCGCCTCTTCTCCCAGTACGCCAGGGGGTCCTCCCGGGCACCAACTGGCTTGTTCTCACGTAGGTACTTCCTGACGATGACCGTGGCCAGGTGGTTCTCAGTGGAGAGCGAGGCTCCGCTCCTCTGGGACGCCACCAGCCCTATACTCTCCAGCTGCTCCAGCAAGCTCTTCTCCCCCTGGCCTAGCAGCGAACACCCAGGGCTGCTGCCTCTCTGCACGGGGTCCTTGTGGCTCCTCCTCTTAGCCCTGGGGCCCCTGGCTATTCTGCCACCCTGGGTGGTGTCCGCACTCACAGCCTTGGGGCTCTGTAGGAAGGGTGAGGGAGGCAAAGAGTATTCGGACACCATAATCTCCTTCACCTTGTAAACGAGAACTTGCATCCAGTGGTCAATGTCGGCCCCCACGGGCAGGATGGCCTCGAGCTGGCCCTTGAAGCGGGGGTCCAACAGAGTTGCAAGCACGAACTCCTCGTGGTGGAAAAGCTCGCTGAGCTGGCAGTCTGTGGAGAGCTGCAGGGCCAAGCCCCTGGCCAGCCGGACGGCTGCACCCGCCTCCCCGCTGCCCTGCTCCTCAAAGTGTGCGGGAACCTGCTCCAAGAAGATGTGCAGGTAGCGCAGCTGCGGCAGCACCTGGCTTAAAGAGGCCTGCGGTGCGCTCGCCTCCTGGACCACCATGTGGAAGGGTCGCAGGAGCATGACCAGGCTGTTCGTCAGGCTCCAAAACATGGCTGAGAGGCCCATGCCAGCCTTCCCCAGCTGGTGCTTCGCTTCATACTCCCGCAGCGGCTGCTGCTGCTCCACCAGCCACTCCATCAGGTGGTAGGCAGAGACCCAGTGGTCTGAGAGCTCCCAGAAGGGCTGATGGGTTGGGAGGCCGCACCGCCGCTGCAGCTGCACGAGGAGCCGCCGGGCCTCCGCAGAGCCTTGGAAATGGCTGCAGATGGCCCTGGCTGTGCTCAGGATGACCTGGACACTGTGATGGTGACACAGAAAGTTCCCCACTACAGAGTTGAGGCAGTGGGCAAAGCAAGGGATGTGGGTGTAGCCCTCCATCGTCACTGTGGGCTCCAGGGCGGGGCAGCCGCTCGACACCAGGAAGCCGGGTCGCAGAGAGCCATGGCCTAGCCACAGTCTGACCTGCTCCCGCAGCTCCCGCTGCCTGTCCTCCGCAGTGCTCTCCGGGGGCAGGCCTCGGACCCAGAGCACTGCTTGCTTCCTCGGGCTCCCTGATACCACCTGCCAGCTACCGCGCTGTATCACCCCCCAGTGGGCGGTAACGGCCACGTAGTCCTGCATGACTACGTCCTGGGTTGCCGTGGACATGGTGAGGTGGACGCGGCTGCCCTCAGCCTGCTGCATTTCCTGGCGTACCTGCTCGCCCACCAGCTCGCGGAGCAGAGGCAAGGCTTCATCGGAAAAGGCAGTTGGAGGCGGCAGACAGTAGTCAGGGTCAACCTGGGCCATAAACCTTCTGAAGGGCGGGGACGAAAGGAAGGAGAGTGGCAACGCCAAGCTGCACAGTAACTCCGCAATGCTCCAGTTCCAGGCCTGGGAGCGGGGTTGGCTGAGAGCATACAGGGCCTCTTGATCCCCCATGACAGCCACTGGGGGAGCAGTGGGTCCATATCTGATGGGCGTAGGCAGAGGTGGTGGAGCCAGGAACAGCCGCTCACCTCTAGCCGGGGCAAACTGCTTGTCATTATCTTCTGATGGCAAGTCACTCGGGCAGTGTCCTGAAGACGAGATGCCTCCCTGGACAAGGCTGGGGGCACCTGCAGACAGGCGCCTATGTGTCCCCACTGCCCCTGCCCCTGCCCTTCCCGAGCCGGCTGTAACTGGCCTTCTTACCCTCCCCGGCCCATGCTTGATGCTGGCGTGGCACAGAGTGCAGGAGACGTGGCACATGTTCTCACGGTCGGTGGCAAAGAACTGTCTGACGTCCAGTGTGAGCGTCTGACCCGTGGTGTCCTGAGGGCCCGGGGGACACCCTCGAGAAGCCCAGCCCTTGGTCTCTTTTACAGTTCTGACCCGCTTCTTCAGGCCCGGTGGCTTCTGGGAGCTCAGCAGGGATGACTTCTCTCCCCCACGAGGAAGCGAATGCCTCTTCTTCCACTTCTTGAGGCGTCGCATCTCTCTGTCCAGAGAGGCTATGAGGACGTCAGCCTGCCTGGTCTCCTCACTCTCACTAGGCTGGCCCACTCCTGACCCGTCCAGACTGGTTGCCTGCACCGGCACTGGGGTGGGGGGGGCCAGGCCAGGGCTGAGCGCTGGGTCTCTCGACTTCTTTCCTGCTCGCGACCTCACCCCTCTCGGTCCACGTGCCTTCTGCTTGGACACCTTCTTCTTAGGCTGCACAGAGGGCTCCTGACCCAGCACGGACTTCAGGACACATGGCTCAGAGTCTCCCTTCGGCTTGTTCTGCCCCGGGCTGGCCTGGCTCTTCGCACGGGAGGCAGCTGAGTAAAAACCAGGCCTCCACTGGGAGCAGGCTCTTCTCTTCCTGCTACAGACGCGTAGGCCCAGGGCACCTTGCTCCTTCTCCTCCAGGAAAACTTGGTCAGGTGAGGGGATGGAAGAGCCCCTGGGGAGGAGGCGGGGTCTCTTCCTTCGAGGGAGCAGATCCCTCTCACTCGCCTTTTGGGAGCCAGAGGGTGTGATCCTGTGGCCACTGCTGGCCGTCTCCTCTACATTTACAAACTCAACTTTGACCTCAGTCTCTGGCAGGTCTCCCTGGGCACCCCTGCCATGTCCACAAGAAGTACTGGTAGCTCTGGTATGGAAGTTGGAGGCAGGAGAAGTCACTGTGGCAGCTGGACTCTGGGGTCTGGTCATGAGGGAGACAGCTCCTGAGGGTGCATGTCTCTTGGGGAGCTTTTTGATTTTTTCTACTTCCGACATGCTTGGGAACTTGGGGCAACGAGAAGATGGGCCCAGGCTGCAAAGCAAGATAAAAAGAGTGGCTCTCAGCTGCCCTACTTGACTTTGGGGTACGCTGAGGGGGAAGGAGAGGCCCAGAGGGGAAAGAAGACAGTAGAGGACAAAAGGAGCAGAGAGTCTCCATGAAACTGTCCCAAGACAAAACTCTCAAGCCCTCCTTGGCGAGGTTGCCATTCAACCCCCAGACCAAAGGAGCGGCCCTCAGCAGATTTCCCCACGGCCCTGCACACGTTAGCGCTTCTGTGTCCGCCTTCTTTGCCAAATTGACAGGTGTTTCTCTTTTTCCTCTCAGTGTTTATTGAGAACCTAGTTCACACTTGGCAGTTCTTCTGAGTGGTGGATAGAGTATACAGCGGGCAAGGCCCATGCATGCATGCATGCGGCTTCCAGACTGGCAGGAGGGACAGACGTGACTTAAGTGTCACTCGGACAGGTAGCACCAGAGCGGCGGTGAAGGTGTGAAAGAACAGGCACAAGGCTAGGAGACCCCAGGGAGGGGACTGACCTCACCAAAGAATCAGGCAGGTTTACTCTGGAAGGCCCGCAGGCGCTAGACACTATAAGCACAAGCCAGGAGGGGGCAGAGCCTGCCGGCCTGCATCCAGAACACCTGGCTGTACCTGGCACACCGCGGGGCGCCAGGAACAGGTCACATAGCTCAGTGTGCAGAAGTGATGCAGCCTGAGGCTTCCTGGGTCAGAGGCCTGGCTCAGACCCTTAGACTTTCCTTCTCCAGAAGTCAGCCTCCAGCATAGAGTACAGGATGGGGCAGCTCCTGCTGCCAGTGACTCCGGCCCCACAGCGTCCCTTCATTCTCCTCTCTGCCACAGACGCTCCTGGAGGGCCGGTCACACTTTGTCATCCCCCACGCCCCTCAAAACCCTCTCCTCTCCAGCTCTGGCTCCCGGCCCTCCCAGTTGCCGCTCTTGCCAAGGCCCCAGAGACCCCAGTGGAGTTTTGGGCCACACCTGAAGCATCTGCCCATGGCCTCCGTTTGGAAGGCTATTTCCCTGTGGCCCCAGGACAGCACATTTTCTTGGTTTTCCTTGCATTTGTGCCTCCTCTCCAATCTGCCTGGTCCTTTCTCCTCTGCCTGTCCCTTAATGGCATTCCTTGGGGTTCCTTCGTAATCTCTCCTCTCATTCTACACCACCTCCCAGGACAGCTGCACCTTCTCCCCAGCTGGGACTGCGCTTACACCCCGCCGCTGCCTGGCCTCTCTCTGGCTCCCCTGTTCTTCCTACAGCCAACTCAAATGGACCTCTGTTCGCCCAGATGCTCAGATCCCTGACCTAGGCACAACCCTTAGTTCATTCAGTTTCCTGGAAATTAGGTCAAATTCAGGAGTCTCACAAGAAAAGAGGCTTAAAGAAGTAAGAGAAGTGCACAGAGAGAAGAAAATGAAAGGGCCCAGTGACCCCGGATGTGTTTCCTTAGGAAACAGAAGGCTCCAAGGAAGAAGGCTTAGGAATCCCACCTAGACGTCGGGAAGGGAGCAGCCTTCCTCTCTGCAGACCAGAACAAGATGTTGGCTAAACAAGATGGTAAACTGAAACCAGTATGCTCTCTGACACTGAGCGGCATTGAATGTCAAGGATGACCACCAGGGCCGGCAGGGCTGCCCCGGAGGTGAAAGCCCCCCGAGGAGGCTCACGGGAGACTCTGCCCAGGGAGGAGTGCGGGCAGCACGACACTGACGGGGTCCTTCCGGGGGGAGGTCCTCGGCAGGCCCGAGAGGCAACGACCCCACAGCCATGTGGCAAGAACTCAGCCAGTCACCACCACGCTGTAGAGGGACTGAATAAAGACAGAATCGAAACGCAAGACGCTGTCCTGGCCCCAGAAGAAGTGCTCTGCGGGATCAGAACTAGAAGGGACTCACCTCAGTGCTCACTTTATGGCCGAGAAACAGAAACCCGGAGTGGTGACGTGCCAGTCAGTGGCGGAGCGGGAGACCAGAGCCGGCACCAGGTCTACAGAAGCAGCCTGCCCTCACTGACGATGGTGGAGAAAAGGGAAGAAACTGGGTGTTAGGGCTGCGGCCTGGGTCACACCAGTCCTGTTCTGTCCCCCCATTAGCTGTGTCCCCTCAGTATGTCTGTACTGTGCAGGTACTCTTGAGCTATTTGACCAGTTAAGAAAAACTCATCAAGTACCTGCCATGAGTCAGCGTTGTGCCCTAGGGATGCGCACAGAGAGTAACCGCCCGGCCAGCACTCAGGGCTCAGGACGAGAAGACCCCTGGCAACGAGCTTACGGCACGGGAGCGAGGCAGGCAGCAGGAGGCACCGTGGACGCTGGGCCTCAGGCTGACCTCCAGGTCAATTGTGTCTATGACAGTCGAGTTCGGTTTCTGTCTTGTACGGGGTCACTTACCAGAGGCCGAGACTCCCGACAGACCGCCCGGATGGGTCTGGCACCTTGCACGGTCGCGGGCTCTGACAGCGATCACCCTTCTCTCCCAGTGAAGCACATCAGGGTGGCCGCGAGGCTGGTGCTGTGGAGAGCCAGTGACGACTTTCAATGGATATAAAACACAAAACAGAGCCATGGCCGGGCAGCCCAGCTGGTTGGGGCATCGTCCTTGCACCAACAGGCTGCAGGTTTGATACTCCGTCAGGGCGCACACCTGGGGTGCAGGTTTGATCCTCGGTCAGGGTGCCTGTAGGAGGTAACCTACCATTGCTCCTCCCTCACATCGATCTTTATCTTTATCTTTATCTCTCCTTGCCTTTCCCTCTTTTAAAAGTCAATAAACATCCTCAGGGGAAGATTTAAATATATATATATGTGTAAAATTTAAAAGAGAAAACCATCCACAAATCCCCAAACTTCATCAGCAAGAAGCTACTGTGGTATTTCTCAAAACAGCTGACAAACGCCCATCTGGGGACGACTACAAGACGGAGACTCGCAGGCTGCACCGCGCGGCCGTGAGAAGGGCGCTGCGTGGGGCCCGGCTGGCAGGCACGACCCGAGAAGCAGGAGGTGAGGAGGGCCGGAGCAGGTAACAGCACGGGGACGGGAGCGGAGGGGCAGTTCGAAGGGCTACTCAGGAGGCAGGTTCTGCAGGAGCTGAGTTGTGGAGGAAGAGGAAGAGATGTTGACTTTAAGGTTCTGTGACAAATCTTCAGACGTGACAGACACATGGGTCGGGGGATAGAAGTCGGAGCCACAGGCACGGCCCCATGTAGAAGTGTCCTTGAAACTGAGGGGAAATGCCCGAGGGAGAAGAGTGGAGGGAGGTGGAGGGCGGCTGCCCAGGCAACACCAACACTGCGGGGCGGGCGGAGGGTGAGCTGACTTCAAAGACGGCTGACGAGCAAAGGAGGGAGGCAGAAAAACATGAAGTGATGTTAGGAAAGCCAAGAAGTTTTCCCAGAAAGGACAGGCGGGGTCCAAGTTCACGTCAGCGGATGAAGAAGGGGGAGGCAGGTAAACCTGCAACCTCAGGGGAAGGTGGGAAGGGAGGGTGGGGCTTTGGGACGGGAGGGAAAAGGCTCAGGGGCGTCTTGTCTCCGAACAGAGAAGCAGTGCGTGGGAAGAGAGGAGACAGGGAGAACGCCAGCAGGAGCTTCCCGAGGGCCGGGACACCGAGCACCAGTGCTGGGCGGTTCTCCCTGGAGGCAAGAACCCACCTCTTCTGGCAGAGCCAGGACGGAAGGCCGGCTGCGGTGGCATGGCCACAAGTCCTTGAGTGTGGGTAGGCTCGGGAGCCTAGGTGCCCAAGGGGAAGCCACGTCCCCTAGAAGCAACGACCCGCGGGCCAGCCTGCGGTCGGCTGGCCGGGTGTAGCGGGAGGCTCCGCGGGTCAGAGACTCTCCTGACGGCGCCCAGGGGCCTGTTGCCACGTGCGCGGCCAGGAGGAAAGGGGCCACTTTTCCTTTTCTCTGGTGCCTCCCGATGCACGCCAGCGCCCACTGCAGAGCCCAACCCATCGTGGGCATCTGGTAAATATACTGGAACTTTCCCTGAGCTTTCACTCGGCCCAGTCCCACGGCACGCCCCCCGCCACCCCGGCTCCTGTCAGCTCCTCCACCGGGGGAGAGGCGTGTGTCTATGCCCCGGCCCCAGGGGATTTCAAAGCGCGTACCGGGCCCTAGAGACCTCCGCCTCTCCTCCCCGCCCCGCCGCGCACCTGGAGGCAGGTGGTGCGGAAAAGGATGGGACGTGTGTGCGGGCGGCAGACAGGAGAAGCCACTGTGTATTTTGCGGGTCTGTCCCGCATGCACCTTTGGCTCCGTGCAAATCCTCAGAAAGTTGTTTTAAGTCATAATCGCGCATCATCAGATTTCGCATCAGGCAAGAGTGACATAAAACGAGATCCGTTTTCAACGACACGCCAGCCACCAGCTGGAAGCGGAATCCTTTGGGAGGATGAAGCCCAGAGCCCGTCTGGGTCGGTCTACGGCCACCAGCTGTGACTGTGCGTGCTCTAGGGCGCTTCGGTTTCCTCGACGGCACCAGAGGGACGACGGTACCCACCCTCAGGCCCGTTAAAGACTGAGTTACTGATAAATAGTGACAGCGTGAGTGAGGGTTACGGGCTGCTGTCCTGGACTCTCTGGCCTCACCCGGCGAGTTTCAGCCACCGGAAAAGGGAGGCCAGCCTCGGAGGGGGTGGCCTGGGCCGCCCAGCAGGAGAGCCGGGCAGGTCTGGGCAAGCTGCCTCCGCCCGTTCCCCCCACCCCGCCTCGCCCCAGCGTCGCTCGGTGAAGTGGGACCCCGGCGCCCCGCCCCGGGCTTACCTCAGGCCAGGGGTTCGGGACGTGGCCAGCCGCCCCGCGGAGACCGGGCTGGTGAAGCCGTGGAGCCGGGCGCACGTCCCGACGCAGCCGGATCCCGCAGTGAGGAGCTGCCGCCCGCACGCGCCCGCCCTCCCTCCCCTACACCGCGGTGAAAGCCACTGGAATGGGAATGGCCCGGCAGAGCTAGAGGGGCTTCAGCTTCCGGGGCACGCTGGGGGCTACTTCCGGGAGTGACCGCGCCCCCCCAGCACCTTCGCCCGCGGTGGGCTCTTTTCTCAGCTAACGGCCGCGCCAGTGCGGGCGGCTGCGGCCGGAAGTGGTGGGGTCGCACCGCTTCCTCGCCGGAAGTGGTGCGGCCCCCCCCCCTAACCTGGGTTTCTACTGCTGTGTATGTAGTTAACTACTGCTAGTTAGTGTGGTATGGCCCTGAGGAACACAGTCACGCGCGCTCCTGGCCGACGGCGGTCTAGTCCTCCTCCTCCTCTAACCGGTCCCCGGGCTCCTTCCAAGTCGGGCTCTGCACCGTGAGCAGCTCTGCCCGAGAGCGACCCGGGGCTCATGCGCATGTGCAGGCAGAAGTGAATCCTCTTGTCGGGGGTCTCCTGGCTGAAGGACTCACCCGGCATTCCAGCAAACTGACTCAGGGTGTTTCCGGGGATCCGTTTCCACTGCTCGGTGACGCCCCGCGGATCGGACGTTCGTAGATGTCCGTGAGCGTGTCCACTGGGCGCTGCGGCACCTCCCCGCACTGAAACATCCAGAGTGCCAAAAGGGGCCACGCCCCCTGGGCTGAGCGGAGAGTGCCTCCCTCCGACGTTGGTCGCGCCTGGGCCCGACTCGCGTCTCACAGGCTACACTGAGCTTCCTGCTGTTTCCAGGGGTGGTCTGTGGTTTCCGTCTCTTTCCAGCGCGCCTCCCCTGCCTCAAGCAAGTCGACTCCGGGTCCAATTCATCACCTTGAGCTAAAACTAAAAGTCCTGCAATGAAAGTATACATAAAGATGTCATACTTTGTCAACGTTATTTTAAATCTCCATTACACAGACGAGGACACAGACGTAGTTGCACAGCGTGTTAAAGGAGATGAGAGGAGTAGCCGCAGACGATTTTCAAGTTGGAGTGATACATAGGGGTCCCCATATAGTGGACTCAGAGCCGGTCTCTTCCTACTGCTAACCCAGAGGCATTCTAGATCCAAGAGGTGATTTCACTGCAAAACTAGGAGACACAAGTAATAAACAAGAAAAAAAAACATTGTAAAAGAAGAAAATTCAGTAAAGTGGCTGGGATTAGTATTAATATATAGAAATCAAAATCCTCTACATATGCAAACAACCACCATTTAGAAATATAAAGGGAGGGAGAAAGCTTACATTTTCCTAGAAATAAAAAAGATTATTACAGTCAATTAATATTTGACAAAGGAAGCAGCAACATAAAGTGGAATAAAAATAGCCTCTTCAACAAATGGTGTTGGGAGAACTGGACAGCTACGTGCAAAAAAATGAAACTCAAGCACCAACTTATACCTTATACAAAAATAGATTCAAGGTGGATCTATTTTTGGGTTATATTTAACCTATTCAAGGTTAAATATAAACCATGACACCATTAAAGTCCTAGAAGAGAACGTAGGTAGGAAAATCTCAGATATTTCACACAGAAACTTTTTTACTGACTTGTCTCCTAGAGCAAGGAACATAAAGGAAAGAATAAACAAATGGGACCTCATCAAAATAAAAAGCTTTTGCACAGCTAAAGAAAACAGTATCAAAATTAAAAGAGAACCAACTGCATGGGAAAACATATTTGCCAATGATATCTCAGACAAGGGTTTAATCTCCAAAATATATAAAGAACTCACATGACTCCACTCTAAAAAGACAAGGAATCCAATTAAACAATGGGCAAAGGACTTGAACAGACATTTCTCCAAGGAGGACATACAGAAAATCCAAAGACACATGGAACGATGTTCAATATCACTAGCTATCAGAGAGATGCAGATTAAAACCACAATGAGATACCACTTCACACCAGTCAGAATGGCCATCATAAACAAAGCAACAAACAACAAGTGTTGGAGAGGTTGTGGAGAAAAGGGGTCCCTACTACACTGTCGGTGGGACTGCAGACTGGTACAACCACTATGGAAAGCAGTATGGAACTTCCTCAGAAAAGTAAAAATGGATCTGCCTTTTGACCCTGCGATTCCACTACTAGGACTATATCCTAAGAACACTGAAACACCAATACAAAAGAACCTATGCACCCCGATGTTCATAGCAGCACAATTTACAATATCCAAGTGCTGGAAGCAACCTAGATGCCCATCAGTAAATGACTGGATCAAAAAACTATGGTACATTTACACAATGGAATTCTATGCAGCAGAAAGAAAGAAGGAGCTCCTACCCTTTGCAACAGCGTGGATGGAGCTGGAGAGCATTATGCTTAGCGAAACAAGCCAGGCAGTGAAAGACAAATACCATATGATCTCACCTTTAACAGGAACCTAAACAACAAAACAAAGAAACAAGCAAAATATAACCAAAGACACTGAAATAGGGGACAGACTGACAGTGACCACAGAGGAGAGAAGAGGGAATTTCAGGGGGGGAATGGGTAGGGTTTACAGGAACAAATTTGGAGGACACATGGACAAAAACTAGGGGTGGGGGGTAATGGGGGGGAAGAGGGGAGGGTTGGGTGGGTGGGCTGGAATGGGAGTAAGTGGGAGAAAACTGTACTTGAACAATGATTAAAATAAAATTTAAAAAAAAGATTAAACATCATGGGAAAAGCTTTACAAGAATTGTACAAAATCAACGTAAAAAAATGTAAACCTTTAAACATCACTAAGGACTACAAAAAGAATACCTGAACAAATAAAAAGGCATATTATGTTCAGGGTTAGGAAGACTTAGTATCTTAAAGATATTAGTTATCTCTAAAATAATATACAACTTTAATTAAATTCCAATAACAACTCTAACGAGCTTTTTCTGGGTAGAAGTTCAGAAGGAATAATAAACAAGCAAGAATAACTTAGAAAATTCGAACATAGAGTAGTAATGGTTACAGGTAGGCAGGAACAAATCCTGTATGTATGTAAAATGTATGTGAAGCTACTGCACTTGAAGCACTATATTAAAGACTGGATTAATGGAATGCAATAAGAGAGATAAAAACAAGCCCAGAGTATTTTTTAAAAATCACGGTAATCCGCCCTGGCTGGCGTAGCTCAGTGGATTGAGCGTGAGCTGTGAACCAGGCATCGCAGGTTTGATTCCCAGTCAGGGCACATGCCTAGGTTGCAGGCCACGGCCCCCAGCAACCGCACATTGATGTTTCTCTCCTCTCTCTCTCTCTGTCTCTCTCTCTCTCTCTCTTGCTCTCTTGCTCTCCTTCCCTTCCCTCTCTAAAAATAAATAAATAAATAAATAAATAAAAATCATGGTAATCCACAGGGCACAATAATATTATGAATAATAAACTCAATGTACTGGTATGAACTGATTTTTCAAGATATAACATTCGGTACAAAAAAAAAAAACAAGGTAAAGAGCAGTGCAGGTTTTATGTGGTTTTAAAAAGAACACACCTCTATATAAGTGTATGTAAGAATAATTAGCATTTGTTGACTGAAATACATGTATGAGAATATATGTGCTTGCTCCTGTTTCTGATGGAGGAATGTCAAAGTCTCCAACTATGCAGGCGATTATTTCTCTTTGCAGTTTTTTCCTCACATATTTTGCGGCACTGTGGTTGGGCACATACATGGTAAGGATGGTGGCGTCTTCTTGGAGAAACGGCCGGTAGTGCGTTTGCTTCCACGCACCCAGCACTTCCCTGGGAAGACAGACAAGGACGGCAACGGCAACTCCGGGAAGGAGCGGGCCCGCTGAGGGGTCCGAGAGGAGGCTTTTCACTGTCGACTCATTTGTACCCTCTGAATTGTATTTCGCAGGAATGCACAACCCTGCCCAAAGTGCAATTTCAAAATTTTTTCGTGTTTACTTTACCCGGAGAACTTTGGGACCAGCAGACCTACTCTAGTACCCATCCCCTCTTCTTCCTGCTCCCAGCCCCCCCACCCCAAAGCTTAGTGTTTTTACTGCTGATTACGTTAGGAACGTCTGACACTGGATGGGAGTACAGATACATAAATAGGCCCCAGGCGTTTTCCATGGCCCTTAGTCCCCAGGTCCTGTTGCAAATATCAAAGCACTCAGGGTGGTGGTCTTCCTTTTTAGCAAGCTGGACAGGCGTGGTGATGGGGACGAGAAGAGGCAAAGGACGGCCCAGATCCTGGCAGAACAAAATGGAGCATGCAGCTGAAGAGTTACTATGCAAAAGGAATGTGATCAATAGCAGGCATTTATTGGCAAGCCAGGCAATTGAGTCCATTCTCTCAGCTCATATTCCAACATCTATAAGGCCCACATTATTATTATTATTATTATTTTATACCAACTCCGCAGTAAAACTGAAGCTCAGAAAGACTAAGTAACTTTCACTCAGCTGCTCGTCAGTGGTGCTGAAACTTGAAGCCAGGCAGCCCAGTTCTCAAGTCTGCACTCCCAACCGCGAGGCTGAGCCGAGCTGCTCTGACAAGGGGAATGATCGGGGAGAGAGACAAAAAAGACAAATATGACCTGGGCAGAAAGAAAAAAGAGAACTATGTTTGCCGAATCAATGGCTGTGGATCGAGAGCGCGGCTGTTGCACCTGGTATTGCAATGGATCAAGGTTGCAGGCTCTTCAGTGGCCCTTTGGGGCCCAGCACCCCCCGTTGCCTGAGGCAGAGAATAGGCAGGTAGAGAAATCCACCATCTACCCTGGCTGGTGAGGCTCAGTGGATTGAGTGCCGGCCTGCAAACCAAAGGGTCGCTGGTTCAATTCCCAGTTGGAGCACATGCTTAGGTTGTGGGCCAGGTCCCTAACAGGGGGCACCTGAGAGGCAACCACATATTAATGTTTCTCTTCCTTTCTTGCTTACTCCTTTCCCTTCTCTAAAATAAAAAGTTAAACCTTTTAAAAAAGAAAAGAAACCCACCATCTTCGTGCCCACTCCTCATGCCTGCCAGGTCTTTGTCAAGGAGGCAGAAGGCTGGCCTGTTCAGTGGGGAGAAGTTTGCTGCCATTGTGGCCCTTGATCCTGAGGGTAGGCAGGGAGCTGAGGGGGTTGGGGGTGGTTCTGTGGATTTCTGAGAATATCCATCCCAACCATATCCACCTGCCCCTTTCAGGGAAGATACCTATAGGGCAAGCTCAAGGTTCTACCCTGCTAGGTGGGACACCAGCGCTCCCTCCCTCACTCAGCCTCCAATGAGCCTCCAGCTGCTTGCTGGACCAGCTGGTGCTGGGATTAGAGACCATTCAGACAGCCAGCAATCCCCTAAACCTGGGGTGCTCCCGTCTCCCCATGGCGCGGTCCAGGTCGGAAGCTCCAGGCCTGCTGGGAAAGGCACACAGGACACCTGGCACGCAGGATGCGAGTTTTCACCGGGGCTTCCCAACCTCTGTTGCGGGGCCTCTGGGATGATAAACTGATAAAAGTTTTTAGCAACCAAGGGGTCAAATCTAGAGTTGCAATTCCCCATACTGGGGGGACTTGGCCCACCAGGGAACATTTTTCAATGGCCAGGGACCTAAATGGTTGTCACAGCTGGGAGCAGGGAGAATGATCCCACACGCACCTGGTGGGTAGAGTTCAGGGCGCTGCCAAATATCCTGCGATGCACAGGACAGCGCCCCTGGCCCCCCACGAAGAAATCTTCCAGCCCCGACGGTCAGTAGTGCCGAGGCTGGGAAACCCTGGCTGGGGGGTTTTAAACAGCACAGGAACCCTTGGGAAACGTGCTTAAATGCAAAATCTCGAGTCCAGGCTGTGACATTCTAGTCCACAGGATCTGGAGTGGGCGCTAGGAATCTGCATTTTCCAGCAGCCCAGGTAATTCTAGTACAGGTGGGCCATGCTCCACCCTGGGAAACGCCACTGCCTGAGCCAGAAGGCTGGTCCCTGGGCAGTGTTCCTAAAAACCACCACCACCCCCCGCCCTCGCCCCAGGGTGCTTAGGCACAGCCTGAGAGTCTTGCTCCACTCCCTACCCCACCCCCACCCCACCCCACCCTACCCCCACCCTACCCCCACCCTGCCCTGGAGGAGATTCTGTCCTAATCAACCTGGTCCCAGCATTCCATGGGTTTGTTTTGTTCCTAGTGATTCTCATGCAGGTTTGTTAACTCACAGCCTGGGCTGTGAGGGTAGACTTTGGTCATCTGCCCTCACTTTGCTGGTGTCACAAGTCAAGCAAAACCGCGGGGGGGGGGGGGGTTGTCCACTGACTTCCTTCCTGGAAACCCCGAGGTTTATAAGCAAAGGTCGCTCCCAGCACACAGAGGTCATCATCGGAGCGACGGTAACCACCCCCACAGATTTCACCCCCCTCCGCAGCCCCACTGTTATCAAGGATCCTATTTCTGATCCGAAATTCATCATGGGGCCTTGGTCAGGGGCTTCATCGAGGAGGGCGACGCTGTGGCATAACCTGTACGTACGTTCCCCTCGCCACTGAGAATCCGGGCTGGCGGGCGTCCCTGTTGCAGATGGGGACATGCCAGATCCATCAGGACGCTGAGGTGGGGAAGGTCAGAGAAGGCTGTAGGGAAGCCGGCATCGGAGCACCAAGCTGGCCAGGTGTTGTGGCTCTCTGCCCTTCGGCTGCCGCAGGCGGTGCCTGGCACCTCCCTGCTAACTGCCCAGTAAGCAGCAGCCGCGGTTGCTGCTGTTGTTACATGTTCCTGAAGGACATTTCATCCAGGCTGTGGAACTGCCCATGCTCCTCAAGAACAGCCACGCTCTAAGGTCACTAAGGCCACTAAGGCCACAGGACCTGTAATATGCTTCCCTGGTGGCAAGAACTGGTCTCTGGAGGTTTCCATGCTGCGTGCAGGTGCTGCCCTCTGCTGGCCACTCCATGTGTGTACAGCTTAGCTTACACGTGTGGCCAGTCTTCTCCAGGGTCCATGGCTCTGGGCCTCCTCTCCCGCGACCAACATACTGGTCACCTTAGGCCTTAAGTAGACCTTCAATCTGCACGCTCATCCTCACCATCTGTCCCCTGGGGCCCTGTCACCAGGCTCCTGTCCATCATGCACCGTGCAGAGATCCACCTAAAAATCAAACTGGGGCATGTCCCTCTCAGGCTTACAAACCTTTCTGTGGCTTCACATGGCCCTTTGGGTGGACCCAAGCTCCTTGTCAGGCCCTCAGCAGTCCGGTCCCTCCTCTGTGCACCTCCCCACTCCAAACTTCGTGCGGCTGGCTCCTCCAGGGCCAGTCCCTTCTGCTCGCTGTCCCCCACCCCAGGCAGGCCACGGACCCTCGGCGAGGCCAGGCGCACAGCAGGCAGACCCGGGCCCTCGGGTGTTTGGGAATGAGGCAGGCCATGCTACAGAGAGGGTGGGGACCTGCTTTATTGCCCAGCCCAGGGGCTGCTCACTCTGTGATCAGGGGAACAGGTGAGTGGTGGTGGAGGTTCCACCTGCGCCAGTCCTTCCGCCTCCTCTTCCTCCTGGTTCTGGTGGAATCCTGGATGGCTGCCCTTTCCTTCAGGCCTCGGGAAAATGTGCTTCCATGTCCATGTCCCAGGGCTGCAGCTCTGAGCAGCTGCCAGCCCCCGTTCGTGTCCCCAGCCTCTACACTGAGGACACGGGAGTCAGGCAGGCGGGGGAGGGGCAGCCAGCAAACTGGGCCTCAGCCAGGAGTCTGCCACCCAGCAGTGATTTCCTGCCACTCCAGAGTCTCTAGACATGGACCGGGTTTCCTGTACAGCCCCCACACAACACCCCCGCTCCAGCAGGGCCACGGAGGCCAGGACAGGCGGGAAGTCCAAAAGGGAGATGGTGGGGTGTCAGGGGAGGCCCCGGCCTGAGCTCTGAGCAATGGGCCAAGCCCAGACCAAGAAATCCAGGTGAGACGCCTCCCACTCTACCACCGGTCCCAAACAGCGCCCGCTGAGTGGGAGGAAGGCCTATCAAATAAATAGTCAATAAATAGGCAAGATTGGCTTCTTCCTCCGGGGAGGCCGAGTGGCAGAGAGGGGACCCCAGTTAGCTCTGGGACCAAGGGCAAGCATCTCAGACTGCAGTCTCTGCTCTCCTGAGAGGCGAGGGCATGGGCCGGGGGACCCGGGACCCAGGACCCCTCTGGCCTGAGGCCAGCACAGCCAGCCTGGCGCTGGCCTCAGGAGCTGCCCAAACCTTGCCCACACCTGTCTCTCTTCGCTCTCCCCAGCTCAGATGACCTACATGCTGCCACATGCTGCTGTGAGGGGCCTGGCAAGCTGCCCTCACTGCAGCCTCGTGGAGTCCAGACGGTGCATGGGAGCTGCCTTGGGTGGGTGGGGGTGGGGGCAGGGCGCAGCAGCAGGTACAGGAGGAGAGTGGAACAGGGTAGTCTGAGGGGGCCAGTGACTGTGCAACTATAAAGGATACTAAACATACAGGTTTCTACTTGGACCCACATTAGCATGTTTTTTGGTGTGAGTGTTTTCCCATTACTTCAACATTTTCAGAAAATTAAAGAATCCAGGAAAGGCCCCCGCCACACTCAGAAGGCGCTCTGCCCTGCACCCCCCAGGCGAGGCGGCCCTGGAGGCGGAGGGGCTTCCTGCCTGGGGCCGCACAGCAGAAAAGGGCAGAGCTGGCGGCTGCTCCCCGACTCCCACCCGGGCTCCCACTCGTCCTGGTCCCCTTCTCTGAAGGACACAGGGCCTTCCGTGGGCAGACGCCCCCTTGTCAACTCCTGGCCAGGTCCCACTTGGGGAGGTGCTGTGGGAGTGTGAGGGCGGGGTCTCTCGGCTCCAGCCCAGCGCAGCTCAGGCTGGACCGGCTGGGGACAGGGGTGCCTGCAGGAGCCAGGCAGGCCCTGGGGAGGGAGCGCAGAGGGGCCAGGACACAGCTGTGGGGGTGGGGACACAGGGGTCTTCAGGGACAGTCGAGCCGAGGTCATCCAGAGAGCTGGGGCACCTGAAAAGCACATCACATGAAAGGGTCTTGTCCTCGCCGTGGAGACCCCCTTGTACCCAACCCCCACAAACTTCTGCCCCGGTCCCCCTCCCCCGCTCCTCAGCCCAGCCACTGCCTCCACACTCCTGGGCCCAGGCCTCCCCCTCTCAGGACAGGCTCTGCACCCACCACGCCCTCCGGGGAAGCACCTGGAGGCCTTGGTTTGCCATCCATCCTGGCGCCCAGCACAGCGCCAGGCAGGCAGGCAGTGGGTGCTCAGCAGTTTGGGGGTTGTTTTTTGTTTTTGATTTTTTTTTGGCTGAATAAATGAACACCTGAATCCAAATGCAAACTCTTACCCCAGGCCTGCCTGTTCCTGCCCCCTTGCCAGGCCCCGGCCCCACACCTGGCCCCGGCCCCCCGCCCAGCCCCCGCACCTGGGCTGAAGCGGCGGCGGTCACTCCCAGAGGAAGCGCACGTACCAGATGGTCTCGTTCTTCAGCTGCGGCCCAAACAGGGGGTTCAGCTGGGCCAGGATGGCGATGAGCCAGCTGCCAAGGACAGCACAGTGAGGGCGAGCCCCGCAGGGGACAGCGGGAACCTACCAGGCGTGACTCATGCAGGGCGTGTGGCCACGCGACCAACCCCACCCACCCCGGACAAGCCGGCAGGTGGGCTGAGTCTGGGGTGCGTGGGTTCTGGCTTAGGTGAGGTCTGACTGGGTGTTCTGTAGGTCTGTCAGATCCCTGAACGGAGGCTGGACCCTGGGGTGAGAGAAGAGGTGAGACAGCCTCCTGGGGCCCACTGGGAGTGACCCCCAGCTGGGCCCAAATACACCCCTGGCCTGGGCCGCCCCAGGCTGCGTCTGGGAGCAGCACAGCGCTGGTCTGAGACAGGCACGTCAGAGTCACCCCCTTTTAAGACCACGATGAAGGAACTATCCCAGTAGGAAGATCGGATGACCAGAACGCCCCACTCCCACACCTGCTGGGGACAGGCCAGGGCCGTCCCTCAGGCCAGCAGGCTCTCTGGGGACCACCGGCAGGCTGCACATGTGTGTGGGGGGTGTCAGGCCCCGTCGTCATGACTTTGTCTGCCCACAGAGCCGGCCCCCAGTGCCCTGGAGGGGCACGGCTCTGCATGCTGCCGATGACGGTGCCAGTGGTGCCTGGCGTGGTCTGGCAGCTGGGATCCCGCTCTCCTGCCTCCGAATCCCCACAGCAGCCAGTCCCCGGCCTGACGCCCGGGACACCACCCAAAACCGCTGCCTGCTGATCACCGGCCTTAACCCACGCTTAGGTTCTGTAATTATAACTTCTAGGCATGGCGTTTGCTTCAGTTGCTCCACCTTTCTGCCTGTGTGCCCCTGATCTGCGGCCCAGGTTCCCCTCCCGAACGCTGAGTAGGTGTCTGTAATCACCCACACCCTGCTCTGTCTGTCTCCACGTGCCCCCACCCGACCCTGTCCCAGACACCACCCTCTGCTCCCATCTCTGGGCCTCCAACCACTGTTGGGAACCGCCCTGCCTGGTATCAGGAGCTGGAACCCCCCCCACTCCTCCCCAGGCTAAGGCTAAGGGAATGCCCTTGGACTGTAAGCCAGCAAGGAGACAAAAGCTTATCTCCCTGGCAGGAGCGCTGCTTCTGCTCCTTTTATTTCATCCTGCCTGGCCCCCAAGGCTTGGTCGGTTAGCCAAAGACGAGTAAGATTCCCCAAGGGGGGAACGACCTAAGACAGGCACGATCACATGGGAGGCCCCCAAAAGAAAGGACTTTGGGGGCTACAGCAAAAGGGCGTGATGGACCCTTGCTCCTCGGCTTTGACATAGCCTGAGTCCTCATCATCTGGGAGAAAATCTCCTTATCTCTTGGTTGCCTTAGTTCCCTTGCTCCACCTAAGCCTGAAACAATGACAGGGTGGTGCAGCTCTGTGCTGGAAAGGGCGGGTTCCCCCTGGGCAATCAGGCCTAAGAAAGAATGTGTAAAATCCTATGAAACCTGCTTTGTTTAGAATGCTCTCAGTTGAATGAGAAGGGTCCAAGGAGGAAGTTAGTTTGTTCCTTAAAGTCTTACAGCTCTTTGACCCTGACTCAAAATAGGCCCTCAGACTTCCTTGTTATCTATTGTTTGATCCTTACTTCCTAGCAATGAGTAATGAGCTTTTGCCTGAATTCTTATGCAAATGAAACCAATAAAAAGCCTCTCTGGAGGGGGAACGGCGCGCTCTCCCCACGAGGGAGGGTGGCCATGGCGCCCTCCAGGAGAGAGGGTGGCCAAGGCGCTCCCCACGTGAGGAGTGGCCCTGCTGTTCCTATTCCCCCACAGGACCTGGTTGTCTCTGTGTATGTTTTTCTCGCGTTTCGACGGGCCATCCGCAGCGTTCCATGATCACTGCTGGCCGGTGACCCACTCTTGCATCAAACCACAGCCCCTCCCAGCCCCTCCCTGGGAGAGACTAGGACATCCATCAAGCCCTGAGAGACCAAGAAACAGCACAGAGAAAAGGCTTTGAAGATGCTCTGTCCAGGGAGAATTCTGAGAGTCATCATTGTTTTTTTTCACAAGCTTTATCTTTTTTGTGAATGGGAGGTAGAACTATTGCACATCATATAAAGTAAAACTGGAATGGACTAATAGGAGTAAATAGCCCATGATCTAATTAGGTAAAACCGGCATTAACTACGTAACAGGCACCAAATCTGAAATCAGTCATGACTCTTTTTTTAAAAAAATGTGGGTTATTAGCCTATGTATTTGAAAAATTTGGCAGTTCTGAGAATTATTCCAGTTACTTTCAAAAGGTTCTGTTACTTTTTGAAATATCAGCATTCCGCCCTGGCTGGTGTGGCTCAGTGGAATGAGCACCGGCCTGCCAACCCAAAGGCCGCTGGTTCAATTCCCAGCCAGGTCACCAGTCAGGGGCATGCCAAGAGGCAACTGATCGACGTATCTCTCACACGTTGGTGTTTCTCTTCCTTTCTTTCTCCCTCTCTTCCCCCCTCTCTAAATAAAATCTTCTTTTAAAAAAAATCAGCATTCCATTATGTTACCTGTCCTATCTTGATTGTTCTGAACTCAGAACACCCATCTACACCAAACTTAACCCATAAAAATGGTGCCCGGGACCCAGGAAAATGCGAAGCCAGACAGGCCGCGCATGGGCTCCGACGATCAGGAGGGAGGCCTCCCTAACCCCAGGAGGAGGACCTGCTCCTCGGTTTAGCAGGCAGGATGATTCCAACACGCAGCGACGGAACACAGAAGGGCGGGGACGGGCGGAGGGGTGGGCTGCCTCCCTCTGTCCAGGGGGAGGGGCTATCCTGAACGGAAGTTTTGGAAAAGAGACCATCTGGACGCTGAGGACCTGGAAATGGATTCCCTCGCCTCGTCCAGGTTCCCAAGTCCCTCAGCACGCTCTTCGACGTCCCCAGGGCCCCTTTTCAAGTTTAAAGACCGAGCGTCTGCCGGCTCTCACCGGCGTGCGTTATGCATGCGGATTCCCCAGCGCACGGGATTTAGCCGGCAGAGGGCGCAGCCCTCAGAGAGGTGGCTCAGTCCCTCCAGGTGATTCTGACGCCCAGTCGGGCAGGAGAAGCACGGAGCCGGCCGCACTCACTCCTTTCACCGAGGAGCACGCGGCAGCCTGCGGACCTCCCGAGGCTCGTCTGGTGATCTCTTTAGAGCCAGAACCCAGAGCTGCTGACTCCCAGCCCACCAGTCTCTCTGCCACTCCCAACCGCCTCCTCTCCTGTGTTGTCCAGACTCGGCCTTTCAGGAACCGAGACTGTCACATCAGGGACAGCGGGGAGGGCAGGGCGAGGGAGCGGAGGGAGGCAGGGAGGAGAAGACCGGCACCGGCTGGTTTTGCGCTGGGAGAGAGGTACTTACAAGAGGTAGCAGCACACAGCAGTGGCTACCAGCATGGTGATGATCACCCTGCAAGATAGAGGGTGTCAGGTCAGGGCCACCCGTGGAACCGGCACCCTCAGGAGGCCGGGCCAGGGCCGCAGAAGGAGCTGCCGGGGTCGGCCCCTTTCCCGTCGGCCTTCCCAGCGCCATCGGAGCAGAGGAAGCCGAGTTGTCCTCGGAAGGAAAATAAAAATGCTCAGTGTCACCTCATGGGGAGGCCGACCTTGACCCCATCCAAGTCACACTACGATCCACTCCCATCTCCTTCCTGTCTCACCCACTGGGTGTCCATCTAAGGCAGCCATGTGGGGGAAAGACACTCACAGAAATGCATCTGCAGCAGCCCCTGTGGCCGGGGCGGGGGGGGGGGGTCTCTGGAATTCAAAAGTCACTGGGCAAGGGGAAGGAACACAGAGGCCCAGACGACAGGGCAAGAAGCAGGAGACAGTGAGCCATTTCCGAGGCAGAGCGAGTGGCTGGAAGGAGCACAGGGACTGGCCACCCTGTGTCCACTCAGGCGACTGGAGACAGAAGCTTACAGCGCAGCAGGGGAGACTTCAGTTAGACAGGAGGAGGAACTCACCAAGGTTTGCAGGAGAGCTGAGACACTAGCATGGTTTACAAGGTGAAGCCGGGGTCCTGGGCCCTGCAGATCTTGAAGGGCTCCAGTGGCAACACGCACGTGTGCAAGAGGCCTGCAGCCAGGGCTAAACTGACCCCAAACCAGGCCCCAGGACTTCTGACCTGCCGCACTCGAAGACTGTGCGGGAGAAATTGGCACCTGATCCACTCTTTAAACGTTACCAAGCACGGTGGGCCCGTCCCATGCCGGGCACTGGGGTCTATAACAAACCCCTCTGGGGCCTGGAGGAACTTGCAAACAGGGGGAGACAGTGCTTGACAACCGGGGATAACGTGAGGCGCAAATCAACTGGGGGTGCAGCAGGCGCAGAAATCTGCTCGGGGACCGCCACAGGCCAGTGACACCGCCTAGAACAGGACCCAACACCTAACACCAGCCCTGTGCCGTTTAAGAGTTTTATATGCGTTGTTTCGAGTAATCCTCACAGCAGCAGCCTGAAAGGCGGCCATCATCATCATCATCATTATCATCATCATCCCCATTTGATCTGTGAAGAAAGGGAGGCTGGAACGGGGTCACATTGGCTCTACGTCACAGCTGGTGCGGTGTGAACCAATTGCACCGAGTGGCTAGCCACAGCCGTGATTGGCCCGAGGGAGTGACCCTTGACCGTCGCCCGCATCGGTCAGCTCTCGGCCTTTCTAAAGAAGGCTTCTCTGCCTTTGGCCCCTACCGCCGGCCAGTTTCCGGCCGAACGGGAGGAGGAGCGGGCGCTGGGCATCTGATGCGCTCCACCGGGAGGGGTCCGCAGGGAGGCTGGGCCTGCGCGCGCGTCCCTTACCCGCGGTTGGGTCCTTTCGGCACGAACCAGGGCCCGGCGATGCCGATGAGGCCCCAGAACGTGGTGAAGATGATGACCGGGAGGGCAAAGGAGTGCGCCGTCATGGCGGGGCGCGGGACGCCCAGACCTGGGAGAAGGACCAGAGGCAGATGCTCGGGGACGCGCGGGTCCTGGCCGGGCTTTGGGCGCCGAGCATGCGCAGCAGAACGAGGCTGCCCAGGGGAGCGCGCTCCGCCCGCCCGCCTGATCAGCGCAGGCGCGCGCGGGCGCGAGCTGGTCTTCAGGGGCGAGGGGCGAGGGGCGAGGGGCTGGGGAAGGGGCGAGGGACAGGGCCCAAGGGATAAGGACGAGCTTTCCCGGGAGCCAGACGTAGTTAGCTTTGGTGAGCTTCTCCAGTTTCCTAGTTTTGGCTAAAATAATTTACAGGACAGAGGCACGTGTCAAAATAAAATCTGCTTTATTCAAATAGCAAAATGCTGAACGCCAATCGTGGTTTTATAAACCTGATTTACACATCTTTGAAACCAGAAAGGGAGTGGACATCCTGGGCCACCCCTCCCCCTTCCCGAGTGTCCTCGGCTGACAGACACCTGGAGGAGGTGTCTGAACAATCTTCACACTGTCCTGCTAAACACGCAGGCCAGGAGCTCAACCTGGGTTTGAGAGAGAAGCAATAGCTCTGGAGTATCGTAGCTCTCCAGCTTGCTCGGCGGTGTTGGGGGTGGGCTGAGATCCCTCGCTCCCCCTGCCTGGCCCCTATGGCTGCCACCAACGTGCCACTCCCAGCGCTGGTTGCCAGGAAGGTCAGTCATGGGGCATGCGGAGTCGGGGGAATTCCAGGACTGGGAAATGGAGGTGCCCTGACGAGTACAGGGAGGGGAGGAGGGTGGAGGCTTGGCCAGGCCTCTGGGCAAAGGTGGAGCGCTTGCTCCTGTTCCTAATGCCCTTCAGCTTCTTTTCTTGTGAGGCAAAAAGAGGAAGCCCCTCCAATGAGGGGGCAGCCAGGCCCTCCGGTGTGCACCCCAAGGCGGGGGGTGCTGAGTGACAGGCCCAGGCGCTCGCCGCATTTCAGCCCTGGGGTCCTGCATGAAACGCCAGTCGTCCTCTTTGCTGTGAGCTAATGCCGGGGAGCCAGAGCACGCCTGCACCCCTGCAGAAATGTGGGCAGTGCGTGGTAAACAGCATTTCCCAGGGGCCCGGCTTTCTCACAGGCCGGCATCGGAGGCTTGCTCAGAGCACAGACGTGGCGAGGCAGGGTGTGCGCCCCCACCCAGCCTCCACCCCCGCACCTGGAGCCGCATCAGGACGTGTGTGCGTGGGAACCCCCACCCCCACAGCAGTGCCGCAGGACTGGTCTCGAGGCTGCATCTCTCCAGCAGGAGCTGGAAGCAATGCAGATCCCACAGCCGAGGCCCCCGTGTCTGCCTCCCCCACACCCACCACCTTCTTTTTCCCTTGGGAGCAAGTCAAACTGTGCTTGTTCCCGCTGCCCAGAACTCGGCAGTCTCCTATCAGCTAAGACACCCCGATTCCAGAACCAGCCCTGGTGAGAAGTGGAGGTGATGAACATGACCCCCCCTTCCAGAAATCATTAGTGGCTTCCCCAGTATTATATGTGGAAGTCCATCTGGCTCCCTAAGAGCTGTGGGCTAATCCCTGTGGGTTCTTCAGCCAGCTTCCTCCTCTCTACCCCCACGCGCCCTGGGGTCATGGGACACCAGCTGCTCTTCAGCTCAGTTAACCACCTTGGCCATAGCTGCTATCGGATAAAGCAGCGGCTTTAATCCCCTTCTGAGGCACCACACTGAAATGAGGTTAAACATCCACCAGTTCTTGGGAGCCTCCGAAAGAAGGGAGGCACAGAAATATGAGCAGTAAGTACTGCCCAGCCAACAGGTTACTGCCGGAGATTCGCAAAGTAACTCACAGGCCAGCGGTGCAAACACCAGAGGAGGAGGGCGGCGGGGAGTGGAGGCCCACAGGCCTGGGGTCACAGGGTCCCTCGGAGCCAGCATTGCCCGCATCCTTCCTCCCAGCAGTGGGACCACAGGTCGTGTTTACTTTGTAGCGGTTTTTTTGTCTGGAAAATACATCACTGTAGCTTGTGGAGGGGAAGGTGTACGGAAGAGAAGCTTACGCAAGGAAGAACTTCTCTAACTCAGTGTCCTTCCCAGTCTTTCCAGGGAAAATACACAGCGTCAAAATAACCTCATTGTCCTTTTTCTCTCTTTTGCCTGCGGGACAAACCCTCCGGGTTCATCCAAGTGACTGAAGTGAACACCGCAGGAGAGCTCCGGAGGAAAGTGGTCCTGTCACAAGTGTGCTCGTACTTCCAGCCTCTCGCTCAACATAAATCACAGATCACAAACGTTAAAGGAACAACAGGATGTTTTCTTTTTTTAATAATTTCTTAAAAATTTTTATTTATTTATTTTTAGAGAGGGAAGGGAGGGAGAAAGAGAGAGAGAGAGAAACATCAATGTGCGGTTGCTGGGGGCCATGGCCTGCAACCTAGGCATGTGCCCTGACTGGGAATCGAACCTGCGATGCTTTGGTTCGCAGCCCGCGCTCAATCCACTGAGCTACGCCAGCCAAGTCAAAAGATTCATTTTTGTTGTTTAGAGCCACCTGGCCTCGGTACCTCCTTATGGGAGCCTGAGCTAGCGAAGACAGGAGAAAGCTGTGGCTAGGCAGGCCGACCGGGCATCAGAAACAGCCCGAGCACAGCCGGAGAGGCGGGCGCATGGCGCGTGCGTGGACGGCGTGTAGGGCAGGGAGTTACGGGAAGTGACGCTGAGGAGAGGGATGCACCGGGCTGGATGTGGAAGGCACTCTGGCTACGTTAGGAGTTTAAGTGAGTTGCAAGCTGGTGAACGGTGTAGGCAAGTTTGCACTTTAGTTGGATCAGCAGAGTGGAAGGTGAATTTAGAGAGAAGAATAGAAGAGAGAAGACCAAACTCTATAAATATATACCTGCTCTGCTTTCTTCTCTCCTGTTCTTTAAACTTACATAAAGTAATAATTATAACAATGCATCGTTTAGCTGTTTATATATGGATGTAATGTGAATAATAATAATAGTACAAATAATGTGCAGTGTCATGCAGAAACCTTAAGTGTGCAACGCGATGTATTTTGACATGTGCACCATGTGGCCACCACACGGATCAGATCCAGTAATTTCCAGGACCCCAGAGAGCTCCGTGGTGGCCCTCTCAGCATGCATTCCTGGAGGTGAAACTACAGAAAGTGAAGAAGCCATTATTGTAAAGGTCCCAAGAAAATTGACTTTAGGAAGCAGGTGTGGTTGGGGATACAGGTGTGGTTTAGGAAGCAGGCGTGGTTGGCAGTGGGTACCGGAGGGTGGGGTGAGAACGTGTTCTATTGCTAGACCTTGACGGTGGTTACCCAGATTTCTAAATAATTATTCATCAGATTGTACGTTTACGTTTTATGCGATTGTAGGCATGTGTGTTTTAAGTCACAATTCAGAGTTGTGAGTAAAAATAAAACATGGTTTTAAAAAACTGTATTAATATGCATTGCCCTACTGATGGTGAAATATTTGGGTATCACCCCCGTGTAGGCCCCAAGTAACCATTTTCCACTACATAGCCCTGCCCGCACTAGCGGTGTCTGGCAGCAGAGACCTGCAGAATTCGTATTCAACCCGTCACAGAGGAGGAAAAGGGTCCCCAGGAGACAGTCCAGGGCGCAGACCCGCCCTTCCTGCCCCGCCCCCGCCCATGCAGACTCGGACTCGAGCTTGCTGCCAGTGTTACTTTATTTGGGAAGTGCTGGCACCAGGCATGGAGTGGTGGGTGGGCAGGGGGATGGGGGTCACCGCCCTTGAGCCTGGTGATCCCGAGCGGGCCGGGGCAGCCTCATGCAGCGGAGCCATCAGCGCTCTGAGAAATCACCTCCTGCATGGACAGTGAGAGGGAGCTGTGTCACCGGAAGGGGCAGCAGAGGGGTCAGGCCGGGCGGGGAAGGGGCCAGTTCCCTCCGTACCCGGAGTCGCCCGGCGGCACGTGGGGCAGCAGTTCCCGGGCTCCTGCACGGTCACCTCGCCCTGCAGAAGCAGAGGCCCCGGTCCACTCAGGAGCCTGGCCCCGAGCCTGCGTGAGCCCTGAGACCAGCCCCTGGGGACAGAGCCAGGGAGGAGCCCGGAGGGCCACTCTGCGAGGGTGGGCAGGCTGCAGTTACAAGCGGGTACCTGGGCACAGGTGAGCAGGGGGCAGCGCCGGGTGCAGACGCTCCTCCCAGGGAGGCAGCGGCAGCTCTCACAGACCTCCTGCCATTCGGTGTCGGGCTGGGGAGAGGGGCGGACGTGCTCCCTCGATCTCCATCTCTCAGTGCGTAGACTTTCTACACCACCACCCACCCTTCAGCCCGGCCTGGGGCCTAGCCAGGGCACAGAGCCGGGACCGGAGGCAGCCCGAGTGTTTCAGGGGGCAGGCGGGCCTTGGCGGCCCAGAGGCTGACCCACGTGTGGCCCCAGGCCCTAGAAGGGGGACGGGGTGGGGGGGAGGCCCGGGTTGAGAAGGCGCAGGTGGCACAGAGGAGCCGAGGGGCCTCACCGGGTGGGGGCGCCCGCGGTGCCAGCACTCGCAGAGATCCGCGGTCACGCAGGGGCCTGCCTGGCTCCGGAGGAGCCCCCGCTGGCACACGCACCCCGGGGCCTGGCCACACCCCGGGCGTCCTTCCCTCCCAGCATCCCGAGGACACGGGGCAGGGAGGGGTCAGTGTGGACAGACGAGGGAAGGTGCTTCCTTAAGGCAGCGGCTTCGCCTGGTGGGGGGGGGTGCAGGACCCTCTCCCCTCCCCAGCGCCAGCCCAGCCACGGCTCGGGGGGACCAGATGGGACCCGGAAAGCCCACACCTCCCCCTGACAGTCGGCGAGGAAGCAGCTGAAGGTCCCCCTTTGGCAGACGCTGGGAAAACAGGAGCACGCGGTCAGAGCCTCCCACACCCTCCTCCCTTCCCCACCCTCGGCACCCAGCCCCCCGCCCGCCCCCCCGCCCCAGCCCAGTCCCCGAGCCCGGCCCTCACCAGGGGGTGCAGTTCTGGGCGAGCACAGTCCCCGGGGGCAGCTCCTGGGCCTGCTCTTCGAGGGTCAAGGTGAGGCCCCAGGGCAGAGAGAGCCGGGTGCAGGGGCACTCAGCGGGGGGCACGCATGTGCCACTGTGCAGCAGCTGGGGCAGCACGGGCTCCGGTCACACGCGGACCACTGCCTCCCCCCACCCTCCCCGTGGGAGTCAGGGCGCAGCACCCACACCCACCTGCCCTCCGGGGCAGCCACAGCCAAGCCGGCACGGCTCCTGCACACAGAGGGCGCCGGGCCGAAGGTGCGAGCAGAGGCGCGGGCACGAGGTGGCACAGGGGCTGGGCACCTGGCCGGGGGGGGGCACTCTGGCGGGGTGGGGGGGGCGCACAGATCGTGAGATGGACTCTCAGGGCGGTTGCTACCCGTGCCAACCCGCCACCAGCCAGCTGGGACGGGGCCTGGGCTCAGCAGCCCTGGAGGGAAGGCCAGGCGCCACGGCAGGCCGGACACTCACCGGGGCAGGGCTGCAGGTCGCACTCCTGCCGCTGCTCTGCGTCCTGGGCCCGGCAGGGCGCCCCCCCGGGACTCTCCTGGCAGCTCCGATGGCGCTCCCGGGTGCCCCCACCACAGGGAGCCGAGCAGCGGCTCCAGGCTGACCAGGGCCCGAGGACTGGACATCACGGTGTGGGCACTCCAGGGACCCGTTGACACAGGTGCTGCGGACAGGGGTGTGCAGGAAGGGCTCAGCGGCCGGGTCTCGGTGAACAGAGCCTTTGGTTCCCAGCAACGCCCACCGCCCTCAGGCACCTGCCCGGAGCCTGCCACCACCCCCCCACCCCCGCACGCTCCCCCACAGCCACTGGCGGGCAGCATACCAGGTTTTGCAGTCCAGCTGCACCGCCTCGGCTGGGGCCAGCACCCAGGAGGCATTGGGGCTGGGCAGGCCGCAGCGGCAGGAGGAGATGGGCACACAGCGCCCGTCCTGTACCAGTTGGCCAGGGGGACAACGGCAGCCTGAGGGAGGGGCAGGACAAGCAGGACTCGGTGCTCGGGCTGGCACCCACAATGCATCCCTCTGGCTGCCGGATGGAGTCCACAGCCTCGGGCTGGCACCGAGCACCCTTCCCCCTGCAGCCCGCATGGCCTGGTCTCCACACTACCTCCCGTCGCCGCACTAGCCTCAGCCCATCCTGACCCAGGTCACTCTGGGCAGGACCCCCACCCAGCTGGTTGCACAAGTGACCTCTGCTGCAGCTGTCCGCCCCACGCCCGGGTCACATGTTCTCGGGGGGGGGCAGGGAAGCAGGCCTGGGCTCCCCCAGAGTCCCCAGACCCGGGCTGTGGGCGTCGCCTGGCCACCTGGGCGGCAGGGCCCCTGCGGACACTGCACGCGGTCCCAGAGGTCGGCACAGCTCCGAGGACACTGGTTGGCGCAGCCGGGGGCGGACACGGCGTCCCAGGCCTCGCAGCTCTCCCCTGAGGACCAGAAGGCAGGACGTCCTGGGCCCCCGAGGACACGCCCTGCCTCTCAGGGGCCGCCCCGAGTGCCGCAGTCCCCGCCCCCTGCTCTGGAGCCTGCAGCGCCAGGGGTTACCTGGGCAGGGCCCAGGGTTGCAGCTCTCGGTCTGAGCCCAGGGTCCCCAGCAGCCTCCTCCGGGGGGGTCCGCTGCCTCTCTCCAGTGCAGCCGGAACCCCCCACCGCAGGGCACCTCGCAGGAGCTCCAGGGCCCCCACGGGCTCCACTGGCACCGGTCTGGGGAGATAAAACAGAAGTCAGTGCCCAGGGCCCACCCGCTCTGCCTCCTGCTCCCACCCGAAGGCCTTGGGCTCCCACCCGGTAGCCAGCTGGTCGGGAGGTGGGGTGGGGAGGGTGGCAAGTCAGCTCACTGTCCGGCCACCGAAATGAACGTGGCCCAGCCTTGCCTGGCCCGGCCCCTCCCGTTACCAAGGCAGGCTCCGGGGTCCGGGCAGAGGCGCTGCTGGCTGAGCGGCGCGGTGCAGAGGTCCGGGTCCCCAGCCCACGACCTGCCCGTCTCAGGGTCCAAACAGAGGCGGTGGCGGCGCTGCTCCGAGGCCAGCAGGGGGGCCGAGGCTGGGGAGAGGCCGGCTGGGTGCTGGGGCCACCGCTCCTCTAGGGCCGTCCTGGAGGCGGGGGCCAGGACGCTGAGGGGCAGGCAGGGCCCACAGGGCGACCACGTGGACCAGTCACTCAGAGGCAGAAGACCTAGGACGGGCAGCGAGTGGGCACCTTGACAGTGACCTTCCCCAAACCCAGCGACCCTGGTGCAGAGGGAGGGAGGGAGGGAGGAGCTCGGGTTACCACCAGGAAGGCTGAGAGAGGGGTGTGGGGGGACAGGGTGGGGTGACCCACCACGCTGGCTTGTTTGGGACAGTCCCAGTCCCATCACTGAGGGCTCCAGGTCCCAGAAACACCCCCGGTCCCGGGTGAAGGGGGACAGCAGGTCTCGCTGGCCCGGAGTTACCTTGGCAGCCCCCGCTGGTGCACTGCAGCTCCCCGCGCTGGCACTCACTGTGGGAGGGGACGGTCAGGTGGGGGCTCTGGGCGGCGGGGCCCAGCCCAAGGCAGCGGGTGGGGCAGGGGGCTCCAGTCGGGGTGGCCTGAGCTCTGGGCGCACTGGGAGCTACAGGAAGCAGGGCTGAGCCCCCGAGGCTGAGCTTGGCCCCCTCCCTAAGCCTCTTCCTTCTGACGCCGCCCCCCCCCACCCCCTCGCTCACTACTCTTTGCAGCCCAGCCATAGGCGGTCCCCAGGGGCCAAGGTCACCCTGGCGCCTTCTCCTGAGATGTGCTGGCAGCTGCACTGCTCCGGGGGGACGCAGCCTCCCGCCTGCTCCAGCAGTCCCTGTGCGAAAGGAGACGCGAGGACTGTGGGACGGTCATCCATGTGTCCTGTGGCCAGCACCGTGCCTGGCCCACGTCGCTGGGCGAGGATGGGCGGAGGGCCACGGCCGGCTGGACGGCTGTGAAGAGGTACAAGTTCCGAAGGCCTGAAGCACAGGGGTCACTGCGGGCAGCGTGGAGGGGAGGAGGTCTGGGGGTGTGGACCGAGGGCCTCCTTCTGGGGCGTCTCCCCGGCCCCTGCCCTCACCTTGGGGCAGTAGCAGCCAGGCTGGCAGGGCGGCAGGTCCTGGCAGAGGGCGCGGCTCAGGTGTGTGGCACAGAGCCCGGCGCAGGGGGAGCCGCAGGCCCGGAACTGGGAGGGAGGCGCGCAGCCATCCTCTGGCGGGGGAGGGAGGAGGCGGACACGCTGCTGGGGGGGGCAGCGCAGAGGCACCCTCCACCCCACACCCCGAACCCGCCGAGCTCCTTAGAGTCACCGGGGAAGAAAGCAACACTGTCCCCTGCTGTGCGCAAGACACCGTCACCCACCCAGCCGCCCCTCTGCCCTGTGGGTGCCCACAGGGAGAGGGCCGGGTGCTGGGGAGAGCTCCGAAGCTGCCTGGAGGGTGGGGCTGTGGGGTGTCAGGGGCCTGGCAGGTGAAGGATTGGGGGGGCAGAGATGGAGGCGGCTACGATGGGAGGCGGCAAGACCCGCCGCACGTGGGCCAAGCCACAGCTGGGCCGGTCCAGGTGAAGTCCCGGGGAAGCCGGGAGGAGGAGCCCGGGGGGACAGCGGCATCCTGGGGGGTAGGGAGGAGGGGACACTCAGGTCCGAGTAGGGGGGGCTGGAGACTGGGAGTGGGTGGGCATGGGTGGCCTCCCCGAACCCCCCCGAGAGTTCCGTCTGCAGCGCCCCTGCCGGCTGCGGTGCCTCACCTTCCAGGCAGTGCCCCCCGCAGCTGCTGTTGGCCTCGGGGTCCAGGCAGGAGGGGGGGCACGGGGGCACCAGCCCCTTCCGACACAGCTCGGCGCTGACGTGCACACGGCCCATCCCACAGGCTGGTGGGAGATGGGCACCCGGTGAGGTGGGCCCCAGGAGGCCCAGAGACACCCCACAGGGTCCCACCCTCTGTCCCCTCACCTGTGTCCCCTGTGCAGGCCTGCAAGCCACAGGCTGTCCGCTCTTGGGAGGCCCCGGGGCAGGGGGCGCCGCCATTCTTGGGTGGGGGGTCCTCGCAGCTCCTCCGGCGGCTCCGATGGCCACCCCCACAGGAGACGCTGCACGGTCCCCAGGCTTCCCACGCGGTCCACGCCCCCGCCACTGCAGGGAGGGAAGAGTGGGGGTGGGCCAGACGAGCCCACGGGGACGTGGGCGGTGCTGGAGAGAGCAGGGGGCCGAGCAGGGAGGAGCCTGGACAGCCACCAGTGGGGCAGCCTAGGGCAGCACCCGGGGACACCACTGCCTCCTCTCCTGTCCCAGGAAACCTCCCCTGGCTGCCAGGACCTGGGACAGGGCTGGACTGGGACAGGAGCAGGGTGCCCCCTGGTGGCAGCAGCCTAAAGCCAGGCTAGGAAGCCAAATGTGGGGGCTGAAGAGAGACCCCTCTCTGGAATGCAGTGGCAGGGTGGGGGACCCACAGAACAGAAGGTCCGCAAGGTCACTGCGCCCAGAGTCCAGGACCAGGGGCTCTGCCCGCTACCCTCCCTCAGGCGGGAGCGCCTGTTACTCTGGCGCCCACAGGTGGGGACGTCAGGGGCCTGTCCAGGGCCACTGGGGCAGCAGGAGGGCAGGGTTGGGGACAGCCTTCCCGACAAGCCCTGTGGAGGTGTGAGGCTGCGACGTCGGAGCAGGGCTGCCCCCCTAGAGGGAGCAGGGACACCTCCCTGGTGCGCGTCTCTGACGGGAGCCCAGCCCAGGTGCCCTGCCCGGGGCCCGCGAGGGCCTGAGGGGCGCGGGAGCCAGTTACCAGGGCAGGCCCGCATGAAGCAGGACTGGCTGCGGAGGCGGTCAGGCGGGCAGCCGCCCCCGGGGCAGGGGTGGCTGCAGCAGCTCCCGGGTGCTGGAAGGCGACGCCCAGGCCACAGCTGCGGCTGCAGTGGCTCCAGCCGGACCAGGGAGCCAGCCTACAGTCCACTGCAGGGGGACGGGGCGGGGTGGGGGGGGGGCCCAGCTCAGAGGGGCTCGCCCTGCAGTGGGGCCCGCAGGGGTGCCCCCCCCCCAGCCGGGCACACACCGCAGCCGTCCTCATCCGATCCGTCCTGGCAGTCGGGCCGCAGGTCGCAGTGCCGCTCGGGGGGCAGGCACTCGCCGCTGCTGCAAGTCAGCTGCCACGCGGAGCAGAGGCCTCGCGGGGAGGGCAGCCCGGGCAGGGCCGTGGTGGGCACCGGGCAGGGCCCAGGGCTCACTGCTGCCGGAGAGCGGGAGGGAGGAAGAACGGACGAGTGATTCCGGGTGGACCACACACCGAGCCCCTTGGACCTCAGGCAAGAGCAGAACCGGGCTGGCTGACCTAGGCCCCCCAGGCCCAGTGCAGGCCTCCGGCCGCTGCGTGTGGGTGAGGCCGCGGCGGCAGGGGGTGGGGGCAGGGCGGGGGGAGTCTGCATGGGCCCCCCAGGTGTCTTCCGGTCAGGGGCTCTTGGAGAGTCCCCAAAGGCCCGTGTCTAAAAGAGCAGTTGGCTGCCTCAGGTGCCCCTTCCTGAATGGGTGCGCCCTGCAGGGCCCTTTCCTGTGATTGGCTAACACTTGACCTCTCTTCTGATTGGAAGACGAGGCTTTGAGCATAGTGATCTGCTCTGGAGAGATGGATGGATGGATGGATGGATGGATGGATGGAGTGGGTGGATGGTGAGGTGGGACAGGAGCAGGGCGCCCCCTGGTGGCAGCAGTCTAAAGCCAGGTTAGGATGGGTGAACGGGTGGATGGGTGGGAGAACTACTGAGTGGGTGGGTGGGTGGATGAGTGAGATGAATGAGCGGATGGGCAGATGGCTGAATGGATGCACGGTGGGTAGGGGGATGGTGAGAGGGACAATGAATGCATTCCCATATGAGCTGGGCTAAAAAATGGGGGCCTGAGACTTCCCCAAACCTGAAGCCCTCTTGCCAGCCCCACCCACGGGACACCGGCCCCTGAGGGCAGCCCGGCCGGCCCGTGCTCACCGCAGCGCCTCTCGTCCGAGCCATCCAGGCAGTCCTCCCGCCCGTCACACAGCTGCTCCCGCTCCACGCAGCCCAGCACCGCGCAGGGCACCTGGCCGGGGCCGCACTGCACCCTCGGGAAGGGCCCCGGGGCCGGGCTCTGGCCTGCGGGCACCACCACACGGGCCGGCTGACCCCACACACGGCCCGCCCTGTCCGCCAGCCGCCTCCCGCAGCCCCCGGCCTCTCCTCCTGATGCGCGCCGTGCCCCACGTCCCGCCTCTCCCAGGACGGCGGAAAAGTGGTGGGCTCCATCCAGAGGCCGGGGTCCCAGTCCCGGTTCTACAAAAACCCTGACCTCACCTAGAGCTGTGTGACCTTGGCCAAAAGCCCCCAGGGCCTCTGTCCCCCCACGACAAAGATGTTGAGAGGCTTGGGCTTGGTGGGCAGAAGGCCGAGGAATCTTACTGGCGGGGGCCCCTGGAGTCATCGGGTGTGGGGACAGCCCTGTCACGGCTGCCATTCTTGGTTGCAGGGCCATGGCCTTGGGCTGGGAGGTGGGGGTGACGGTCGCTGTCTGCGCGGACTCCCCAGGACTCGGGCGAGGCACCTCCGAAGCTGGTGTCTTCCCTGTGGGTGCAGAACAGGGAGGGGCTGGGTCTGCCGGCTCCCCTTCCCACACCGGCCCCCCAGAGAGCACCCCAGGCTTGGAAGTGGCGCAGGGCGCTGCCCCCCGCTCCGGTTCCCCCTGAGTCCTCACCCCCTCCGCTCCTTGGGGCTGCCCCCCGCCAGGCCCACTCACCAGGCGGGACGCAGTGGCAGCACGACTCTCCCCTGCCCTCCACCAGGACCCAGTCCTGCAGGCACCAGAGACGGGCGGACGTGCTGAGCTGGCCCCCCACCCCCTGCCACACCATACGGCTTGCCCCAGGCCCTGGCCCACGCCCCTCACCTGGGGGCAGCTGCCCGGCGGGCAGTAGGGGGAGCACAGCGCGGTGCCGTTGTGCAGACACTGGCAGACCCTGCAGGGGCCCCCTCGCCAGCGCTCCCCGACGCGGTGGACCTGGCCGTGCTGCTCGCAGCCCCCGCACGGCTCCGTCTGGCACCTGGGAAGGGAGGCCCGCCCCTCACCTGGTGAATGGGCTCACCTAGGCAACCAGCCCGCCCTGGTTTGCCTGGAGTGAGGGGTTTCCCAGAACCAGGCACTTTCAGGAATAAAACTGGGGAGGTCCTGAGCCAAGTGGGTGAACCCCACCTTTGCACCCGAGAAACTGCAACTGGCCGGTGGCAGCTACACCCCACAAGCCCCACTCAGGTCCCTCCAGAAGCACAGGACGCAAACCAGAGGACCCATGCCCTCTCTGGACTTGCTCAGCTGCATTTGTGGGCTCCTTGCACCCCCTTTAGGACCCAGAGGCCATGAAACTGATGCAGGAGAAGGCCAGTGCTCCCCACAGCTGTGCTGGGCATCCTGGGGTTTAGACTAACAGGTGCGCCTCCTTTGGGGTCTGGGGCCCACGCAGAAGCACCTCGCTGGGGAAAGGCACACAAGCAGCTCCTTTACGGGGCGCCGGAGGAGAGGGGTCCAGGCGCCCGCAGGTCTCGGGTGGGTGTCCAGTACCTGCGGGCTTTGCAGTGGATGCCTCGGCACTGGCGGCCTCGGCGGGAGCGGCGGGGGTTGCTGGGGCTCCGCAAGGACCACTGAATGCTCTGGCTCCCACAGGGGCCCAGGCACTCGGCCCAGGGGGACCAGGAGGACCAGCCACAGTTCACTGAGAAACAGGCAAGAGTCAGGGGGCGGAGGAAGGGTGGGTGCCCGGCTGGGGGGAACCCCTCGGGCAAGGCCAAGGGTGAGGCCTCACCGGCTCAGTCCGGGCTGGGCCGGCAGCTCTGGGGCCGCCCGTCCCGGCAGATGCAGAGTTGGCAGTTGACCCCGATGTGCTCCCCGGGCTGGTAGCGGGCACCGTCCACCAGGCAGGGGCACTGCCCGGGCCGCACACACTGCCCCTCACTGCCCAGCACCTGCCCAGTGGGGCACCAGCAGCCTAGGGGAGGCCCAGGATGAGGCGCCTGTGCATACAGCGCGGCCTGGAAGGCACGACCGCCACGCCCTGGGCCCGGAGCCCCCACCTGGGCTGCTGCAGGGCCGGTCCTCGGCGCACTCGGTCTGACCGGAGATGTCGTCGCAGGTCAGAGGGCAGGGGGCACAGGGCCAGAACACGAGTTCCCCAGAGCAGGTGGCATTGGGGCAGCCCTCCTGAAGGCAGGGACCTGAGGAAAGCAAGAGACAGAGCTCACAGAGAGTCCCCTGCAGCTCCTCCACACACCCCCTCCCCACTGCGCCCTCCCCTCCCTTCCACTCACGGGTCTGGTGGGTGCTGTGTGGGCCCCCGGGCAGCTCAGCACAGGCCCGGCCCCCGTTCTCGGGCGGGCGGCACTGCCGCTGCCGGGTCTCGGAGCCCCCGCACGGCTCAGAGCACAGGGACCAGGGCGACCAGGAGGTCCACTCACCATCCACTGTGAGGAGGGGCCGGACAGGCAGGGGCACCATGAGGTCTGGGTAGGCGCCCGGCGGCCTCCCCCACCCGGCTCTCTGGGCCCCACCGGCTCATGCCACTGCCCTCCCCGGGGGGCCCAGGCCCCTCACCTGGGCAGGCAGCCGTGAGGCAGGCCTGAGTCTGGCACCCAGGCCCCGGGCAGAGCTGCAGCACTGGGAGCCCGGGCGGGGAGCAGTGGCGGCTCCGGCCCTGCACCCTGGGCCCACACGTGCGGCTACAGGGCCCCCATGGGCTCCAGGGGCCCCAGGCCCCACAGCCCTGCTCTTCTGCGGAGACCTTGGCCCCTGATGCCATTTCACAGTCAGGCTTCCCATCGCACACCTGGGGAGGGAACGGGTCAGGGCCCCTTTCTGGTTGGGTGGCGTGATGGCTCTGCCCCCTGCACTACGACCCCCGACCCCTCACCAGCTGGAAACTGATGCAGAGGCCATCCGGGCAGGAGTACTCTGGGCAGGGAACCCCTGTCCCGTTGGGGCCTCCCGGGGCCGGCAGCTCCTCTGAGGGGCAGCGGAGAGAAAACAGGCAGGTGGGGAGTGAGGGCCGCCGCCGGCCCGGCCCCCCCACCAGCTCTGGGCTCCAGCAGGGAAGCCAAGTTCCATACCACAGGCCAGCTCATCCTCGCCCTGGGGACAGTCGGTGACCCCATCACAGAGCCGCTCGAGGTGCAGGCACAGCTGGGGAGCCAAATGACAGGAGAAGAGGTCCCCACACGGGGGCAGCCGGGTGGAGCCTGCGGGGACACTAAGTGTCCTGCGGAGCTCCTGCCCCGCCTGCCCTTTCCCTGCGGAGGGTCTGGCAGGGGGAGCCAGAAGAACTGGGGGGTAAGGGGGGAGAAAGAGGCAGAGCCAACCTGGGACCCAAACCTGGCTCCGAGATGCTTTGGAGAGGGGTCCAAGAGGGAAAGGGCCTGTGGACAGCTACGCTCCCCCCCACCCCGGGGGGAGGTGGCAGGGCCCAAAGGGCTGACTTGCAGGGGCACAGAGGGAACCCCCAGGTCTGGTGGGGAGGACTTGGGCGGTAGCCCTCCAAACAGGCCCACTTCCCTTGCCCCAAGAGCCGCCCCCCTCTCATCCTTTCTGGCCCAAATGTAAGCAAAGACAAAAGCCCTTTTCTTCCCTCTCCTGGGTCTGGGCGGAAGGGCAAGACGCTTCAAAGGCAGCCTCAGGAAAAAGATCAAAGGAGACCGATGCCCGGACCTAAGTCGCTCTCTAGCTGGCGCACCACCCCGGCGGTGGGCGCGGAGGCCCACTAGGGGTGGGGATGGAGGTGGACGAAACAGCGCGGGCGGGGCTGCGCGGGCGGGCGGGCTCACCGCAGACGTCGGGGCCCTCGTCCGAGCCGTCGGGGCAGTGGGGCGCGCTGTCGCACAGCTGCGCGGGGGCCACGCAGTGCGGGCCGCGGGCGCAGGGCACGTCGGGGTGCGCACAGGGCGCCCCGCAGCCCCGCTCGTCGCTGCCGTGCGTGCAGTCCTCCTCGCCATCGCAGCGCCAGCCCCGCGGGGTGCACTCGCCGCTGCCGCACGGGAATTCCAAGGGGCCGCAGGGCAGCGCTGCGGCGCAGCGGGCACCGCGCTAGACCCCGGGGGTAGACAGGGTTCCCCGGCCAGACCGGCCCTCCCTTCTCCGCCACCGCTCAGCTCCAGCTGCAGGCCCGCCCTGTTCCTGACCCGAGCCCAGCCCCTGCCCCACCTTTGACCCCTCCCCAAATCCAGTCGCTCTGCATTTTGCTGCCCTGTTGATTTCCCAAAAGCCGCCGCCTCATCCGGGACTTTCCATTAGCTTCCCTTAGCTCAGAGGGGGCCTTGAACCTCAGGAAATAAGGTTTGGATTCTCCCAGCCCCCCTCAAACACCTCCATTCCTTTCATTCTGCTGTCTTCAGAAAGTTGGGGTCCATGCCCTGCTCCTCCCTGCCCCAGCATCTGCCCCAAATTCCGGGATATTCCCTCCTGCCCCCGCTCCAGGCCGTCACACCCCAGGTTTCTGACCCCTGTTCCCCCAGGAGCCTCACCAGGGCTGGTGCTGGCCAGGGGAGTTGGAGCGGCCGCCAGGGAGCCAGCAGAGGGGCTGAGCAAGGTGCCAGCAGGGGGCGTGGGCAGTGCGGGGAGGGGGCAGTGCCCGGGCCCCTCATCTGCTCCATCTGGACAGTCCCAGACTCCATCACACAGATGGGTGGTCCCCACGCAGGTGCCATCGACGCAGGGCACCTCCCCAGGGGTGCAGCTGGAGAAAGGGGGAGCAGGCCCCAGGGCGCTGTGCCTTATCCCCACTGTTTGGGGTGCTCCCACTCACACACCCATGGGTGCCAACTTCCCAGGAGGAGCCTGGCTTGGGAAAGGAGGGGAAGCAGGCCTTTGGGGCTCCCAAGATGGGGCCTGGTGGGCAGCAGGCCGGGCAGGGATCACTCACCCAGACAGGACTCCTCGTCAGCAGCGTCTGGACAGTCAGGGTGCCCGTCACACAGCACGGCCGGGGCCAGGCAACGCCCGTCCACGCAGGCCAGGGAGCCCGGGGGGCAGGGGCAGCCCTGCTCATCCGTCCCGTCTCCACAGTCGTCCTGCCCGTTGCAGAGCAGAGCCAGGGGCAGGCAGCGGCCGGAGCTGCAAGACACCTGCCCCTCCCCGCAGCCCGGAGCGGCACAGCCTGGTGTGGGGCAGGTAGGCAGGCTCAGGAGCCAACAAAAAGCCCCAGAGAAGTCCCTCACCCCAGGAAAGCTCAGAACACCCCTGCCTACACATCGTCGCTGCTGGTAATGGGACCAGCCGCTTGGGGCATGGCCCTAGGACATATGTGAGGACTGACCCGTCCCTCAGACACTGCCCCCCACAGGCAAAGACACTCACCCTCCTCATCCGAGCCATCGCCACAGTCGTCCTGGTTGTCACAAAGCCACTCGTGGGGCACACAGTGCCCGCTCTCCTAGCACAGGGCCTCTCCCTCTGCACAGCCAGGCCCGGGCTCCTCACAGCGGGCACCGCCGCCACCCCCGCAAAGCCACTGGCTGTCCTGGCACGTGCTGAGCACATGTTGTCCTGGGGTCAGCCACAGCTCTGGGCCGGCCCAGGGTGCCCGGGGCTCCCCCAAGTCCTCCTCTCACCAGTTCCCACAGTCTTCCTGTAGCACCGTGCCTGGTGGGAAGAAGCTGCCCCCCCATTCACAGGGGCAGGACGCCGGCTCCAAGCAGACGCCTCCTGAGATCACAGAGGGCAGGGCTTGAAGCAAAGCACAGAGCAGCCCCCACGCCAGCCTGTCACTGCTGCCTTGTGGCCCCTGCCCCATCCCAGTGCCCCCTCCTGCCCAGTCCGACCCTACCCACCATGCAGCAGGGTGCCCTCAGGGCAGAAGCAGCCCTCCACACAGGTGACAGCCTGGCAGTGCCACCCGGCTTCAGGACCGTGGTCATGGCAGGTGGGGGGACACGCAGGGCCACAGGCCTCATACACCTGACCCCCTTCACACTGCAGAGCTAGTTGGAGAGGAGAGAAGCTCGGGTCACCCAAAGCGCAAGGGCATGAGGATGCAAAAGGGCAGGTGATCCTGCCCAAGGTGACAGCCTGGAGGTCACGGGAAACGTGGCAGAGACTCCAGCTGAGCCCTTCCCAAGGCTGTTTGCCACGTGCAAGTTCTGCAGAGCGGCCTTGTCTGGCCGAGCGTGGTGGGTGGGGCATCGGGACCCAGGGCTGGGCACACTCACGGGAGAGCTCCTGGCTGCGCCAGCGCACGTGGAGCCCATGCCGGGAACATTCCGCTGCGTAAGTGGCAATGGCCGAGCAGAGACACTCGCAGTCGCCCCCTGAGTCACAGCTGTGGGAGACACCGGGTCAGCCCCCGCTGCCTTTCTCCACCGCCACACATCCCTCCACCCTATCCCCAGGCCTGCCCCTCTCACCCGCAGGCGTTGTACACGCACCACCCGTAGTGCTGCTGCGGGGGCACCTCCGCGTGGCACCGGGCAAAGAGCGGCTGCAGCAGCACCCCACAGCGGGCGCGAGCCCAGGCGGCCCGGTGGGCGTCCCCTGTACGCACGTGACGGTGGACCAGCCAGATCCCTCCGCAGCACCCCGCCGCCGCCGCACCCCCCGGGTTTCTGCAGCTGCCCCACACCCCCCTGCCCATTCCCCGCCCTTGCTCACGGTGCAGGGGTGTGGCAGGTCCCCGGGCTCGGGGCAGAGAGGGCTGAGGCGCCAGGAGTGGGCCGCCAGCTCGGCCGTGGGCTCCAGGACTCCCTGGCGGCTCCGCAGGTCATTACTGGCATCTCCATCAAAGTCTCCACACAGCCCGGCCACACGGCCGCGGAACTGCGGGGACAGGTGCACCAGGACCCGGGTGCCTGCAGGGGGGGCAGCAGGGGGCCGGCTGTGTGAAGAAATGACCTGCTAGGCCTCGTCAGGGCCCAAGAAGACCAAGGGCGCTATTGAGTGGGCCGCGTGGCCATCTGCGTGGGTATTCGCCCAATAGGGGGCGCTGGTTTACTCTCTTTTTTGGGTTGGGGGGATGATTGGTGGTGATAAGAGAAAAGAAGTACATTTGGGGGTCCCTCAACTAAACCCAAGTTGAGGGACAGGGAGATTCTCCAACCGGTCGGACTGCAGACTGGCACCAGGCTCCAAGACGGACTGTGACACCCCTCAGCCCCAGGGGACCGAGCAGCCAGAAGCTCCGACCGCAGCCCCACTGCGCTGACCGCCTGACTCCTTCCCACACGGGGGGGGGGGGGGTGTTATTTCGGTTTCCAACTTCTATTCCAGTTTAGAAATAGTCATTTCTAAAACACCAACTGCTTGGTTTGGGTGGCAGGGTGTTAGGAAATGTATTTTCATTTCTTCTCCCTGCAAACATGGTATTTTCTAAGGGTTTGTTGGGCGCGGCGGTACGGATTTCCCAGTGAACTCGGGCCGCGGCCGGGAGGAGGAGTCAGGGGAGTCAGACCCCCGGCTGCGGCAGGTGCGGTCAGAGCGGAGGGGTGGGGCCTGACCTCGGTCCCAGAGCAGGGTGAGGCCCAGGCGGGCGGTGAGCAGCAGGAAGAGGCCGGCGGGATCGGCGCAGGCCCAGCCCGGGGCCCGTGTAGACCTTGGGGAGCGTTACGCTCACCCCGTTCACCGTCACTGCCCGGCCTGTGGAGGAAGAAGGGGCCCTCAGGCCCGGCCTTGGGGGACCGGGCCTCCCGGATGGTCCTCCCAGCCTTCCCTCCGACCTTCCTTTGGCTTCTCTAGCTGTGTGACCCTGGGCGAGCCACTAGAGCTCTCTGCTCTGAGCTCTCATTTCTTAGAGCCTTCCGGAATGGCAGTTCCCCATCAGGAGAGGAGGCTCCAGCTGCCCGGCACTGATGCAGGCAAGGAGAGACCTGCAGAACCCCAGGCCTCGGCCACCCAGACAGAGCTGTGAGGCCATCCAGTGTGCCCCCCTCTCCACAGCAAGGCCACCCTTCAGCGTCTCGGTCACCTCTGAGCATGTGCACGACAGTGCTCTGCAGCCGCACGGTCAGCGCCTTGATGCAGGTGAGGCCGCTGGCCCCGCAGGGCAGGTTCTGGGCGGAGACTGTGAACTGGCCGCCGGCCTCGCGCACCAGCAGGTACTCGCAGGCCCCCGGGAAGGTGAGGGCCAGCCCGTCGAACGTCACGTAGTGGGGTGCACCCGAGGCCTGGCACCATCCACTGCACCGCTGGCCTGTGCAGTGCCACTGCCGGCCCTGGCACACGCTGCGGGTGGGAGGAGAAAGGGAAACTGAGTCAGAGGGTGGGGACCCAGAGCTGATCCAGGGCAGGCAGCTGGTCAGGTTCCAAGCAACTCCAGACAGACCCTCCGCTTGGGGGGTCCTGGAGGGCTCCCATTGCCCCGGTAGTCTGGTGCTCCCACCCCACCCATCACCCGAGCCCCAAACCAGGGGTCACAAGATCAAAGGTTACAGGTCATGGGGCCGGGCATACCAAATGTTGCAGTCCTCCTGAATGGTAGCGTTGGGTGGGTACCGCTGCCCGCCGTGGCGGCAGGGACAGAGCTCAGGAGGCACACAGTGCTCATCCTGGACAGAGGTCGGGACAAAGGGACACTTCAGAGGACAGCCCAGTGCCCCGACCACCATTTCGGACAGCCAGGGGAGCAGGGCAGTGCCCTGTGTAGCCCCTCCCAGACTTACCAACAATACCGTGCCCGGGGGGCAGACACAGTCCCCTGAGCTGCCCGGGGGGCAGGAGTGGTTGGCCCCGGGGCTGTCACGGGTGAGGAGGCAGGCGCCAGGGACATGGACGAGCCCGTGGGGGCAGAATGCCCACTGGGGGGCGCAGCGGCGAGCGGTGCAGTTCCAGAGGCCCCTCTCCCGGCAGACACTGCCGAGGCGGGAGGGAGGGAGGTGAGGGGCAGGCCCACGGCCAGGATCACCTCCAGGCACCTGGTCTGACCCGGGAGACACTCAGGGACCCAGACGTCCGCCCCAGCGACCTGAGTGTCCAGCCTGCAGACCCCAGTCGTGACGAGCACAGAGACTGGAGCTGTTCCCGGCACCCCGCCTTATCTGGGATAGACACCGTCACCCCTTCCTGCCCCAGCCCCAGTGGGGCCATTCTCTGGGCTCTGAGGAGGGGCAGAGATCGTGAACCACCCCACTCCCGGCCCAGGTAGGAGGGGGATTTCACTGAAGCCTCACATTCACCCACCCAGCTCTGGCCCCCGGCCCCGCCTCCATAGCCCTGCAACTCGCCTTTGCTTTTCCCTAACCCGTGGAAGAGCCTCTGGACCACGCTCAGCTGGAATTCAGAGGTCCAGGCTCCAGACCTTAACCATTAGCAAGCTGGGTGACTGCAAGCTATTTAGCCTATCTGAGCCTCAGTTTCCTCATCTGCAGAATGGGAACAATTCTCCCACTTCCTGCTTTGTGAAGTATTGTAAGAATCCAGTAAAATTAAATAAGATAATGTACACGAAAGTGCCCCACAGCTGCAGAGGGGCTGTCAGTGCTGTGTCACCTGCAGTGCGCAGGCCACGCTGACACCCCTGTCCCACTCCTCACCCCCAGGCTCTTTGCCTCTCCCAAAGGTGGCCGCCCTCACCAGCGGTTGCAGTCCTTCATGGTGGCACTGCCAGGGGCATGGCGTTGGGCTCCGAGCTGGCAGGAGCACAAGCTGGGGGGCACACCCTGGCCCTCGGGGTCCCACAGCAGCCCCTTGGGGCAGTTACAACCGGCCACACAGCTGCCCAGCTCCCCGAAGTCTTCGGGCTCCCCGCAGTTTCGACCGCACGCCGGGGCACACTCCTGGTACTCCTGGCCCCCGGGGCACGGGACAGCTGGGCACAGACACACAAGCAGGTCAGGGTATAGCTGCTGCTGCTCAGCCCAACCCTCCGGACCCCCACCGCCTATGCCAGCAATCTGCCAAGGTCAGAGGTCCTCCTAGGGTCCCGCCCCCACTCCCACTCCCCTGCAAAGTTCTTGGATCCCTCCTGGCTGGGAGGAGGAGACTGGGGGGGGGGGCTGGCTGAGCCAACTCACGGCAGAGAGTCTGGTTCCTCCAGGGAGATGGGGCGCCCTCCTGGGCACAGCGGCGGGCATAGGCAGCGAGCGCCGGGCACAGGCAGTCCCTGCCGGGGGCACAGCCACACACGGCTGCCAGGCAGCGGCGGTGGAACAGCTCCCTGTCCACCAGCCCGTGGCACTCCTTGGGGAAGATGAGAAAATGAATCAGCTCCTCCCCCACGGGGTCCCCACCTCCTCTTGTCCCCACTGCCACCTCCCTTTGCACAGCAGCCCTGCCCCAGCAGGGAGCAGGGCCTTCCCAACAGCCCAGGTGAAGGGCAGAGAAGGTATTGACCGAATCTCACAGGTGTGAACAGGAGGAGTGGCCCCAACCTGCTACCTGGAAGGCCGGGCCATTCAGGATGGCACAGACTGTCTCCTCGAAGTCGTGGTGCTGTGTGTGGGTGCTGCAGGGGGAAAGTGGGGTGCTGTCGTCCGAGGGGCACCTTGCCTCCCCTGCCAGCTGGAACCTGCGAGCGAAGGCAGCAATGCTGGTCTCCACGTCGCCGGCAGGCGTCAGGAAGTCGTCCTGCTGGTTCCAGGTGAAGGTGCCGCACAGCCCCTGCACCTGGGCCACCCGAGCGGGTGTGAAACTGTCAAATCTGGGCCCTCAGTGACCTCACCCAGCCACTCACCTGCCCCCTGGCACACCTGGTGGGCATGGCGGGGGTCCAGGGTGATGTAGGCTGCAGGGTCAGACACCCCCCAGAGGACCTGGGCTCCGGGCCAGCGCAGCAGCAGGAAGGCGGAGGAGGCTCGGGAGACGCTGAGGCCCCCAGGGCTGCTCCAGGGCAGGCCCACGTCCTGCCCATTGGCCAGGACAGCTCCTGGAAGAGGGGGCCTGTGAGGGGCTGCCTGCAGGGCCGGGCTGGGCTGGGGAGGGTGGGAGGACAGCCCGTGGCAGGATGGGGCTGCAAGAAGGGGAAGGACTGGGTGGGAGGCGGAGGGCCTGTGTCACCATGGACTGCCCACACTGAGCAAGGGAAGCTGGTATGAGCCCTGGGAAGTCACCCATTCCCCGAGCACCCCCCACAGGGACTCGGGACCTCCTTTGCACCTGCTTTGCCTTTGGAGTCAGTGCACAGGAGGAGCAGACGCAGGGAAGAGAGGTGGAGGGACTGGGCTCAGCACCCAGAACAGGGAGGGGCCTGCCTGACCCGGAACCAGAGTGCTTAGAACTTGCACCCCCACCCCCAAAGATGGGGCAGAGGGTGCCTTGGAAGTTTTCCAAAGCACTGTGTGCCTGCTTCAGAGCGGGGGAGGTTAGGGGAAATAGAGGCAGCGAGTTTGGTTTTGGGGATCTGAAGGGAGGTTTGGGGCTAAGAAACCAGAGGGCCGTGTGGACAGAAGGTGCTGGAACAAGCCAGAGTCTGCAGGGAGAGCAGCAGTACCAGGAGGCTGCTAGGGCCTGAGCCACAGCTCTGAGGGCTGCTGGGAGAGAAGGCCTCGTAGGAAGGTACCCCAAGAGCCAAGGCTACCTGAGTCCCTGAGCTGCACGTGGGTGTCCCCCAGGGAGACCGAGACGGCGTGGAGGCAGCTCCCAGAGTCGCAGGCCCCATGCTCGAGCACAATCAGCAGCTGCCCCTTGCCCAAGTCCTGGGCAGACGGTGGGTGGGGCAGACCTGAGAACAGATGTTCTACGGGACACCTGTCTGCAGGTGCAGCACACACCTGGAGGCAGCTCCCACCTGACAGACTCACACGTGTATGTAAGTGCACATGTGTGTATATTGTGTGTCTACGTGTTGGGGTGAGATGGCTCCCCTCTCTCCTCCCCCTGGGTATGTATGTTCATGGTTCTGTGTGTGTGTGTGTGCACCCACATGCTAAGTCTACACACCCATGCACAAGCATATGCCACGTGTGCACACCTGTTTGAGTCTGTGTGTGTAAGAACCTGTGTACCTGTGTAGGCCACAACTTGGGATGTCACCTAATTTTACTAGGAGACCAAGGAGGTCCCTTATTGGCGATGGGATTATTTATTTTTTTTTAGATTTATTTATTCATTTTTAGAGAGAGGGGAAGAGAAATATCAATGTGTGGTGGTTGTCCCTTACATGCCTCTACTGGGGACCTGACCTGACTGGGAATTGAACTGGCTACCCTTTGGTTCCCAGCCCGCGCTCCATCCACTGAGCTACACCAGCCAGGGCAGCCCATGGGACTATTTTGCATGACAGACCCAACTGGTCCCTTCTGCGGGAAAGGACTGTGAGGCTGGGCTTTGTTTTCTGCCCCTGGGCGGGGTGGCAATGACATCCGGGGAACCTGAGGAGGAGGCGAGGACCCAGACATCCTCCCTCCAGATCCCCTTCTCCCTCGGCTTTTCCCTGGAGGACTGTATGTCTTCTTCATTGATTCAGTGGTCTCTTTACGGTCATTTCTCCCCCACAGCAGCCCTAGGAGGGCCCCTGTGCTAGCAAGAGCCCGTCCCCGCCCCGGGGGGGCCCCCGTTAGTCCTCTGCCCACCTGCACCAGGACGGAACGGCAACCTGAGCTGCCGCGGAAGAAGAAGCTCCGCCCATCATAGGTGAGGTAGTGCCCGTCGCCGCCCACCGCGCACTCGGAGGGGCACGGCGCCTGCGCGCAGAGCCAGCAGCCGTCCTGGCACACGGGGGGGGGGGGGGGGGGGGGAGAGCGCCCTCTGGATCAGCCCCCGGCGGAGGGGGCTGCTAAGCTGGAGACGACCTTCTGCCCCACAACACGCCCTGGGTGCCTCCCCCCGCATCCCTTCCTCCGGTTAGGGTTAGAGATCAGCGAGCGTAGGTCACCTGCTAGGTGTTCAGGCAGGGCCGCCAGTTAAGCCACGAGAGGTCACAGGTCACTCGTGAGCGGTCCCCAGAAGGGAAGGCAGGTCGAGCAGATAGCGTAAGGGAGGGGTCAGAGGGGCCCTGGCGGTCGCTGACCGCAGCGAGAGGCTCGGCAGGGCCCTCGGACCCACCACGGGTTGCACCGCGGGCGCACAGAGTCCCCGGGGGCGTAGCGCCGGCGTCGGTGGAAGCAGGGGCAGCGGGCGGCCGGCACACAGAGGGTGCCGTCCCGGAAGAGGCCGGGCGGGCACTCGCAGCCGCTCACGCATTCCTCTCGGCCGGACCCCTCCGCTCCCGCGTCCCCCGCCGAGCAGCTGGGCGGGCAGGCGGACGCGCAGTCCGAGTACAGCTGGTCTCCCGGGCACAGGCGCTCTGCGGGGCGCAGGAGCCGGCTGTGGGTCGCGGGCGCCCCTGCCCCCCACGCAAGACCTCGCTGCCCCGGAGGGGCTCCGAGGCCGTGCTGGGAGCTTAGAGCACTCAGAAGTAGGGGTCACACGAGGGCCCTCCCTCAAGTCCCAGCCCTGCAGGGTGGGGAGGCCTACCACAGAAGCCCGGCTTCCTCCAGAGCACGTGGATGCCCCGCTTGGCACAGTCCTGGGCGTAGTTGGCCAAGGTGGCACACACAGCCTGCCTACGGCCCTCCCCGCCAGTGCCCGCTGGGGCCGCGGCACAGTAGGCAAAGAGGCAGGCCTCGTGGTAGTCGGCAGGGGGGACCTTCAGAGAAAGGACGGCCTCTCAGCCAGCCAGCCCCCTCCTCCACCACCAGCACCCCACCCCCCCTACTCTTATGATCAGATGAGGGCTGGAAAGGACCTCAGAGGTCATCCACAGAAGCCGTCTCGTTTCCCGGAGATAAAACCCAGAACAGTGGATTGAGTGCTGGCCTGCAAGCCAAAGGGTTGCTGGTTCCATTCCCAGTCAGGACACATGCCTGGGTTTCTGGCCAGGTCCCCCTGGGGCAGCGGAGGGGGGGGCATGCTAGAGGCAACCACATATTGATGTTTTTCTCCCTCTCTTTCTCCCTCCCCACCAACCCCCCCCCCAAACCCCCAGGACAGAGGGGAGGATGGCTTGACTAATGGCCCAAAGCAATCTGGTGGCAGGATCAGATTCCCTGATTGGCACCTCCCTAGCACCCCCTTATTTGGGCCCCTGTGGTGCCAGGCACCAGCTGCACCCCCACCCATACCTGAGCATGGCATCCTCTGAAAGGGCCATCCAGCAGCTGGTGGCACACATCCTGGGCCTCAGCCCGCAGCTGGCCAGCCTCCACGCCCGCTTCCGAGCCCCTCAGGGGCTCCTTGCAGCCCCGGGCTGCCTCCACCGCATCCAGACACCCAGGCTGCGGACAGTTGGAGTCAGGCCAGGGGACGGGGACGGGGCACATAAACAAGGACACCAGAAAAACAGCCTCTGCTCTCGCAGCTGCTTGTAAGCTCCACTGCCACGACCAGCAGCCCAGACGTCATCCTGGGGCGTTGGGGGGTCGGGCAGGGGAGTTAGGGGTCACTGTCGGCCCAGCCCAGAGGCAGGAGATTTGATAGCTAACTCGTTAAAAAAAGGTGGTTGGCCAGCCAGTCAGTGTTTGTATCCCAAGTGGCCAGTTCACACAGGCAGCTGGGCTGTGTGAGCTCCTGGGGGACCCTGCGCTTGCCTTTCCTCCTCTGGGAGAAGGACAGGAGCTGTCACTTGCAGGAGACAGCACAGAGGCTCGAAGGTGTCAGAGAAGATAGGTGCTGGCTGTGTAGGCGGTGAGCAAGGCGGCCCAGGTCTGGGCGTTGCCTCTCACCTCTGAGTCGGGGAGCCTCCAGGAATTCCCGAAGGTGGCCGCCAGTGCAGCCAGGCCCCCTCCTGGCTCCAGGAAGTCATCTGTGTGGGGGTGGGGGGGGAGGCGGAGGTGCTGAGTCTGAGGTCTCAGTCTCCCCTTCCCTCCGACACCACCACCACCGCACCCCACTCACCTTCACGCCAACCACTGTAGACCCCACAGAGGCCTCGCGTCTGTCCCTGGAGCTCGTGGTCCACAGAAACAGAGGTCGAACCGGACCTATCCAGCCGCACCACGGCCCCCAGGCCTCCCAACAGCACCAGCCAGTCCCCTTGCCACTGCAAGCTCAGCCCTGGGCAGGGCAAGTGGGGTTATACTCCCCACCCCGTCCCAGTAGCACACTGGGGCTCAGACTGCCCAGGGAAGGGAGGAGAAGGGATGGACACTCTGCACTTCACACCCTTTAAAGCGGCCCCCACTGGTTTCCCATCACAGCCCTCCTTGAGAAGCTCGTGGCCGTTCTGGACGTCCTGCTGAGTGATGGGCACGCACAGAGAACCCCCCTCCGGGACAGCCCAACCAGGATAGCAGAGTGCCCCACCTACTGGCACCAAACCCTTCCCCACAGCACTGTGGGAGGCAGGTGGGGAAACCGAGGCTCTGAGAGGTTAAGTGGCTAAGGAGAGGGGCTCACTCAAGGACACCTTGTGAGGGGGCTATTGGGGGTGGGCTGCAGGGGTGGGGCAGGGAACCGCTGGCTCCCTCATTTCCAAATGCCTCCCGACAGCATCGGGGGTCGAGGAGGGAGCAGCAAGCTCAGTCCCCAGCTGCCCTGCTGAGCCCCGCCCTGAGGTGGGCACACTGTCCCTTACCAGGGAGCAGCTGAGACTCCCCATCAGGTACCGGCTGCCCATTCACAGAGACATTTCCGCCCCGAATCAGCACCTCCTCCGGTCCCATCAGCACCCGGGCCTGGGGGCAGACGGCAGTGGGCGAGGAGGTCAGCGTCCTCCTCCTCCTCCCCCCACACCCAGCTCCATCCCGGTCCCCATGCTCTCCTCCCTCTCTCACAAGCTGACAGTGCCCAGGCTGCGGACAAGGGCCCCCGGGGCTCAGGTGGACGGCCCAGGTGGAGTCAGCAGCACCTGCCAGCAGGTAAGTGCAGCGGCCCAGGAAGTGGTAGTGGCAGCCGTCAAAGGTGCGGTAGTGGAAGCCAGACCAGGTGGCGCAGGTGGCCGAGGGTCGCTGGCGCTGGCTCCAGAGTTGGGCCACGGCCCCTGCCAGGGGCTGCAGGGGGGCTGGAGAGGGGGTGCTCCCTGTGGAAGATGCACCGCCATGAGCCTCTGTGTGTGGGGGAGGAGGGCGGAGGAAGCAGGTGGACAGTCACGGCCCCTCTGCTGGGCAGGGGATGGGAGGTGACTCCGAGAGGACAGGGGAGTGGGCGTGGGGTGTGGGGAAAGGCCCAGCGCTCCAGAACTCCACGTGGGAGTGCCTATGGGGGTAGCAGGTGACAGCTGGGGTCGTGCCTGTTGGCAGGCTGGGGACCCACCTGGGAGCTGATGGCTGGGGCAGCTGAGGCAGGCCTGGGAGTGGCCATCTGGCCAGCTGTGACCCCAGGGCTGGGCACAGCACTCCTCCAGGCTTGCTGCAGAAGCATTAGCCGAGCCTGCCTGAGGCTGGCACCGCCGCGTGGCAAAGCAGTGGCCCTCGGGGCTGGTGTCTGCAAGGGCTGTGGTGGGTACGGGGTGGGGGGGGGAGAGTGGGGTGCACCCGGTCAGGCAGCCTGCCACCTCCATGAACCTGCAGATCCGGGCTAATCTCGGGCACTTACCCAGGGCGCAGTCGGAGCCCCCCCAGCCCGGGCAGCAGGCCCTCACTGTCCGGTTCCATGGAACAGGCCGGGTCGCCGGGGGCCTGCGTCCACCGAGCAGGCAGAAGGGAGAAGACGTTAGTGTTCAGCTCAGCCCCATCCCTGGGAATGGCCTGGGACGGTCCTTCAGTCGGGTCACCTACGCTCTGAGTGACTCTCTCGTGTAATTCCCCTTCTTGGTCTTCATTTCCCCACGAGATGAGCTTGGGGAGGCAACAGAAGGCCAGCACAGGCAGGAGGCACCGGGCATCTCCACTCTGCCCTTTGGGAGCCCCCCCAGACCGGCCTCCTAAATGCCTGCTGTCCCCGTAACTGCCGGGCCACCATCCCCGCCCGCCCCAGGATGTGGCCCCTCCGCTCAGGAGCCCAGACTGCGACCCTCACTCACTTGTAGATGGGACAGAGCCCTGCGCGGGGCCACCCGAGGACAGGTCCGCTCGCCAGCCCTGGCGCAGGTAATGGTAGAGGCTGGTGCAGGGCACCAGGTCCTCCCGACGGGGGGTCACTTCCTCCTCCACCAGGAGGGTCTCCGTCTGCTCACACCACCGCCTGCCCGTGGGTGGGAATGAGAGCTGCTGCCGCTGTCCCCCGCCACCCGGAAGCCTGTCCTGCGACCCTCACCCTGCTCTTGAAACAGCCGACTCCCGAGGAAGTGAGTGAACTGAGGAGGAGGCTGAGGTCGGGAGGGGAGTCGGCTGGCCCAGAGGGCCCCAGCCATGGGGCAGGAGGAAAAGAGGGTCTCATTCACGGGGTGGGCTGCTTACCCGTTGGCTAGCGCCCATGCCATCCCAAAAAGGAGAGTAGGGAGCAGCATGGTGCCCCCACAGCTCACCCCACAGGGGGGCTTTGGGGCTGGACTCGAGGAAGGCAATTGCCGTGGGTAAGCACAGAGGCCAGCACCAGCCTGTCCACACCACACTGCACTTGACTGGGGCCCAGCCTCAAAGTCAGTGCGCGAAGGCGGCCTCAGAGCTGGGGCTGGGAGACTTTATCTCAGCCCCATGCCCCGGGGCACCAGCTGTGTGGAACTGGATTGGACCTGCCTGCCCCCCCTCACCCCCCCCCGCCCCCGCCCCTCTGTCTCCGAGGCCGCTCTCCCTGGAAACAGCCCCCTTCCTGCGGGGCTGATGTGTGTGGGTGCGTGTAATCTGGAGGGTGTGTGCGTCCCAGGCCGCCGCCAGACACTGAGCCTCGCGTATTTCCCCACTCCCAGACCCCACCACGAACGACAGTGACCTGTGGGCCACCCCCCTCTTCTCTGGGCTTTGATTTCCTCAGCAGTAAAAACTCCAGGGGCCCCCCAGGGACGCACAGGTGGGAACTCAGGCCCCACAGATTGTGGAGACTGGGTGCGCTCGTTTCTCTGAGGACAGTTCTGCAACCTTTTTTAGGTTGCCAGGGGGCCGAGGCCCCACAAAATGTTTAGGAGTCACGGGACCGAAGGATGGCTCTGGCCTTCCAGCCCTACAGTCCTGACTTCATGATTCTCCCCACTCCCCCCACCTTGCTGGTGGCCGCCTGGCCCGCTCTGCCACCAGGCACTCTGGAGGAAAGGGCCGGGGCGCAGGGGAGCCCTCTCCGGGGAGGTCGGACTATGCAGACACAGAAGAATGACCTACGCCCTTTCCTCTGTGGCCCCACTTCTAACTGGGGTGGTTATGTGCAGCTGCTTGGGTCCACCTTGGTCTCTCTCTGAGAGAGTCTCCTAGGGTCCCTGCGGTCCAGAGCCAGGAAGGCTGGCCAGGGAATGAGAGCAAGCGTCAGGGGGAGTGCCCAGGGTGGGAAGTGGGGGCCGGGCAGCCGGATGGGATAACCCGCAGCATCCGTGTGGTTGGGAGGGGCAGCAGCAGGCGACCCAGGGGAGTCCTGGTTATGTCCTGGTTACCGGCTCCCCTGACAGCCAGGCTGGAATGTGGCCTGGGTCTCCCATTCCATAACCCTCTCTCTGTCCCCTAAACCCGATGTCCCTCCGAGCATTGCACATAGCCACCCTGCCTGGGGTGAAGAGGCGGTGGGGAACCAGTCTCACTAGGCATTTCTTCGGGGCCCACCGAGGTCCTGGGACCAACAGAGGGTGCTGCAAGCTCCTCAGGGAGCTCTCCAAAGGGGTCCTCGGAAAGGGCGGGACAGCATCCAGGTCCCAGTCTCGCGTGCACACCCGGGCTCTCCCTCCCTCACCGGCTCCATCCACTCCCCCTGCAGGTCTCACCAGGAGAGACAGACCCAGGAGCGGGTGCCCCACCCCAGCACAGCGACACACTGCTCCCAGAGCCAGGAGGAGCCTGGCCCCCGACCCCCTGAAACAGCCCATCCGGGAGGTAAAAAAGCCTTTCACAGCTGATTCCCAGGGACACTATCCCCCCTGTTCCAGATGCCACTTGCTCCAGAGCCCCTCTTCCTACCCTGAACATCAGCCAGTACTGACGGTGCCCTGGCTGTGCGCCATGCTTCTCTGTCCCCTGGCACCCCCTCGGTGACCAGGCAGGGAAGGGCTGGGTGCTGTGCGCTCCAGGGTCATCCACCTGGCCCCCCAGCTCTGGATCCCAACCACCGCCAACAGGGCAGCACTCGCAGTGCGAGAAACCCGAGTCACCAGCGCCCTTTCCCCTAAAGGGGGCGGGAGGGAGGAAGCTGGAACCCAGGGGAGATTGGAGGAAGAGATTAGGGAGGGCCGGGGCCTGGGATAACGAGCCTCCCTTTCAGCTCTGGCGGACAGGACGTGGGGAGCTCTCAGAACGAGGTTAGGTGCCCGGGAGGTAAGGCGGAAGAGAAACATCATAACCCCGGACGGGGACGAGGAGAAGCCGGACCTGAGGGCTGAGGACGCCCTGCACACCTGACTGGAAGAGCTCCCCAGAGCCTTAGGAGGACCCGCCCCCGACCGCGCCCAGGGAACTCCTCCCCCCGCAGCCCCCTCACCTGGACCCCGCCCTCAGAGTCTCCGCCCAGCGGGACTCTCACCTCGCCCTCTGGGGCCTCCTCTCCAGCCTTGCCTTCTCTCCGGTCACCTAGCCCCAAGCCCCCACCCCACCCCCAACTTCTACTTCGGAGGGTCCACTCATGGGCCGCACAGGGGCCCAGCCTTGACGCCCTCGGCCTCACCCCAGGGGACCCGGCTCCCGAGGCAGGTCTCAGATCGCTGGACTCAGGGCGGAAGGGCGTGGGTCCGGTGGACCTCGGTGGGATCTGGGTGGAGATCGGGGTGGGGTCGGAGTTCCCCAGACCGACCCCCCAAAACCGACAGTGGAGACGATGCCACCGCGGGAGCGCGGCGCGCACACACACTCCCACGGGTATTCGCGATTCAAAGACAGCAGCGCAGACCGTGGCTCCCCTCCCCGAACACGCCCCCTTCTCGTCCCCCCAGCTCCTCGCCCCCCACCCCGCCCCGCGCTCCACCTTTCCCCTGGCTCCTCCCCCGGCGCCCGCGAGCACCCCCCTAGCAGCCCGAGTGCTCGCCCTCGCAGCCTACTCTCCCTCCTCCACTTCCCCGCACAGTCTTCCCTTCCCTGCCCCCTCGCCCCTTCCCCCGATCCTTAGCTCCCCCTTCCCATCACCTACCCCGGACGTCTCCCCTCCCGGCCGTCACCTGCCCGCCGGCACCCGCTGTGAGCCCACTCCTGGACGCCCCTGCCTCGGCCTCCCCCACCGGCGCCCCGCGGTGCCCCTCCCGCTTCCTCGCTCCCCTCCCCCAACCGGGCGCCCTTCCCCTCTCCTGCTCCCCCGGCGTCTTTTCCTCTCCCCTCCCCGCGAAGTTTCGGGGCTGTCAGTCAGTCAGTCTTTCGGGCCGTCCGCACCCCAGCTGCGGGCTGCGGGCGCCATTGCGAGCAGAGCCGCCCGGGACCGGAGGCAGGGACGCCGGGGTCCCGTCAGCAGTGGGGAGACCCGGCCGTCCGTCCGCCAGGTACGGGCCCCGGAGGCGCCCGGCGGCCCGCAGCTCCGCCCGCTCCCCCCGTCACCCCGGCACCTAGTCTAGGCCCGCCCCGCGCAGGTGACAGCCCCGGGGTGGGGGCGCACGGAAGCGGGTGGGGAGAGGTGGAGGGGAAAGAAAGCGCCGAGGAGGGGCGCGGGCTGGAGGGGGAGAACCTGGAGGGGGGGCAGGGTTGTCACGAGAAGTGACGGACGGGGAGCTAGAGGAAAGGGCAGGCGCTGGGAACAGGGGCGGGGGGGGTGTTACCCCGGTGGGAAAGGGGCGAGAAGCTCGGAGGGGCGAGAGTGAGGAAGATCCAGAGCGGGGAGAGGGAGTGTGGGAGGAAGCGGGAAAGGACGACGCGGCGCAGGGGTTGGCCCGTGGGGAGGGGGAGAGGGTGTTGACAGGTGAGCGCGGGAGTCGGGGTGGGCCGGGGTGTGCGGTGCGCTCCGGGCGCAGCGACTCCGGACGCGCGAGGCTGGGAGGTGGGCCGGGAGGGATCGGGCTCGCCGGCAAACTTGGGAGGGGGTGGAGAAACCCGTGGGGAGCAGAAATGGGGAAGGGCCCCACGGAGGGGAGGGAGAGGAGAGGAGGGGAGGGGAGGGGAGGCGGAGGTGAGTTGGAGGCCGGGCTGGGCCGAGGAGAGAGTCCAGAGCTAGCGGCTAGCGGGGCCCGGGTCTCGGGGGAGCTACGGGAGAGGACTGGGAGGGGGAGGGGCAGAGCGGTTCTGGGGACCGGGGACCCGGAGGGAGGGGAAGCGGGAGCCTGCTGGGGAGGCGGAGGGGGAAGGGAGCCGGGGGCCTCGGAGGGGAAGGAGAGCCGCAGGAGGGAGGGGCGGGGTGGCGTGGGGAGACGCGAGGAGGGAGGGGACTGAGGTGCAGAGAGGGAGGAGAAGGAAGGGAAAGCAGAGTGGGGGAGGAGAGGGTGGGTGGGGAGGAGATCGGAGTGGGGGAGAACAGCGGGAGGGGGCCGGCGAGGGGAGGAAGGAAAGGAGGAGGGGAGAGGAAGGGAGAGGGTGCGCACCGGGGAGGGGACGGAGCGGGGAGGACCGGCGGGGGCGGGGGGGGGAAGGCGCCGAGAGCCTGGGGAGGGGGAGGGGAGGCTGCGGCGGAGGCAGCCGAGAGCGGGGGTCGGGGGGCAGGGGGCGGGGCGGGGAGCGCCAGCCGGCTGCGGGCAGGGGCGGAGCTGGAGGGGTGAGGCCGAGGCGGAGCTGGGGAGCCAGCCAGATCCAGCGGGGAGAGAGGGCGGAAGGCAGAGGGAGCGGGAGAAGGGAGGGCAGAGGGAAGGCTGCCAAAGAGATTTTGGGGGGAGGGGAGTCCTCTGGGAGAGGGGCGGGGCAGGACGCTGGAGAAGGAAAGAGGCGGGGGGCGGGCGTTGGGCGGGATGGCCCTGCGCTGGGGGTGGTGTGGGCGGGGGTACCTCGCGAGGGAAGGGAGATGGTTTCGAGGTAGGGTTTTGGGGAGAGGAAGCAAGAGCCATTTCCTGCCTGCGGCGAGGACCCTCCTTTGAGAGCCTCCCCCACCAGTTGCCCAATGGTGACACTACTCACCTCCGCCCCTCCGCTGGCTCCTATTTCACCAGCTCCTGCAGTGACAGCTGGAGGGCCTAGACGATGCCCTTGCTCCCCGCCCGGGTCTCCCACCCTCCACCCTCTGCCCAGAGCATTGATTCACCCCTGACACTCCCGGGGCAGGATCCCTGATGGGCTGGGGCTGTCTCCGGGAGACTCCCAGGTGAGGGGAGCTGCTGACTTCTGGCGCTGGCCCGAGCTTGCAGGAATGGCTTCCAGACCTCCTTGGGCCACCTGCAAAGATCCCTTTGCTGTCTGAAATCCCTCATTTCCCTCATCTGTGCCTGGGGACATCACCTTGGGAGCTCTTGGGGAGAGCTGACGGGGAGAGGTCGGGCTGGGCCAGGGCCCAGGGGAAATTGCGGGGAGAAGCATATTGGAGCAAGGATGTCTTCTCTCCTCAGGGCGTGTGGCCCGCCGGTCCCCAGGAGGAGCTACCTGGGGTTGCCATGAGAGAAACCTTGGAGGCCCTCAGCTCCCTGGGTGAGCCAGCAGAACTGAAGGAACCTGGGGTGGGGGGTGGGGCCTGCCGGGCTTGTTGCTTCTCTGCAGTAAATAAGGCAGAGCCCTCCTCAGAGCCCGCAACCTCAAGACTCCCGAGACCCCCAGAACCCTCAGGCAGCGTCCTTTGGGGCCTTACCCTGGTGTTTGTGAACCTCCTCTGGCCCACGCCGGAGGTTGTGCTAGACTGGGCGTGCACAGGTGTACTCACAGGGCACCAGGATGTGTAATCCACTCCGTCCTTCCTTCACCTGTCCCTGCCTCAACACCACAGAGGGGCTGAGGTTGACCCCTGGCCAGCCTGCTGGGGAGCCTGGCTGTCCCTTGTCCATGCTGACCAGAGACCCCTCTTTCCTGAGCAGGTTGGGAAAAGCCCCTTGGGTGGGCTGGGAAGGGGAAGAGCCCTAGCCTTCGACCATCCCTTCTGTCCCAGATGCTTCACTTGGACCCGTGCTTCTCCCTGTAACAGGCTTCTCTGTGGCACAGCGGGAGTTGGCCCCCCAAAGTGAGCCTGGGGACGGGTCCCATGATGCCCAGGAGCAGATGTGCCCTCCCAGGCAAGAGAGAGCGCTGGGCTCCTGTTCCGGTAAGTGAGCGGGGACCCTGCGTGGTGGCTCAGGGCAGAGCCTGTCTTTCTCCGTCCAGTGTTTATTGAGCAGCTGCTAAGTGCCCAGTGCCATTCCAGATCTTTGGAATACCTCGGTAACCAAACAGACGAAGGCCCCCCCTTGCAGAAGCACAGTCCTAGTGGGAGGGCAGGGAGTCAACAAGCAGCCAGTGTAAGAACAAGTGCGCCTATAAACCTGTTAGAAGGGGATGCTGCTGGGGTGGGGGAGGGGCCTGCTGAGACTACTGTAGTTAAGGATGGAGCAGAGTAGCCCTCAACAGGGCGGTGAGAGCCGCCTCGCTGGGAAGATAAGATCTGAGCAAGATTTGAAACAGGGAGGTGGCTGAACAGATCTACGAGAGGGGTGTGCCAGGCTTTCTGACACCCCGACCTTCTCCAGGGGTTTGCCGTGGAACTGCCATCCGTCTGGTGCTTTGGGCGGTCCCCAGCCCTCCTCCAAGGAGCCCCATGTAAGCCTAGGGGCAGGGCGCGTCCTTGCTTACGCACACATGTTCCAGAAACCGCTCACAGCGGGGGCTGTAGCAACCGTGCAGGGCCTAAGCAGGGCTGCTTGAGGGAGCCTGAGGGGCTGGGAACCCCACCCCTGCAGGCGTGCCGTGAGCTGGGTGCCATCCTTGCCTGCGGGGTGGGGAGTGGGGTTTCAAGCTCCCCTGCGTCCCGGCACCAGTGGGGCCCTCTGTCCGTCGGTGGTCGGTGACGTCTGCGGTAGCTTGAGGTGGCCTGTTCTCTGCCAGGGCACCAGGCCCCCGCACTGGAGGAAGGCGCCCACACGGAGCAGGCCGAGGCCCCCTGCAGAGGAAGCCAGGACCGCCCACCAGCAAAGGCTGAGCCTGTGGGCGTCTGCCCAGGTGAGTTTTCCCAGCGTTCCGTCCCAGCGGGGGACCAGGCGGAGGGGACAGGGGCCCTGCAGGCTCCAGAGCCGCTCTCTGATGAGGCAGCCACTCCAGGCCCCTCCCCCACAAGGCGAGTCAGGCCCTGGCACCTTCCAGCTCGAAGAGCCTCAGCACCCAGAGGGAATCCTGCACCCACAGGCGATGCAGGTCAGAGAGGCTGGTCACCGAGAGAAACATTCCATCATGCCAACAGGGCCGCGTCCTCTCAAAGTCCTAACTTTGTCCTCCACACCTGCGGTCTTAAGTACAGACTTTTCCGTGGCTTGAATTACACGGTGTTGGACCCACCTTTCCAGTGGCCCTCCCCAGGCACATGCCCCTCCCCCATGTTCCCACTGATCTTAGCGGTACCCAAATGCTCCCACTCTGTGGTCTGACTCCTCTGCCCCCTCCCCAGCCCAGGGCCATCCACCCCACCCCACCCCCGTTGATTCTCCCTCCACAGTCCTGCCCATCACTTCCTTCCACTACCACCGACCGTGTCATCTTTTGCCTGAGCGATGCCATTTATCCCACAAGGACTTCTTTGGTGACACTAGGCCCAGTCTGTTAGGTAGCTGAGAAAGAGATGGGCTTTAAAGCGACACAGACCTGTTTGAACCCTGGTTCCACGTTCCCTCGCTGAGTGATCTTGAATGCTCCCTTACCTCCAGGCACCTCAGTTTGTCCCCCACCTGGGAATGGCCACGTCGTGCCTTCTGTGAAGGTTCGTGATGATGCGTACACAGGACAGCATCCGTACTTGGCACTCGTACGTGGTGGCCATCCTCATTTTTATTAGACACGTAAAGACACATTTTTAGTAGATACAGAAGGAAATAGAACGCAAGGTGTCTGCCCTCCAGAAGCTAAACTCTGGTTGAGACTAACACGGGCCAGAGTAAAGAGTCCACAGATAATGGTACAGCCACGTCACGAGCCAGTGCTCACGGGAAGCGCTCTAGGTGTTCACGTAGGAGATCCTCAGGCATCGGATTTGTCAAAGATTTTGCTTTGTGCTGCATCTTGAGAAAAGTACAGACTTCGGCGCTGATGAGGGTGGGGTGCAGTGCAGGATGGGAAGGCATTCTAGGCTGAGGCAAGACTTCGACGCAGGAAAGCTGACGACAGGTGACTGCAGTCGGAGCAGACCGGCCTGGCGGCAGTGAAGGGCCTATCCCTGGGAGCAGTGAGAGAGTTGGAAACGAGTTGGGGTGCGCCTCGGAAGCAGCTAGAACTTACTTCATCCCGTTAATAGGGAGCTACGGATGGTTCTGGAGTGGCAGGGTGGCGCGGTAAGCGTGAAAGCAGCGTCACAACGAGATGAGGAGCTGTCTGGGACGGATGGGTCGGCGAGAGAGGCTGGGAATAGACGCGATTGGGATGGGCCGGTGTAATGCAGCCAAGGCTCAGGCTGTCACAGACTTTTCGGGCCAGACAGGAGCTCGGGTCATCTGGTTCAGGGGGTCTCAACAATGAGTCACCCAGGGAGCTTTGAAGAAGGAACGGGTTCGTGTGCCTGGCTCCCTTCGATGCGTTCTGTAGGGGTTCCCCAGGAGATTACCATGCGGCACCAGGTTTGGGAACCGTGAACTAGTCCAACCCTTACACTTACGCAAACCAACACATTTAGCTCAAAGAGGTAAGTTAACCAAGGTCGCACTGCTGGTTAGTGATGGAGGAGACCCCAGGGGGATACTCGGGGTCTGGGCCTTCAGCCCCTTGCTCTCGGCTGGGCCATTCCAGTGCCCAAGGCGGGGCCAAGCTCCAGGAAAACCCACTTCAAACACGCTCCCCCAAATTCCCCCTGCTTCTCCGGAGGTGAGGACCGCTCACTGGTCCCCTGTGCATGAAACCCCCTCCTCCTTCTGACTGGGGTTTTTCACCTGGCTGTAGAAGCAAGAGCTGGAGGGGAGGGGGCTGGAGAGACAGCGGGAAGGAACACGAAGTCCCCCTGGTGGGAAGCCCGAGAGCAGGGCAAAGGTGTGAGGGTCCAGGTCCCAGGGTGGTGAGCCCAGCAGTTGAGAGGAGGCGGCTGCAGGCCTCACACTGTGGAAGCAGGGAGGTCTGGGAAGGGGAGCTGCTGGGCGATGAGCAGGCTGAGCCGCAGCCGGTGTCCAGGACTCCGGAGGGCAGCTGCCTAACCGAGGATCAGAGGTCGTGGTTCCAGAAAGGAGCCTGCCTGCCTGCGGGACAGGACGATCTGGGGTGTCCTGAGGATTGGAATTTGAGCGACACTGGTATTCGGATGCAGGGAAAGCACTCTCCGAGACTAGGGCGAGCCTGGGAGAAAGCCCCCCAGGAGGGCGGCTCCGCAGCGCCCCCCAGTGCCTGCCCAGAGGGAAGGAGGAGGACTGAGCAGCGATCTTCCGATTTGGTCACTTCCAGGAACCTTCCGGTCGAGTGGACAGAGCAGAAGCCAGACTGCAGGGCTCCAGGAAGGGGTGGCCCACTGGTAAATAAACGTTGCAGAAATAAACGTGGGGCTCAACAGACGTCTTGTTTCGACTTTTCAGGAGACGAGTGGATGATCCGGAAGGTGAAGGTGGAGGAAGAGGATCAGGAGGCGGAAGAGGAGGTCGAGTGGCCGCAGCATCTGTCTTTACTCCCCGGCCCCTTTCCTGCACCTGAGCTGGGGCCTCTGGCCGCGGCGTATAAGCTGGAACCCGGAGCCCCGGGGACACTGGGTGGGCTCGCGCTGGCCGGGTGGACTCAGGCCGCAGAGAAGCCCTACGGCTGCGGGGAGTGCGAGCGGCGGTTCCGGGACCAGCTGACCTTGCGGCTGCATCAGAGGCTGCACCGCGGCGAGGGGCCCTGCGCGTGTCCGGACTGCGGCCGCAGCTTCTCGCAGCGCGCGCACATGCTGCTGCACCAGCGCAGCCACCGCGGCGAGCGGCCGTTCCCTTGCTCCGAGTGTGACAAGCGCTTCAGCAAGAAGGCCCACTTAACCCGCCACCTGCGCACGCACACGGGCGAGCGGCCCTACCCGTGCGCCGAGTGCGGCAAGCGCTTCAGCCAGAAGATACACCTGGGCTCGCACCAGAAGACGCACACCGGCGAGCGGCCCTTTCCCTGCACCGAGTGCGAGAAGCGCTTTCGCAAAAAGACACACCTGATCCGCCACCAGCGCATCCACACGGGCGAGAGGCCCTACCAGTGCGCGCAGTGCGCACGGAGCTTCACGCACAAGCAGCACTTGGTGCGGCACCAAAGGGTGCATGAGGCGGCCTGCCGCGCCCCGCTGTCTCCGGACGCGCCTGCCTCTCCGGGTTCTCCTGCTCCGTCCCCGACCCCGTCCCCTCCCGGACCTAAGCCTTTCGCCTGTTCCGACTGCGGCCTGGGCTTCGGCTGGAAGAAGAACCTCGCCACGCACCAGCGTCTGCACCGCAGCGAGGAGGGCCCCTTTGGTTGCGATGAGTGCACGCTGGGCGCCGCCGCGGACACGGCAGCCGCCGAGCCCCTGGCCTGCGCGCACCGAAGCACAGCCGCGCCCCAGGACGCTCCCGCCAGCGAGCGGTCCTACGCCTGCCCGGACTGCGGGCGCGGCTTCGCCCACGGGCAGCACCTGGCGCGACATCGGCGGGTGCACACTGGCGAACGGCCCTTCGCCTGCGCGCAGTGTGGCCGTCGCTTCGGCTCGCGGCCCAATCTGGTCGCCCATTCGAGAGCCCACAGCGGCGCCAGACCTTTCGCCTGCGCGCAGTGCGGCCGCCGCTTCAGCCGGAAGTCTCACCTGGGCCGCCACCAGACGGTGCACACGGGCAGTCGGCCTCACGCTTGTGCCATCTGCGCCCGCAGCTTCAGCTCCAAGACCAACCTGGCCCGCCATCAGGCCATCCACACGGGCTCTCGCCCCTTCTCCTGCCCGCAGTGCGGCAAGAGCTTTAGCCGCAAGACGCACCTGGTGCGGCACCAGCGCGTCCACGGCGAAGCTACCCGCCTGGCCTGTGACGCTGACCTCCCCGCCCCAGCCTGGAGCGCCCCGACGGAGGTGGCAGCCCCCCCACTCTTCTTCTGAGTCCCTTTCTCCGCAGGCCCTTCCTCTGCCTTCTGTCGCTCCCCGGCTGGGGAGACCCAGGTCCAAGACCCTGCAGGGCGCTGTTGTTCCCTCTCCATCTGGCCAGGAAGAGGTCTGGGAAGGATACCAGCTTTGACGTTCCGTGACAAAGGCCGTGCTGAGCGCACCCTTGCTGGGACGGGTGGGGCCTGAGTCTTTGGGGGAGGCTCCTACCAAGAAAACCCCACTGGAAAGCGAATGTTTCCTGGGCCCTCCCTGAGCGTGGAAGTTAGGAACCTCTGCGGGGGGAGGGGGGGAGTGGTCATCTGTGTACGTACCGTGTCATTGAAATAAACACCTGAAGGCTCTGTGGCTGTTCACTGAGCTGGGGGAGGGAGCCCCCGACTCGAATCCACACACACAGGGGACCTTTCCTTTCCTATCGGGGTGAATTCCCCTTTGCCAGTGGCTGGTAATCGCTCCCCCAAATCAAAATATAATAGAGCGAGCTGCCAATCTCTCCCCTGCTCCCTGCTCCTGGCTTAGAGATTTGAGGAGGAAGAAACATGAGCATGTACATTTCTCACGTCAGGTGTGGAAGGCTGGAACTGTGGGGAATGCACAGGGAGGGGGCAGGGAGGGGCCTTTTCGCCGTTCCCATGGAGACATGTGCCAGGAGCCACCAAGGGCCCTGGGGCTGGAGAGTCTCTGCCCCTGGAGCTCTCCCGAGGGGACCTTTGGTAAAGCAGCCCACCTGCCACTCTGCCTGGCACCGGGAGGGAGGACATTAATGGCATATGACATTTATTTCCTGGAAGTTGCATCTTTCCCGATGGGTGCTGGATCTGGATGTCTCTCTCCGTGTGGCTGGGCCTCCCCAGCGCAGGCAGGCAGTGAAGGGGAGGGGCGGGCTGATGGGGACCGAGCTGAGCCTGGAAGGAGAAGACCCGGGTTCGAGCCCCTGGAGCAGGACATTCATCTCCTGGGCCTCTGCTCTCTCTGTTGCAGTAAGATTGTTGATGTTGGTGAGAGGCAAGGGAGGGGGTGAGAAGGGGGCGTGGATGCAGTGAGTTGGAAGTTCCCTGGCCACGCACGAGTAGGTGTCCCAGGGAACATGACAGTGTGGCCATACACAGGGGCCACTGTGTTGCCCCGGCCATATTTTAAATACTTGGGCATTGCACACAGAAATCTGGACTTCCAGCTTCCCTGGTGAAAAGTCGGAAGAGCCGGCCACTCGTAGCTGGGGCTGAGTGGACCTTGGTCTCGTTAGACGAAGGGGCAGGGACAGGGCGCCGTGCCCGCAGCCCTAGCGGCTCCTTGGCCTCCTTCTGGGGGTGCTGCCCGGCCGCTTGGGCTTGCGACTCACACGAAAGCAGCATTGATGGGGGTCGTACCAACGTTTCCGTTTCCCTAAATGTTCTGGAATTCTTGTGTGAGAACAGCTTTTAGATCCTGCCGTGTACTCAGTGAGACCTACTGCGCATCTGCCGTTCTCAGGACTCCCCATTCACTTGAATCTTTTGGACAATTCCTGGACCCAGCGGGTGCTTGTGACATAGTAGCTGTCGCCGTTGCCTCCCCGCTTCTCACCGCAGGGATTGGGGAGGAGGCACCAACGCTGGACTGCGCTGCTCAAATGGACTTTGTCGAATAAAACGTGGAAAGTGAGGAAGGGTGTTTCCGCTGGGCGGGACGGCGAGAAAAATGCAGGGGCTCAGGTGGGTACGGGAGTAGCGAGAAGTCCGGCGTGGCGACGTGAGGGCCGGGACAGAGAGCAGTGCGTGGTGCGGCTGCTCGGCGAGGCCGAGGCCAGCCCGCAGAAGGCGCCAGGTGCACCTCGGAAGGGTGCTGCTCCCACGCCCTCTGCCGGGGTGCAGCCTCGGCGGGGCTCAGGGTGCCCCCGGAGGAGGAACGGCTCAGGCGAAGTGAATGGGGCGAGACACCGGGTGGGGGGCCAGAGGACAGCCAGGCTCTCTCGGCCCGACTGACTCACCGGGAGCAATTAATCTTTATTTTTATAGGGGAGGTTATACAGTGTTCTACAGAGCAAGTGCATAGTGCGATTATCAAAACAGAAACGGTTACTATAGAAATAACTTCGAAAGGTACAGAAGGTTTTACAGATCAATCGTGTTAAAGGTTATTCTGACCAAGAGGGTTATCAATCAGATAGCCAATGAAGCTATATGGGCACACACTTTTTGGTGCCAATTAATAACTAAATGTCTACTCAGGTTCTATAAATTGGGTTAAAAAGGGTGCAAGGGGCGATTCAAAAGTCAGTTATTGTCTATTGAGGTTTGATTGTCTAAGTCAGGTCAATGGTCTTTTGCCTAGGTCTATTGACTTATACATCTTGGGGGGCCATGTTTTATATTTGTTTCCATGCATTGAGATTACTGTATTTAATTAAAACTCCTTCCTCCTTTACCCACCTGGTCCCATCAATAAACATCCCTGTCCAGAGTATGGGATATGGGAGGGGTAGTGACTCTAATAAATCTTGAGCTTTTAAGTGGTGACTCCTTAAGGGACATTTTCTTAGCAACAGCTTCCTCCAGCGTTCTGGCAGCTGGTCTGCCCATATTTAATTTTGTCCTTAACTTCCCAGGTGGGGGAAGTAGGCAGCATTAGGGTTGTTAGGGACTTCTATTCTGTGGTCAGTAAGTCACTTCGTGCAGAATCAGAGGCACCGTGCAGATTTTTTGTTATAACGCACAGGTGTCCAAAAACCCCACCACCTGTTGCTCGCAGGGACAGGCACACAGGAAGAGACAGACAGGAGATCCGGCCACAGTTGCCTCTGCTGTGCAGATGCGTCTCACCCGACCCCACTGTGTCAAAGGTCAGCTGTTGGTCGGCTCCCGACACCCCTCCCCACAGCGAGCTCTGCTGGAGGAAGAGAAACCTGGCGACAGATGTGTACACATTCATTCCCTAACCAGGAGCCACTCACTCACAGAAGGAGTCCATGTGCGAGACCCTTGAAGACCTTTGAGGAGGTCCTTAAGGTTGTATTGGGGAACGGGAGGGGCCAAGTTCACGGCTTCTCAGCTTTCCTTTCAGCCCCTGTATGATACCAGGTGTCGCTTGGACCTGTAATTGCACATGGCACACAGGCTGGAACGGAAGCCCCTTCCTTCTACCAGGTCCCAGCTCGTCCTTCCTGAATCAGGAATCTAGAAATGCAGCTTCCTGCTACTCTGCCGAGGGCCCCACTCTCCTTTCTCTAAGGCTCTGTTGTTCCAGCCCATCCCACTCTCAACGCTGAGCTGCTGGTACCCGGTGAGGATGCGTGAGCCCGCCTGGGGCTCCGGGCACGGGCCTGGCCCTCACTCTGCGCGTCTCTCTGCGCTGAAATACATGCGTGAGATGTTGCCGGTCCAGGTGGACGCAGGGGGGCTCTTTGTGGTAGGTGGGGGGCAAGGCTGAAGGGAAACTGGAAAGCCCCCAAATAAACTTTTATGGTTTTGCCAACAAAAATAGTTCTCGACACAGAATCTCTTGGAAACTTAAAAATACACCGATGATACCCTGGTTGGTGTGGCTCAGTTGGGGCGCCGTCCTCCAGAGCAAAAGGTCGCTGGTTTGACTCCTGGTCAGGGCACACGCCCGGGCTGCAGGTTCGGGCCCACTCAGGGCGCGCGGGAGCAGCAGCCGACCAGTGCTTCCCTCCCTCCCTCCCTCCCCCTCTCTCTGAGGTCAATAAGTGTGTTCCCAGGTGAGAATAAAAACAATTTTTTTGGCAAAATTGCTCAAAATATCTTTTAACTTTCATCTGGTCTATAGCAGCGTGTGGTCACCTCTTTGTTCCTGAGATTGGTCATTTGTCCTTTAAAAAAAAAAACTGGTGAATGACACCAACAGCGGGTCAATTCCATCTTTTGTTACTTTTTTGGCTTTCTGATTGTATCTAATACATGGATGCTATTTCACACATTTTTGCCTTATCCTTACACTCCCTCAACCTCTTCTGGATCTCCTGTGCTGTCCTGTTTGTGCTTCCTCCTGGGTCTCTTTTTCACACGCTCATCTGGGCCCACACACGTCTAAGTACCGGCTTAGCTTCACCCTCCACGTTTGATGGATGAGAAACTCTACTTCCTTGTAGTTCGGTTCCAAGTATTTCCTTTCTTCATCGACACACAGGCTATTTAGGAGCATAATTCTTATATGAAAATGTCTTTTTTTTATTGGCTTCTAGCTTAAAAGCTGCAGTATGGTCAGAGAACACATTCAGTAAAATACTCTCAAATTTGTTTACTCTTCCTGCAGGGCTTACTCTATGGTCAATTTTGTGGCCGTTCTGCGTCCGCTTGGAAGGCGCGTGCCTTCTGCAGTCCTGCGGGGCGGCGTTCCCCACACTCACCAGTCGAGCCGGCTGTGTCGAGTGGTTCCAGTCTTCTGTAGCCTTCCTATGATTCTCCTGGCTCCTGGAAAAGGTGTGCTAGCATCTCCCAAACAGGACTGTACATGTGGATGCTTTCCCTTCAGTTCTTTAAACGCAGAGGTCAGCAGAGGGGACACGGGACTGGTGAACAGGAACAAAACCCACAGGGCTGTGGGTACAAGAGAAGGCAGGAAAGAAGCACGAACCCCCAGAGCCAACGGGACGGACACCGCAGAGAGAGGGCAAGTTCAAATGCAAACGTGTCAGTGATTTTATTACATGTCAGTGGATCCAGGGCCCCGAGGAAGGAAGACAAAGTCTCGTCAGGCTGGATGAAAGAATCAAATCCTACCACAGGCTGCTGACGGAAGCCGCGCCTAGGACACCGACGCAGAAAGCTGAATCAAGTCAGTGAGCCAACTCCTTCTGGAGGCAGCTGTGACGTCACGGGGTGTCGCAGACGCCACCCCCATGGTGGGCTCCATTCCATCGGACCCCTCAGGAGTGGCCTGGAGCCTGTGGGACCGTGCTGGTCCTGACCGATGGAACTAGAACCGTCCCTTTCCCGCCTGCAGTGGCCTCAGGCTGGCGGGTGGCCGACGGAACTCGGACGGAGGGAAGGCCCATGCCCAGGCCAGCCAGGGACCATCCTCGGGGTCCTTGCCAGGATGGCGGCGGGCAGAGGTGGAGCCTTCTCTGCCCTCCCCCTCCAAACCCCCGGGATCCCTGAGTTCAGAAAGGCCGCTCAGTTTCTCCCACCAAAGGGACATTTCCCCCTACAGCGGGTGCAAGTGTGGGACGCACCCCCAAAGCCCTCAAGTGCAGGTGCCTCCCCCCGGTGACTCTGGAAGGCTTTCGGCAGACAACCGTGGACGTTTTTGGTTCGAGTGGCCCCGGGACCTGTGGGGTGAGTGTGGCTGCAGATCATGAAGCATCTTACCATTCATTTTATAACTTACATTCTTTAAAAAGAGAACCTGCAAACTTCCCGTAAGCTGATTGGATGTGGACCACCCGGACTGGCCTGGCCCCAGAGTCCTTGCCTGCCGGGCCAGCTTGTCCCAGGACCGGTGACCCATTGGCCACGCCCCAGGGTGTGGACCCACCGAGCCCCCTTCTGCCAAGGGCCCTCCCCTTAGCAGCCACCTCTGCGATCTTTAGGATCCGCACGGGCGAATCCAGCTTAGCCCGGGGAGTGGCGCGCTCCCCAGGTGAAACCTCTGCCTGCGTCCACCAGAGAGCCCTGCCTTCCCAGCGCTGAGAGCAGGGAGGCTGGGTGTGCGGGAAGAGGGGCCCTCATGGCGCCCCCCCGCCCCCGGGCACGCATGCTGTGCACAGGTGCCTGTGCCGCCACCCGCCTCTGAGTCCCGGCGGCACAGACGGGACAGAGGCAACGTCTGAATGGATCCGAGCCAAGTGGGGTGGCTGAGCAATGCACCTGGAGCGGTGGCCCCGCTGAGCAAGCACATTTTGGAGTCTCAGGTGGTCACACCAAGGGGGACGCCCAGCTGTTCACAGCCCTGAAACGGGGAAGGCTTGGCCGGAGCGGCAGGTGGGCGCTGGCTGGCCCCTAGGAGAGGCGACCGGGGACAGGGCGCCCTCAGGGCTGAGCTGATGAAGAAGACGGTTGGGGGCCATCCACCTCGGGTCCCTAAGCTCTCCGCCCCACCGTCCCTCCTTGAGCGCTCTCTGGACCCCTGCTAACAGGCTGTTGGGGTCCTTGGGCCAGTTTTGAGTGTCCGCTGGCACGGCTGCTGCAGCCGGCGGCCCTGCGTCCACACTGGAAGCAGGAGAGGCCGTCCGGGGAGGGAAGGCTGCAGGCACAGAAGGGGCAGGGGGGTTCTGGGGGCCCCCTGTGTGTCTGAGTGGGGGGTGCACAGTGAGCCCAGCACGGCTGCACGCTGAGGACGGCGGATGCTGGGAAGGGCTGGAGCTGGTTCCGGAAGGTTCTGCCTGGGGGGCGTCTGGAGGCAGCTGAGGCACCAGGTGCTGTGTCCCCCAGGAGAGGCCCGAGGCGTCGCCAGCCCTGCAGCCTTCCGCCTGGCCGCGCAGGAGCTTCGGTTTTGGCCTGGTGGGGCCCTTCTGCCGCCGGTACAGCAGGTGCCTGTGAGCAGGGCCCTGAGCCCAGTGAGGTCCCCGGGGCAGGGCCCACGGCCAGGAAGCCTGGCTCTTCGGCCCTGGGCCCCGCGGGCGCCGCCTCAGCCGATCGACCTGGGTCCTCACCGTGGCCACTTCCTGAGACAGGCCTGCCAGAGCCGCGGCAAGCCGATCCAGCTTCTCCGAGAGGGCGGCACTGAGGCTGCGGAGCTCCTGCCGCAGGGAACTCCCACAGGGACACGGTGGCCGTGGGGAGGCAGGTGGCAAAGCGGGGGAAATGGTGGCCACGGGGGGCGGCTCGGGCAGGCCCCTGGGAAGCGGCCTCTCTTCCGTCCGGGCTAGAACCAAGGCAGGGATGCGGGGTGAGCGTTCTCAGGCCGCCAGGACCTCTCTCCTCCCCCAGGGGGGCCCCCCCGAATCGGCACATCGGGCACCCTGCCTCCCTAAGGCCCGGCATCACGTGGGAAGGAGCCGACTCAGGCTTCAGAGTATCGACGGCCATGCTCACGACATCAGTAGCGGCCATGCTTCCCCACCGCTGCCCACACGCCCGGGCAGGACAAACCACAGACTGGGTCTCCACGGTAACTAAGATTTCTCAGCACACTGGGCTGTCTAGGGAAACGGGGACCAAATGGCACCTGAACACGCCCTGGGGAGTCAGCGGGCAGGGCCTGGAGAAGCCTCGGCAGAGCGCACGAGGCCGTGGGCAGCGGCTGGAAGACGGCCGGGGGGCGGGGGCAGGGGCAGGGGTGCGGGGCGGAGGTCCGACCTGGGACCTGGCGAGGTTGGTCAAAAGCAAAGCACCAGGGCTCCTCCCTCCCTGACTTCAGTCCTTCACATTCAGCAGTTGCAGATCCAGAGGGTGTTGTGTCTTAAATTACTTTTTTAAAAAATCACCAAATCTGCCCTGGCTGGCGTAGCTCAGTGGATTAAGCATGGGCTGCGAACCAAAGCATCGCAGGTTCGATTCCCAGTCAGGGCACATGCCTGGGTTGCAGGCCACGACCCCCAGCAACTGCACATTGATGTTTCTCTCTCTCTCTCCCTCCCTTCCCTCTCTAGAAATAAATAAAATCTATTTAAAAAATCACCGAATCCTCCACCCTGAGCTCCCTTGGAACTGATCTCCACCTCAGGTGAATCCCCCGGGAAAACCCTGTGACCACCTCAGGCTGGCGGGACAGGCCCAGGGTTCCCCTGTCCCCCCGGGGCCCAGTCTGGCTCCGTCCTCCTGTGCGCCCTTCAGGGCTTTGGTCGGAGGAAACGGTGGCACCGGAGGGGCTGCAGGAGCCCACTGCCAGCTGCGCACGTTCGAGAAGGCCCTGACTTTAGAGAGGAGCTTCCTCCGGGTCAGGGCTGATGTGGAACCACCTCTCACGGCTCTCGGGACGCCCGTGGCCAGGCCACACGGCGTGGCCAGTCCTCCGTGTCCGCACCTGCTCTCTGAGCCCCACTCAAACCCCAAACACCCATTCTGGGGGTGTCTATTCTGGTACACGCCTCAGTCTCTGCTCTGCCTCTGAAAGGCACCTGTGCTTTTAGGAAAAAGCCAGCCATTTCTGTAAGGAAACTCTGAAATGAACCTGAGGTGAGCTCCAGGTGAGACTCTTCCTACCTGTGACCCAGACAAGGTGGAAGGGTGTGAAGAACAGCCCCCCCGCCCCCGGCTGTGACCCTGCAGCCGGGGCCTGAGCAGCGGGCCGGGGCCGGGCGGCCGTGCACATGCCCGCCTCTGCGCCTGCAGGGCCCCGGGCAGCTTGAGGGGCCGGGGAGCCCAGCGGTTCACCTGCAGCACTGGGTCCTCTGTGTCCAGGCCCTGGGCCTCCGGATTCTTCGCTGACCCTGGGCTTCCGGGACGGGGGCTGAGGGGCTGACCCCGGAGGTGGGCAGGGCCCTGGGCAGGGCCTTTTCTCCGGCCGAGGGGCAGGACAGAGGCTCCCAGCCGCCCCTGCGGAGAGAGCACAGAACGCGTTGGGTGTGCACGTGGGCTGTGTGGACAGAGGCATTCTAACACGGGACTATTTGGACACGACCTTAAAAAATCGAACTTTGGTTAAGTTCTCAAATAACGGTTAAATGAGATGCAACACAGGCACACTCGGTCCATCGGGGAGCCCGACTCTGGCTGAACGGCCCAGGAGGGCCCGTGTGACAGGCTGGGCCGGGGACAGCAGGTGGAGAGGGCCGTGGTGCGCAGGTCCCACCGCCAGTGAGGCTCCATGGGGACCGGCTGGGGGCGCCCTGCGGGCCATGGGGGACTGTGCGGCCCCTGCCCAGCCCACTGGGCTCCTTCCCACCAGCCCCCTGGGCAGTGAGGAACTGCCTGGGCCAGCAGAGAGGCCAAGGACAGCGTGGGGCCGCCAGCCTGAATTCCAAGGGAGCCCTGTTCCCTGACCGACCACCCCACCCGACCCCCTCGAGTGCTACCCAGGGGGTCAGGCCAGCCCAGGGTCTCCAAGCACGCTTCTCTCCTGGGCAGCCCGGCCCCGCCCCCCGCCCACTCCTCTGCTCTTCCTGCCGGGTCAACGGCTAGGTCAGGCTTGGCCTGAGAGGCGAGGCGGCCTGGGTAGCAGGCGGCGTCTCCAGCTTTCCTGACGGGACACCCTCCGAGCTCTCCCAGGTGGAGGACTCTCACTTTTGACATTCGGTTTACTGCCCAGCTTCAACAACGTATATTGTTATTGCCTTACATACATACACATATGTCTGTACGCATACACACTAAGTCCCTGACACTAAGCCTTGGATGGCCGAGGCCTCCATTTCCAGAGACGGCCACCTGGGGTCAACACACGGCCAGGGTGTGAGCGCTACCAGCCAGCGCCGGGGAAGGAGCCGGGCTGCCCCAACCCCGTGAAGGTCCCTCGTTCAGAAAGCCTCGCGTGACCTAGATATCTGGCCGTCTGAGTGACCCCCGCTTCTCCCTTCCTGCGCCCTGATTCCCCCTGTTACGTTTTAAATCAGCCAGTAACGAGTGAACCGGCCGAACCCTGGACAGCCCAGCACGACGGTGACAGACACAAGGGCCCAGGTCCTCTCGCGAGCTCTCTCTCTCGCTCTCTCTCTCTCTCTCTCTCTCTCTCTCTCTCTCTCTCTCGGCCCGTGACCTTGCCGCACGCCCTGCAAGCGCTAAGTGCTAAGCCCGGGAGTGCCAAGTCCCGTGCTCAGAGTGCTCCGAGGGGGCTGGGGGCTGGCTGAAGGGCGTGCTGTGATCGTAAGCAGCAGCAGACAGCGGCCTGGCCCGGACCTGGCCCCGGAACGGGGGCGCTGGGGGGGAGCATCAGTGGGGCTCGCTCTGAGAAGCATGGTGGGGGGAGGAGTGGGGGGCGTGCCCTGGGCCTTCCTGGCCGAGAGCATCATTGTCCAGGGGCCAGGGCTTCACAACAGAGAGAGAGAGTGTGTGTGTGTGTGTGTGTGTGTGTGCAAACATCATTAAGTGTATACAATATGTGTATATGCATAACATCACCCCCCATACCCATCAAGTTCATTGCCAGGCTTTCTAATTAAACACACCCACTTAACACTTCTGGAACCCTCCGTGTCTCAACAGCCCCACCCTCTCTCTCGGATGTGACTCATCTCCTGGGGAACTTGAGCATGACAAAAGTAAAGAACTTTCTGGCAAGAGTCGGGCAAAGGGACAGGTGAGACCGAGAACCCAGTCTCCTGGGAGACGGGCCCCTCCCAGGGGACCCAGGCTCACCTGCACCGAGACCAAAGCGCTCCCGGGGCTCTGCGGTCCTCGGGCCTTCGCCAGGGCTGCTGCCCGTCAGGCGGCCGCCCGGGCTCTTGCTGCTGGGCAGAGGGTCCCTCTCTGCGTCACAAAGCTGGTGTCAGGGTGGAGGTCCCAGCCGGGGGCACAGTTCCCTGCCTCTCCCCTCCCCCTCCGAAGCTTACCCTGCAGGAGCGGCTGCCAGAGCTCAGGCTCCGGCCTTGGGTCCTCTCCTTCCGAGCTGCTGAAGCTGGAGCTGGAGCTGGAGCCGGTGCTGGGGCTGGGGATGGGGACGGGGCCGGGGCCGGGGCCGGCCAGGCAGGCGAAGCGCAGGGGCCGCCCGGGCAGGATCCCCTTCAGAGAGTTCTCCAGGCAGTGAAGTGGGGAGGGCGTGGAGGCTGCCCCTGGGCAAGCGACAAGAGACCCTTCCGTGGATCAGCCTGACAGGGAGGAGGAGCCCCTGCCTGAATGAGCAGGCACACGGCCCAAGCAACGGCCACAGACGAGCCCTGGTGGCCCCAGCACCCTCTCTGCCATGACGGCTAGGCCCCAGCCCCCCTGCAAAGCCAGCTGGGGGACTTTGCAGGAGTCTGAAGGCCCTGAAAGCCCCTAGCAGTCAGTCCCAGCCAGGCCCCAGGCCCTCCTGCCCTGCTCCCCCAGGACCAGGCTGTCCGACAGCAGAGACTCAGGCTACCCACAGGAGGTCCCCGAAGGCCACTCTTGTCCAGTGGGGGCGCTAGAAACCCCACACAGGGCAGAGCCACCTAGCACTTCGCAGTCCACGGGCAGGATTCTGCAGCAGGTTAAACTAAGTGCCAGAGCAGCAGGGGCCCTGCCTGGGGAAGAGGTTGGGCCTAGGGCAGGGATACAGCCTGGGGCAGGGGTGCAGCCTGGGGCAGGGGTGCGGCCTGGGGCAGCCTGGGGCAGGGATGCAGCCTGGGGCGGGGGTGCAGCCTGGAGGAGGGGTGCATGACGGGGAGGAACAGAGGCACAGAGAGGGGAGGGGAACCGGGCTCCTCATCACAGACTTTACTTGGAGGGAAACTCAGCAGGAAGGGCCGGGGGCAGGCGTCAGCTCACCGTCTTGGAGCCACCTCCACGGTCCTGGCCGGGTGGCCGCCTGGTCCCTGAGCCCTCGCTGGCAGCAGGCAGGGACGCTGCTGGAGGACAGCGCCTGGGGGCTGGCGGGCCACGGGCTCCTGGGGGGCGCGTCCCCCCGGAGGTGGACTGGCTCGCAGGCCTCACTCCGCAGTCCTGCGTTAGTGAGAGGCCGAGGGGCCGGTCAGCCCCACGGGCCAGTGTCGGCACCGAGGAGAGGAAGCTGATGGACAGAGAACCACCCTCGCCAGGTCCTCGGGTGCACGAGCGCCGGGAGTGGCACACGCGCCCGCCCTGCAGATCCTCCAGGGTCTCCTCAGACCCACCCCCTGGGCTCCTGGGGGCCCCGCGGCTCAGTGACTCGCCAGACACCACGGCACACGGGGACGGGAAGACACTCCTTCCCGGCCAAGACCGGGCTCGGGCCTGGACTCGGCAGCCAAGGGCCCCGCCCCGACTGCACCCCCGTGCAGAGGCGGGCAGCCCCTGGCCCCCCGGCCGCACGCCAGCCTCTGCCCGGGTCGCTCCCAGAGCACCTCTTCATCTCCAGGGTGGACGTGGGTGGCTGGGGGATGCAGCACCTGGGGCGCCAGCACAGGGCACCTTCTCCCACTCCCAGACCCCCAGGGCAACCACGCTTTACCTTCCTTGTCTGCCGTCCAGCCCCTGGGCTCCACTCTCCGGGGTTCTCTGTCCCCCACCGAGGACCAGGGCCAGGCAGGCTGTGGCCTGGGCACAGGGATCTCTCGGAGACAATTCTCCAGGCCCTGCAGGGGGGCACTTCCGACTGGGACCCCTGGGAAAACCAACGTGCGTGGCCTTCGTCGGAGCGTGGCCTCTGCGCGCCCCGGGGCCTCGCCTGCACCGTGTCCAGGGTGGCTGGGCCCACGGGCAGAGGCACAGGGCGCTGGACCCGTCCTGGCAGTACAGGGCCCCCGAGCTGAGACCCGGCCCCCCGCACCCCATGTCGGTCCTGCTCTGGCTGGGCCAACCCATCTCGCCGCCTGCTTGGAAGTCAGGTCAGTGGGCTGCGCTGAGGACCACTGGCCGCAGGCACGGGGTGAGGACACCCAGCACCACCCCTGTGAGAGACGCCACTACCCAGCCTCGCCCCCCAGGGAGGCCCTGAGGACCGAAGGGAGACGCTGAGGGCGCCCTCTTGGGTGCAAAGGGGGAGGTCGAGGAAGACCCACATGAACTCGGTTCAACCAGGAAACAAAACCAAACTGTAGCCATCACACTTCCAGCGGCGGCTGCGGAAGCGACAGAGTGCCGGCCAGCGCGTGGGGCTGGGACGGCCGGGCGTCCATCCGGGGAGCCCCCAGCGCGGGGCTCCCCACGGGGCACTGCTGAGTCCTGGGGCGACAGACAGAGGGAGCCGGGGAGCTGGGCTGGAAGCTCTGAAGGGCAGCGTGAGATCTCCTTGCAGCCCGGGCTGCTCAGGGGACGAGACCCGTGCACGGAGGCGGCCCGAGAGAGAGACCTGCTGACCCCACCAGGGGAGACCCTGCCGCTGCTGAAACGCAGGGGCGCCACGAGTGTCCAGGGGGCACCCGGGACAGTGAGGGGACAAGCGGCGCCGCCACGCAATGACTCTGCAGGTGAGAGTTCACAGCAGCGGTGGCTCAGGGAGGGCCACGGGTGCTGGAGGGCTGGGGCGGGCAGGAGGGTGACATCTCCGTTCCTACATAACCTGCTGTGGCTTCTGAACAAGACCACGTGATTCTACTACCTCTTTAAAACCAAAAATTTCAAAGAAAGGTCAGCTACGTTTTGGGAGGAAAGAGCCCCCACACCCAAGGGGCTGCTCCCTGGTAGGGTGCAGGGATCCAGGCCACCCGGACACCCGAGGGCCCCGGGACTGTCCCATGGGCCCCGACTGGCCTGGGCACCAGCAGTGAGCGGGCCAGGACACGGGAGCCCCGGGGGCCGGGCTCCTCGGACACAGCAGACCGAGGCCTGTGTTAACTCTCGTGGGGAGGAGAAGGTCAAGGAGGGACCCTGGAGAGACTTGCAGGATTCTAAAGAGGTGACGACGGCTCACCACGGGTGCCTCCACGCAGAGGGGCCTCGGGAGACGCGGGTCACCCAGCATGCCCTTTAATGTGGTTTTTTACGTGAACCCCACGTGGTTCTTTTCCCCAGTCAGAGGTCAGCCTGATGCCCCAGGCTCACACTTCTTGGTGGATGGGAAAAGGGAGGATGTGACGCTAAAAAAGGCCCCTTTTCATTTTTTAAGAGCTCTTGGGTGTTGTCCCGACCTTTCAGAGCCAAGCTGCTAAGACAGGCGCCCCCACCCGAACAAGTCCTGCGTCTCCCTGTCTGGGAGCCCGGCTCTGCTGCTGGAACTGCGCACAGGGACCTGGCAGGGTGCACCGGATGCCGGGGTGCGCTGGACACCGGGGTGCGCTGGACACCGGGGTTCATTGGCTGCCCCCACCCTCCCCCGGTCGACCCTGAGCCTCAGGCCAGCCCGCTCACCTTTTCCGGGCCGGCGCCCCCGGCTGCCGCAGTCCGGGCTCTGGAAATCGAGGTCCCCGTCGGTGCTGCTGGACGAGGAGCAGCTGGTGGGGGTGCTGCGGGGCCCTGCGGGGAGCGCGGGGCCCTCCCTGGTGAAGCCCTGCAGGCCCAGCGCCAGAAGGGGCCCGGCCGCCGCTTCTGCAGGGAACAGCACAGCTGGCACCGGGGACGGCTGCCGGAGGAGGGGCCCCCTGGGCCCTGCCCCGAGACCGGCCCCCCAGGACCTTCCACCGGGGCCTCCCCTTCGGTCAGGGCGCTCGCAGCGCTGATCAACACGCTGATCAACACATGGCAGTGCATCACCCCACGCGACCCTGCCACCAGCCTCTTGGGGCTGGGGGGCGAGGAAGAGCTCTTAGGGAGGCGGTGGGCAGGGAAGGCGTAACTGGCTCCCACCCAGTTCAGGAGTTGTTTGGGGGCAGGTATGACAGGGGGCGGGGGTGGGAAGGGAGAAGGACGTGCACTGTAAGGGGCCCAGGACAAGGAGGGGGCACCCGTCAGCGTCCTCGGCATGGCCACCCCAGCCCAGGGCCAGGTCCACCTTGACTGTGCGCTCCTCGGGGCTGCAGCTCGGGCCTAGGAGACCCGGCATCTCCCAGCGGGGGGCTCCGGAACCAAGAGGAGGCCGGCGGCTGGGGAGGCAACGACCCACTGAGGGGAATGCCCTTCAGGCAGGCCTCCAGGGCGTCCAGGGGCGAGCTCGAGGCACTGCTGGCTGGGACAGGGGAGACGGCCCTTCACCATCTCTGGCAGGTGCCCTGGCCTGGTCCCTGGCTGGCTGCCCGCCCGCCTCCTGCTGCGGGGACAAGTCCTGCACCAGGCGTGGGCGCCTGCCAGACAGGACACCCTCCCGAGGGGGCGCAGATCTGCTCTCTGTTCGTACAGGGGGGACGACAGCAAGTGTACCCCCAGGCCCTGGGCGGGTGGGGACACCCACGTGTGGGCCGTGGCCAGCACCCTAACAGCAAGGAAACCTCTGCAGACGAAGGTCCTGCCAGTGGAAGGCTCCCTCCCTGGACGAGGCCAGGTGGCGGAGGAGGGCGTGGGTGGAAGGACGCGGTTAACTGCTTGCGGAGGACAGCTGAGTACTGCCCCTGTGCCCTGGACCTGCTCCTCCCCCCGCGGGCACGCAGAACCTTGCTGGGGGGCTGAGAACCCCTTGGGGACTCAGGCAGACGAGTCGGGCCTCACCTTGAGCCTCGGGGCCCCAGCTGGGCACTCGGACCCCGCTGGTGTCTCTGTTGCCCCCCCGGCTGCCAGCGGCACAGGGGCTGTGGGGCGGCTTGCCAAGCTGACAGGAAGCAGGCGCTGGGGGGCTCTGGGCCCAGCTGTCCTCCGTCTTCACAGAGAGCACGCGGCCAGCACCAGGGCAGGGAGGAGGGGTCTGCAGGGGTCTGGGTCCTGCAGGAAGCCCCCCACGGGGCCCTCGGGGGTTAGGATGGGGCTCCCGAGGCCGCTGGTCCCCGCTGCAGCCTCACCTCGGAGGCAGTCTCCACTCGGCCACCAGCAGACAGACCACTGGCCACACCCCCACCTTCAGGCACCTGCACAGGTTCCCACAGAAGGAGCCAGGCCAGCACTCCCCACATGGCCCCAAATCAGGCCCCTGCCCCCCTGAGGCCGGCACACCTATCTCCATTCAGCCTCCTCCTGAGAAGCCACTGAGCAGGGTGAGTTGCCGTGCGTGGAAATCCTACCCCCGCCCACACGTCATGGGGTGAGCACCCCAACACCAGAACTAACGCCCTGGATGTCTACGGGCGGAAGCTCTGTCGTCTGCCCTCCGTCTCCCATCGCCCTCCCTCTACGCCCCTCCTCCCGGAATTCCTGGCTCCTGCTCTAAGGTCCCATCTGGGGAATGATCACGAACGGACGGGTCACCTCCTGTGTGACCAGCTCCATTTATGGCGACAATCCCCAACTCCTGGCCACTCTGAGCAACACATAGACGTGTGGCCTCTGTGTTGCACTGCGGAGGGTCACCCACGGCCCTGCTTGGAGCCGAGGAAGGAGTGGACGATGGCTGGGGCCCGTGCAGCCCTGCCTCTGGCCTTTACCTCCAGAAGTCCTCTTCCAGGCCCCTGCATCCTCCGGCGGCCGTGGGTCCCCCCCGCCGGAAGGGCTGGGGTGTGTGTCCTGGGCCACCGGGATCTCCTTCAGGCAGTTCAGCAGACCCTGGAGGGGACAACCCCCGGGCGCTGCCTCCGTCTTCACTGCGGGAAACAGCAACACGTTTCCACCCTGAGCTGGGTGTCCTCCGTCCCCGGGACACACAAGAAGTGGACAACCCAGGTAGGCGGGCAAAGAGGCCAGGGCCAGAAATCTGGAGAGCTGGGCCGTCTTGCAGAGCCCACTGTCGTCTGGGTGGCAGGTGGAAAGCCACTTGCCACCACGCCTCCCCGACAGGTCAGGGAAGGGGCGGGAGACAGAAGCAGAGCGCACAGTGTGTCTCTGCGAGCAGACGGGGGAGGGGCCGCCGGGTTGCGGCTTGTAGACCCTGAACGGGACATACACTGGGGAGGCCCAGCCTTTGTGCACACGCGCGCGCACACACACACACACACACACACACACACACACACATACACTGTGCCTAAGCCTCACGCAGGCCTCTTAGGTGGGAACAGTAAGTCCCCCACCGTAGAGATGGGGAGACGGAGGCCCCGAGGCTCCGGGAGCCTCCAGTCTGCACAGCTGACAGGTGTCGGACTCAGGACAGGTGCTCCGGTCCCACCACGCTGCCCCCCGTCCACGCCGAGTGCCCCGCCCAGTGTCGAGGCAAAGTGGCACTCAGCACCTCCTCCTTCCAGTCCCCACACGGGGACGGGGGCGAGTCAAGAACACAACAGGGCCCGGGTCTGGGTCTGCGTCTGAGTTTTCTTCCCCAGCTGCCCAAACGCTGCTGTCAGAACGCCGCCCGGCCCCCGAAATCTGACCCTGAGGGTGCAGGGGCAGCCCGGCTGGGGGACAACCCTTCAGGAAGACACTCCATTTAGAGGGAAGCGTCTAGAGAAAGCCAATACGGGTTTCAGGGGCTTCGGGGACCTTGGCCTGAGACGCATCCCCGGAACTCACCTCCGCCGGGCAGGCTCCCGGGCCCCGGCCCCACCCCAGTTAGCTGGGCCAGGCCCGGGCCGAGGCCGGGGCTGGGAGGCAAGCGTGGGGCCGCCTCGGGCTTCTGGGGCCCGGGCACAAGGATGTCCTTCAGGCAGTTGATGAGGCCTTGCAAGGGGCTGTTCCCAGGAGAGGCTCCCTCGGGACCTGCAAGATCGGCCGGGTCAGCACAGCCCTGAGGGCGGCAGCCGGGGGAGGACAGGGCGTCCGGGCATCGGAGACTCCCCGCGGGTGCATGCGAATGGGAGGGCCGGCGTCTGCGCTGTCAGGTTGTCAGGAGGCTGGGACGGGAGAGGATGCCACGTGCCTCCCCCTCTCTCCAGCTCCGCTCCAGCACGGGCCCTGCTCTCGGAAGCGCCAGCCTCTCACCTGCCCCCGACGACGACGACGACGATGTCCCCCTCTGCTGTTTCCTGTGGCTCTTCCTTCGGCCAGGGCTGCCGGTGGGAGGGCTGCGCTCCCTGCCCGGGGCTCCGGGGCTCTCCCGCTCTGCAGGCCCCGGCGTGTCGGCAGTTTCTGCAGCAAGAGAGACGGGAAGGTCTTTCCAGCCCTGGCTCCCAACCCCTGGGGAGGTGCCCAGGTCGGGTGCCCGCAGAGGGACGGACCTCTCCCGCCTCCAACCCCAGGCAGGGGGCAGCCAAGTCACGGGCACCTCAACTGGCTGCAAATCCAGCTCCTTTGAGGCTTATCCCGGAGGAGCTGCCTCGGGAAGGTACTGTGGGCAGTGGGGAGGGCGCCCTTCCCGTGTTCCTCGCAGGGACTGAATGACAAGACTGTTCGCTCCCAGTGCCTGGGACCCGCCCCCAGCTCCAGCCTCGGACTTGGGCTCAGCGAGTGACAGCAGCAACCTCATCGTGCAGGCCCCCCTTCCGCACTCGAACTTCTCGAACGCGGGGACCCGGAACCCCGGAGCGGACCTGCCAGGTGACACCCAGATCCACAGGCTAAATGGGACGTGTCTTTCAGGAGTGCTGATTTTATCCCACACTGATTTAAAATATGTTTAAATAAAGACAGACAGTCGAGCAAATGCGAACGTTGCAAGGATTTTACAAAATGAAGTGAGACCCTGGAGAAAGTCTAATGGCTGCCCTCGCCCCTCACCCCTGCTCCTAGGGCTGCCCTGACGGGCAGGTCCGAGAGCCCGACCAGGTGCGCGCACAGGCGTGTTGCCTGCTGACGGGCCTGCAGGTCCACAGCCGCCCCCACGCCCGCTGCATGAGCACTCAGCACTCCACGAGCAGGGCTCGAGGGGCACTGAGCATCACCTCCTCTCTGGCCGACAGACAGGGGCCAAGCACTCAGCCCAGTCCCTAGGGAGCTGTGCCCATTTAGCGACCAGGGAAACTGAGTCTTAGAGAAAGTGAACAGGGCATGGGATCCAGACCCCCGGACTCTGGTGTTGGGGCTCTGCGCCCCCGGGTCACACTCACTGATGGGGAGGGGACTTCCCTGCCCCCTGGCTCCGGGCGACCCGCTGGACGATGAGCTACTGCTGGGCGTGCTGGCCAGACCGGGCCGGCCGACGGGCGGGTCTGGAAGGCAGCTGAGCAGGCCTTGCAGAGGGCAGGTCTCCACCGTGGCCGCTGCTGCCGGGAGCAGGGAGAGGACAGCGGAAGCTGAAAGGTAAGCCCAGCAGCGGGTAAGGTGCTCCGAACACTGTCCCTTTCCAGCCCTTCCCCCACCGGTTCCACCGACAACGACCAGGGTGGCAGTAAGCTCTGCCTCGTCACCCCGAGCTCTAAAAGGCCGGTTCACAGTCTCAAAGGAGCCCTAAGGCTCGGGCTGGCGGGCACAGACCCCCTGAGGAGGTGAGGCCTGAGGAGAGAAGGGCGAGCGAGCAGGGCACGGGGCAGGAAGGGGAGGACGGGGAGGCTCCAGCTGGGGCCTGGCAGCAGCAGGCCAGCACATGGCACAGGCCACAGGGCGTTGCCACAGCTTGAACTTCACCTTGCGGCCGGCAGAGGCTGCCCCGCTGTCCGACTTACCCTCGGGGCTCGGCTGCTCCCCGTCCAGGCTGGCCCCCCCGCTCTCAGGGCCGCCTTCCCCGAACAGGAACCCCGGGATCTCCTTCACCAGCTGCACCAGCGCGGTGAGGTGCAGGCTGTGCTGGGGCGCTCCTCCTGCCGAGAGGCCACAGGGAGCCCCCCCCCACACCCACGTCAGCTCAGCACTCACGCTTCGTGTCATCCTCACAACAGCGCCTCACGTGGTCCCCGCACCACGTGAGCAGCAGCAAAGGGGAGACCCGTGGCCGGCAGATAAAGAGGCCCCAGGCTCAGGTCTGGTGACCTGCCCACAGGCCAGCCAGGCCTGGGGGAACCTTCAGGGCTTGCAGGCAGGCTCTGCGCGGGGGGTGGCAAGAAAGGGCCCTCCTGGGGTGACACAGTTCAATGGCATCCCCGGGTTTCTCTGAGCAGGTCACGCCAACGGCAAGTGTACCAGCCCAGAGGGAAGAAGGGTGACATGTCAGGGTGGGGCTGGGGCCAGCAGCTGGGCAAGGGCGGGGGGTTGGTGTCACAGTGTCTGGTAAGGAGAGGGGCTGGGGGCTAAGGACCCCATGGTGGAAGGGACAAGAGTGAGTCCACCCCGGCCCAGGCTGCCCAGGGGGACCAGGACACCCAGAGGGGCCTGGCCTCCATCAGCGAGGTTACTCACCTAGGGCACCTCCCCCCGGAGGCGCCTGTCCCTCACCCGCTTTGCGGCTGCTCCTGGCTCCGCCAGGCTCCGCGGGAGACAGGAAGGCAGAGAGGGGGACCAGCTCAGCTGTCCCTGAGAAAAGAAGAGGGACGGCCCTCCTAGAACAGAAGCTCGCCTCTGCCCCCCAAGTGCGAGCATGCAGGTGGCCCCGACGCCTGAGCATCCACACACCTGCTCGCATGCCTTCCTGTGGCCACCCCAGCCCCAAGGACCGCCGAGTGCCAGGGCCTGGGAGGCCTCCTTGCTCAGTGTCTCCCCAGTTTTTGAGCACCCCCCACTGCAGCGCACCCAGAGCCCTAGTGTAGTCCAGAGAGATGACAACAGCATAAAAGATCAGTGAGGCCGCCAGCTCAGCCGGAAGCTCAGCGGAAAGCCACCTCAAATGCTGTTCCTTTTGTAAACAAAGACTAAAGGCCTGGGGAAAGGGGATTGGGGGGCTCCCCAGGGAGCCTCTGGATGTGCTTGGTGCCGGACCCAGACCCCTTCCACTTCCAGCCCAGAGAGGCCCCAGGGCACCGCCAGCCAGCGCCTCACCCAGGGAGACCAGCGCCTCGTAGTTCTCCTGCATCACGTCCCTGTAGAGTGCCCGCTGCCCCTCCCCCAGCAGCTGCCACTCCTCCTCGGAGAACCGCACGGCCAGGTCCTGGAAGGCGATGGGCACCTGTGGGCACAATCTCGGGGAGTTGGCTGGCCCCGCTCCCCCGGGGCCAGGCGCACACCGAGGAGCGGGGTGCAGCGCGTGTGGGGCGGGCACCTGAGGCACAGGACCAGGCGAAGGGGCAACAGGGGGATTCACGCTCCCGGGACAGCTCCCGGGACAGTGACGGGAGTTGTCGGCTGCGTCCCCGAAAGGAGACGCTGGAGCCCTCACCCAGTGCCTGTGAAAGTGGTCTTATTTGGAAATGGGGCCATCACAGATGTCATTACTTAAAATTAGGTCATACTGGAATGGGGGGGGCCCTCACCCAGCATGACTGGTGTCCCTGTCAGAAAAACAGAGACACGTGGACACAAGAGACGGCCACATGACAACAGAGGCAGAGGCTGGAGTGACGCTGCCATGAGCCAAGGCCACCTGGGGCCACCAGAAGCTGAGTAACTGACTCTGCAAAACGTGACACCGGGGATGAGGGGAAACTACTGCATATGAGGGAACTGGCCACTCTGACTTATCCGTCTGTCCCCTGTGGGTGTGGTTCCCATGTGGTCAGTTCCCATCAGAACCATAACCAGGGGTGTAAGGACCGACATCGAGCTCTGCTCCTGCCAATCAGGAGTCCCACCCAAGACACCCCTACCCCCCTAGGATGGACTCCGAGGCTCATTTCTTCTCCAGCTTCTGAAGCTCAGCACAGAGCTGGCTCGGCAGGTCCGCGTCGATCAGGGAACAGGCTGGTGGCACAAACACCCTGAGCTACGCAGGGCCCGCCTTTCTAGCAAGGCCACTTCCCAGACCAGGGACATCAGCTGACCCCTCCCGGGCCCCTCTCTACGGAACTCAGGTCATGCTATGCGTGGCAGCCAGCCTGGACACCTCCCTACCTGGTGACCAGAGCTGGGGCTGGTGGGCACGTGGCTGCTTCTCTGCACGGGCGTTTTCCCCGACACGCCCATTTACGAGTGTACCGGCTGCACCAGCCACACGGCCAGCCCCTCAGCCCCGGCTGCCTCTCTCCCCCGCCCTCTCCAGCTTTAACACCTCCATGCGGGCTGCTAAGTGACATGTGTCACACACAGGCTCCGTCCTTGAGGGGCCCACAGGTCAGCAGAGGTGTGATTCTGACACATTTCAGAGCACTTCCGATCTCCCATCTGATGAACACAACGGCCCTACGCTGGTGACACATTTGTCCTTCGTGACGGGGGGAAGGGTCCAAAGCAGGACAACAGCCTCAGGGCAAGTCCAGGGCTCCAGCCTTCGGACTAAACTTGTGGTGTCCCTTCCACTGTGCTTGACAGTGACCACAGCCAGTAACTACGAGGTCAGCAAACCTCAAGAAACCAAGCAACTAACATTCAGTTTTCTAAACGATTATTCTCTGGTCAAGTCTGCAGGGACAGACCTGGGGTCTCCTGTAATCAGACATCACCACCCCTCTTGACAAAAGCTGAGCATTTAAACAGATTTGTTCGAGGTGGTGATGGATAAGAGTCCCGGGCACAAGGAACGCCCCTGTAGCCACCGCTCCATGGCCGGAGCAGGAACGGGGAGCCGAGTGGAGGTGCTGCTGCTGGAGAGCTCGCTCACGCCAGCACCCAGCGCCCGCGCGGGGAGACAGGCGGGAAACACTCGGTGCCCTCAGCCTTTCCCGTCAGCAGCTCTTTACCGCAGAACTGACAACACGAAGGGCTTCGAGGTTCCGATGACGCGCTTCACCGTTTCGGATTTCCCGCCTCACCCCCGATCCACTAAATCACGGTTTAGCGCTTTCTGCGCTTCGAGACAGGCGTTTTCAAACTTCCCAGGTGACTCTGACATGCCGTCCAGCCACAGGCTAGAGACTGGGTGGCACCTGCCTGGTCCCCTGAGAAGGAAAAGTCCCCTGGAGAACTGGCCCCTCCGCCTCTCTCCTCTCCTCTCCCCAGGCACCAGCGGTCCAAGGTCCAAGGCAGCACGTTTGGGAACTAGAAATCACAGCCGGCTGCTGCGACCTTGAAGGAGCAGTGAACATTTCATGTCGATTTCCACCGGAAATAGAGTGGCTCGTCAATTTCTCCCTCAGTGCTGTGAGTAATGGGGCCTCTCCCACTTCCAGCCGCTGGTGCTATCGGGGGCCTGATTCCACAGTTAACGAAGTTCTGGGCACAAACAGGGGATGGTGCCGGGTTGGGGCTTGCCCTCAGGAGCCAGGCCGCAGGCCTCCCGTTCCTGCCCTGCTTCAGATCAGCTGTGGCGCCAAACCCATCTCTAAGTCTGGGATCACAACCACCTATCCCAAAGGATGCTGTGAAGACGAAATGAGTTAATACAGGAAAAGCGCCCGGCACAGACGCTGGGACGTAGTTAAGTGCTGATTAGTGTTACTGCACCCAAATCCACCTGCTTAACGCCCAGCTGCGGGTCACAGCCCGCCACCTCCGGCTACACAGCACCCACTCTTCCCCACACGCTCCAAGCGCCTCGTTAGCGCCCAGCTAACACACCCAGCTCTTCTAGGCACCCGGAAGGCACGGTTCCCCGGCCTTTCACCACCTCAGCCCCGAACCAAACTCTTCGATGACGAAGTTCTTATAAAACGGGAATGAAAACGGACTGTGGCCAGGGTAGGCGGTCCCAACAGTGGCCTCCCTCCGCCCCCGCAAGAAGCAGAGAAGTGAGGAATGTCTGTGCGAGGGAGTGAGCAAGAATGAGGGTGAAAACGTGAACGAAGCCCACCTCCGACTTGCGGTCTGGACCCGCCACCCTCCCCCGGCCCTACTTCACCCCCTGGGCTCTCAGACCACCGCCCTCCCTCAACCAGCAGGAGAGACGCTTTCTGGGCTGACTCGGGATTTCTGGGACTGCGCAGCTTACTGGCTCACCGCTGCCATGCTGGTCCTCCTAAGACACTCCCCCACGGTGTCACTAGCGCACCCTGAAAGCCGCAGCTTCGGTGTCCACAGGACCTGTCCATCTTTCCTCATCCTTCCAGCCTGACCCAGCACTCCCCAAAGCATGCCTCAGGCTCGGCCTCCCAGATCACGCCCTGCACCCTGCACCCTGCCGCCCCCCACCTGTGGGCCTGGGCTTTGGGGAGTGGCACGAGACAGGAAGACAGGAGGCCCCTCCTGCTCCCCAAGGACACTCCTGGCCCCCCTCTCCATGGAGCTATGCAGTGTGAGTGCACACCACTCCAAGAACACCAGATCTGAAAGATCAGGGGTCCAACCCCCATTTTTTAGAAGAGGAAACTGGAATGAGGAGGCCCTAGCATGGGGCCAGTGGGCATTCCGAGTACGGGTGTCCCTGGACCGCTAACTGGGCCACCAACGCTGCCAGGGAGGCAGCCCCTGCTCCCACGGCGCCCACCATGCCTGGCTGCTCCTTCCTCCCACGAGTTTGTGGGGCATTCATGACACGGAGGTCCTGGCACAATGACTGCTCCGCCCGGACACAGCCTGCCCCACACCCAGTCGCCGCGCTACACCCCCAACCACGGAGTCTACAGCTGCCTGAGACTGGCCCAAGCTCAGGCGCCACCCTGATTACAGAACTCGCTCCAGGGGCCCACCAAGGAGAACGTGTGGCAACTCCCCACCGGTATCACCCTGTTTCCCTAGCACCCTTACATAACTCGTCCGAACTGTGCCCAGGCTGTGACAGACCGGGCTTTCCCTTCAGCTCCCGGAGCTGCACACCTTACCCAAAGGATAAAAGCTGGGAGTGGTGGGCACGGACCTACTAGTAACATGTCTCCCCAGCCCCTGAGCGCGGGGGAGGTGTCTGTTCAGTAATACAAGAATTAGATGTGCTCATTCTCCTGAGGCCTTCCTGCCCACCGCTCCCAGAGTAACTTACAATTAATTAAAATTAAGAAGCCAAACCGAGAAAGATGATTATCCCAAGGGACTGAGGCTCCAAAGGTGGAGAGACGCTCCTTGTAGGTGTATACTGGAAGCGAGGAGTGGGGAGGGGTCCCCCGAGGACTGGACTAGAGCGCAAGACACCCTGCGCACCCGGCCCGCGCGGCCCCGTACTGCCCGATCCCAAAGTTGGAGGGTCCCAGGCTCTACCCGCCGCTCCCGGGGCCCGCACCGAGCTCGGGGAGGACACCTGCCCAGGAGTGCATTGGTGCTTTCCGTCCCCAGACACCATCTGGCTCACTGCCGGATCCCGGCGCGCCTTACCTGGTTCGCCATCCCGGACTCAGCCTCCGCTCCCAGCTTCCGGCGCGGTTCCCTTCGCTAGCTCCCCCGCCCGCGGGTCGTGGCGCCACCCTCGGCGACGCCGGCGGCAGAGATCCGGAGGTAGCTGCGGGAGTAGGCGGGGCCGGGGGCGCGGACCGCAGAGAGGCGGCAGGGCAGGGCGCACTGCGGCCAGCCCCACGCCTGGCTTCCCTAGACGGGTGGTCCCGCTTCCGCCCAGAGACCCCGGGCCTCGGCGGCCTGCGGGGCGCAGGCGCGAACTAAACTTCCCAGAGGGCGCCGCGGTGCCGGCCGCGGGGCCGCGCGAACCCCTGAAGACCTGGAGTATCCCACTCCTCACCGCCTTAGCCCCGGACCCCCGAAGCTGCCAGGAGTGGCTGGACGCTGTGACCCGCCTGATGGCCAGCTTATGGTGTACTTGGTCGAGTGTACGCATCCTTCCGTCTGTCCATCCATCCATCCCTCCATCCATTCTTGCATTCAGCAGTTACTGAGCGCATCCTCTATGCAAGGTGAGGATGCTGGGATGAAACGGAACCGGCCTCTCCCAGGCGGCGCATCTGTTAGACAGTAACCGAGGCCCCCGGGGGGAGGGCGTGGGGATAGCGACTGGCCCCAGGGGTGGAGAGGGACTGCAGGTTGGCGGTGCCGGCCGAGGTCATGCGTGGGTGGGAGTGGCTGCCAGACCCGGGCGCATTCTCACGTGTCACCCCGCTCCCTCGCTCACCACAGCATTGACTCGCGTGTCATGTCTTGTCTGACTGCTGATCTATTTGGTTGATTATGCTATCTCCAGAAGTTCCTGGCACATAGTAGGCTTTCAGATAAATGTGGGGACTGAGCCCTGGGAGCTGTGGCTCAGTGGATTGAGTGCTGGCCTGTGAACCAAAGGGTCACCTGTTTGATTCCCAGTCAGGGCACATGCCTGGGTTGTGGGCCAGGTCCCCAGTAGGGGGTGTATGAGAGGCAACCACCCATTGATTTTTCTCCCTCTTTCTCCCTACCCCTCTCTCTAGTAATAAATAAATAAAAACTTTTTTTAAAAAAATGTGGGGCATGAACTAAGTGTGGGCCCCGCCATTCTGTCAGGCAGAAGCCTGCAGGGCCAGGGAAGTGGTGAGCTCTGTGCGTGGGCGCGGGGCGGGGGGGCGGGCAGGCAGGTGTTTGAGAGGACCCTGGGTGAGCAGAAGAAGCCTTATCCCAGGTCTGGAGGAGGACCCAGCTCAGAGAAGGTGGGCCTGAGGGGCTCAACCTGCTCTGAAAGACAGAAGGTTGGCGCGGCAGAGGAAGCGGCCTGCAGCCTAGACAGCTCTCTTCCCCGCCCCCTCCCCGGCACCGGTTGTCTTCCTCTGGAATGTTTGGGGGAAGCGAATTTCTCGCCCAGCAGTCCTAATGTTGGTCCCTGTGATAGCTCTGGCCTGCCATGGATCTCTGCTGGCTCGCTGCTGGTCACCTCCCAGAACCCTGGGGTACAATATTGACATTGCTTTGGCCTGGCCTCCAAAGAAGGGCTGAGAGGAGCCTACTCTCAATCCCTGCCCAGCCCCATGCCTGGGCAAAGCCCGTTCCTTCCCACCTAGCATTTCAGGGGAGTTATTCAGACCGAACTGCCAACCTCCACTGTGTTCCCGCCCTCTGAGCAGGTCCCTGATAAAGGACTTCCTGGAATCCTCTTTGGCCAGTGGGCTGAGACTGCCCCATCCAATCGGTTCTGTGCAGCTTTGTTCTTATTTGCATCTCTACTGATCCATTAGAGCCACTCCCACTTGTGAAACCAACCAATCAGGATAGTGCTATTTGGACTATCACTGCAAATTTGAATTTCTCATTTGCATAAAAATAGACAAATCAGGTACCTGGGTAGGAGCTTACCTTATGAAGAGAGCCTCCAGTTTGTCTCTGTGGTTTCTTCCTGAGGCTGTTTACCCAGTTTGCTAACTGTTCATCTGAATTTTCTTCTCTTCCCACACTCCAGACTATCGGTGGCATCGAACTTTTGTTGGCTGTGCCTAAGGAGTCCCTGACACAGGGCTGGTGCGTGTATGTGTGACCAGCTGTTGGACAATTTGAAGAGATCACAAGGGTTTCTCACCATGGAAAAGTAAAACTTAAAATTCAACATCTGATCTCAGGATCCCCAAAGGCCCGGGAACCTTATGGTAAGTCCTTTGCCTGCGCTTTGAGTCCGGTGTCCCGCCTCCTTGCTGATGTCGGCTTCCTCGCAGTAATTTGTTCCTACTCCTGGTTCCTCCCCACACCCCATCTTTGGTCTCAGGATCCCTTAACTTAAAAAAAAAAGGTAGTATAACTATTCAAGAAAGCCACACCTTTATTTTATCATGTACAGCATCTTGATACCTCTTTGACTCAGCCTCCCCGTCCCTCACCAGGACTGGGGTCTATTCATTGAGTCTGGGTCAGCAGTTGCTCAGAGCGAAACATCCTATTTTCGGAGTGACCGATTCTCCCAGTTTTTGACAAACCTCTTTTCTACTCCTGTACGCCCAGGACTTAGTGGCACCTCTGACCCGTTCACACATCCCTCCCTGCCTCTGCGATTCGGTTTAAAGTGTTAATTTGGCAGTTCTGGGTAGGGACAAAGGCAGGATTGCAGATGGGACACATTTTAATAAAAAATTCTCAATAATTCAAATTGGTTTATCAGCCAATTGATATTCACTTTCAATCATACTTGCCTTGGCTATCATGGTCATTCTATGAGTTGGCTTTGGGTGAACCTGCCAGATACAGTTTTCCCAAATTAGCTTCCTCTAAAGATAAACGGTACTGTCCACTCTCCCATGTGAAAATGGCTGCAACTGATTTAATTACTTAAAGTAGTTAAATATTTAAAAACACTTTCCTGATTGTCATTATTTCTTTTTATATTCAACTGGTTATTTAAAAGTACTTTTCAGGTTTCAAATGTGTGTGTCTTTTAAAAAGTTATCTTTTTGTTATTGAGTTTTTCCTTGCAGCAGGAGAATGTAGTGTGGGATGCTGATTTTTTTTGTTAAGGATTTTCTGAGACTTGCTTTGTGGCCACGTATGCAATAAATGTTTGAAAATGTTCCATGTTTGCTTCAGAAAGGTATATTTTAGTGTTGATTGTAGGGATCTAGTTAGGTCAACTGAATCAAGCTGATTGATTGTGTTATTTATATCGTCTATATCTTATACTTTTTGCCTTTTTGATCTATCAGTTACTGAGAAAGATGTATTAAAATCTATCAGGATTGTGCATTAGTCAGATTTCTCTCTATATTTCTGATAACTTTTGCTTTAGATATTTTGAGACTGTGTATATAGGTTTAGAATTGCATTCTTCTGGGGGAGGGTTTATTTTATTATTATGAATACTCATTACCCTAATAATACTTTTACTCTGTAGTCGACTTTATCTGATAATGATATTTCTACACTCACTTTATTTTGGTATTTGTTTGATATATTTTTTTATCATCCTTCTACTTTCAAACTTTCTATATATTTATGTTTCAGATGTGTGTTTTATAAGAGTAAAACTTTCCACACTTACGTATATCAGCTATTAAGAGTGTTTGCATTAGTGTTGTGAAATTGGCGAGAAAACTATTTCTTCTATTACACTGAGAGGCAGGGCTCAAGTGGAATATCTCTCACTATTGAGAAACAACTGTTACTGCATTTAAAATATCACGTTTTACAGGGAGGAGTGAGCAGAGCTGAGGGAGGAGCGGAGGAAGGAAGGGAGGAAGGAAGAATGGGTGGGGGCAATGGGGTTCTCACGCCTGGTGCTGCCCTACCCGGAACCGAGTGAAGACTTGCCTATTAGACAAGGGAGGGGTCCCAGGAATGGAAGGGTGAACTCCTGGCCAGAGAGGGGCCTGTGATGGCTCTGCCATTTCCGTCGGCCAGCCAGGAATACATAGAACTTCCTGTACCTTGTGGCATGAGAGGTTACACGGGTGAAATAAGGAGCTCTTACTAGGCAAGAAGGTATATATAGCTCAGGGGTAGAGTGTTTGATTGCAGATCCATGGGTCCCTGGTTTGAAGCTGGGTGCCCCCTGGTGGTGACCTGCTTTATTGCCAAATACCTTGATGTGTATGTATTTATTGCCAAATGTCCTTGATACCACATTCTACTAAATAGCAATGTCTTTGGTGGTTTTTGTGTACTCTGAACAACTTTGCTCCGGGCTGGGCCATATGTATCAGTCTGGGCCAATCAGAAGACAGAAACCACACAGTCCTTTAAACAGGGAAAGTTTAATATAAATAATTATTGTGCTATAAGAAGAGAGTAATCACAAAGGTTCAAAGAAAACTCTAAAGGTACCCCTGGGGTGAGGGACCCAAGCAAGGGCAAATTTGGAAGGGGGACCCTTCCCCAAAGCTAGGATTCAGACCTCATCAGGGGCAAATGTGGTTGCCGCCCACCCACCGAGTGGTCCCATCCAGGCCTGTCCACAGTTGTTGGGCAAGCAGGGATTGGCTTTCAGGAGCACAGGTGAGTCACTGGGGAGCATGAGGGCTGGAGTATGTGGTGTCCACACCTGGAGGGCGCGGGAGCCAGACTGGGGCAGAGGCAAGCCCAGGCTGGCAGGCGGCTGCATAGAGGTAGTTGGGGTGGAGAGCAGGGGAGTGGTCAGAGGTCCAGCTGGGCCTGCGAGGCCACAGAGGGGCTTCATTCTCTGGGTGTGGGCCTGGGACCGAGCGCCACCAGGTGTCCTCACACACCTGCACCCCCGGCCAAGCATGCAGCAGGAGCCAGAGGAAACAAGCAAGAACAGGCAGCCAGAACTGGAAGAGAAGCCCCATTTTCCCTGCAACATCCCTCTACTGCCCTCTACTGACAACTGTTCACATTGTGTTCACTTAAAGGAGAAATGCTGAATCAGTCCTATCCCAGAGCCACAAGGAAAGGGCGATCTTAGAGCTGGGAGTCAGTACACTGATAACCTGCACACCACGTGACTTGTGTTGGCCAACAGGATGCTAGCAGATGCGCTGTGAGCAGGAGCGTGGGATCTGCGTGCAGGGTTGGGTTTGCTCTCCGACACTTCTGCCATCACCATGGGATGTGCTTACCTTGTACTCTGCTCCCCTTCCGCCTTGGCCCCAGCGTGGAACGCGGCTCCACCCTGAGCCCAGCTGCCCGAGAGGAGCCGAGGCCAGTCAGACCTGCAGCCTGTAGCCGACCCACCCAGCCACGCCCCACCTAGATCAGCCGATTCACGTTCAACCTGCAAACCCACGGGCATGAGAATAAATGCTTACTGTTGTGTGCCACCGGCTATGGGTGGCTTATTATGCAACGTTATTGTGCATAAGGCTGACAAATACTGAAGTCAATATGTAGAAGGGGCTCCTGCTGGAACAAAAGGCTAAAATACTCGTAACAGCTTCACGAGGAAGCAGTGGGTGGCAAGGAAGCCATGACCGTAGCTGAGAAAACAGCAAGAACAGGAAAAACAGAGGCTCCTGATAACCTGGAAGGCTGCAAATACGCTTGAACTTGTAGA